GAAGGACCAGGAACTGCATCTAGTATCTACGAGAACGATGCCAAAACCTACAAATCCTTTATAATGCTGGTAAATCACGAATACTGGGAAACAAAGAGGTTTGGAAGTAAGCCAGATACGTACCAAAACGTTTCGAGAGACGATTTTCAGTTTCTTTGTGTGTAAACTTTCACACGTTTCTATAAATAAACCGTTGAGTTCCCGACTTAGACAAAAAAATGGGAGTCAATGCGCCGTACGGACGGGAGCACGTTGCAAGGCGCTTTGTGCACCCAATGACGTACTCGCCGATGCTTTTATTTGGAAAATAATATTTGACATTGACGTAAAATAAAGATGCACGGAATTAAATGCGTGCTCGAAGAACGATGGCGATGTAACGTGGGCGGTTTATTTATTGGTGTAAGCTTCATAAACATACTCCTTTGATGATACTGCGTTTCCGATCAAAATTTCGATTCTACATCATTCCGGGCATTTAGGATACAAGTTATTAATGATCACCACTTAGAACGCCGTGTCGGACAATGGTGTCCGCCGCTAGCGGAGGGTTAAACAGTTTTTGTCGGCAGTTAATAAATGCATAAAAAGCTGCTTACACAAAGACAAGCTTAGGAAATAGAAAAAATCTCCAAATATTTAATTTTAAATGAATCATCGGATTGTTCATATAAATTGACAAATAATTCCAACGTCCTAACTCATTTTAGGTTTCAAATACTTATAATGTATATCAGTCTGACCTAGAATGTGAGGGCAATAAAGAATCAAAACCAGTATCGATTCACTGACTATGCAGACCGCGGCATACATTTGAGGGTATTGCACAATCGTACATCTTCAAGGCCGAGGTTGAATGAGGCTATAGGCTCTACATTTCAAAAATAGAAGTGGTGCATTAGTTTTTTTTTTCGTTTTTTTTTTGTGCCCGAAATTCTAAAGTGCGGGCTGTGGTCTATTTGAAATTAATTGAAATAACTGATTTTGACTTTGAATTCATGTATTTGCTATTGATACTGCTATTCACAGATCTTTTAAAGTACTGATACCTATTTTCTTTGTCAGTTAAAATTAGAAGTAAAACTATATTAATATTTTGTTTTTAATTCTGTATGGAGGCATGTTTGTAGTGACGAACGCGAAGATGCATATACAAAAGTGAATAGCCGAAATATTTGCAAACGCAGACTACATTGTTGTAGTCATTCTGAAGTAATGCGGTATTGAAAATGAGTATCTGAGGAGTTTTTTGCTAAAGACATTTGCTGGCATTCGGGTGATACTTCACAGCGACTATCCCACAAAAACACTCATAACAACTATTGTTTTACACAAGAATATTTCGTGAGACATTTGCACCCATGCCAGCTTACACCGAAGCTGAATGCCCTAAGCAATTAAGCTTTGGATCCCTCCAAAGTTGCTCAAGGTTCCGGCTTATAAACAGCTATACTTTATCATATGTTTAAATATAATCATCGAAAAATTGCAAATAACTGACCTTCAATAACATATTCATCGAATTTCACAGTGCCTTCTGTCTCAGTCCTGACTGGAGGGCGGAACTTCTCCAGCAAAATTCGAACGGCACCTTCCCGCCCATGTCTAGCTGCTGCTATCAACGGTGTGCATTTTACTCCATCACAGCATATGTCCTGAAACGAATAACAGTACTTAATATATAAAACTCATTAGAGAGAGATATGTAAAGAGATCCTCCTTTCTTACGATCCAAAACTGACCATAGCTTAGAATAGCACAGCGTTGTGTTTCGCCGTGTGAGTAAGGTTACCGAAGGCCCAATCCTTCCCCTCCCCCAATCCCTCCTCAATCCCTAAATCTCCAAATACCTAATCCCTAAAAGGTCGGCAACGCACTCGTAACTCCTCCGTTGCGAGTGTCCATGGACGGCGCTGATTGCTTACCATCAGGTAATGCGTCTGCTCGTTTGCCAACCTATTAAATAAAAAAAATAAGCTAAAAAGTTCCCAATGATAAATCTTGTAATCTATAGTTACTGTTTTTTCATTTGTGACTTAAAAAAATCTATGAATGTAAGTACCTACAAAATGTTTTTTTCTCTTTGGAAATCTGCATCTTATCTCAAATATTGTATATTTGAAAAAAGAAGAGGAAAAAGACATGTTTCAACAGAATGAATTTAGTTAGTACACAAACAAACAGACATACAGTACAAGATAATCTCTAATATTAATCTTTGACTCTGAAAAACAGTACTAAGAAATATGTTTACAACACATGTATCATGTAATCATATTTTTGTTTGTTGTCCACACATAAACATGACACTCCAAAGGTCATTGACATGTCATAAACCTAAATAAATATTTTTTAGAATAACTAAGGGTTTCTCACACTTCTTTAGTATAATACTAGCCATATTCAGTTCCACCTGAGTTTAAAGCCTATGTTCACTGGGGTTAGTGTAACTTCAAAACAGTGAAGCATATTTAATCCAAACAAACAAATGTTTCCGCCTTATAATATTAATTTAAAATAGATAATATTTTTTTTTCTTTAACTGTGGATTTTGTACTTAACAAGTATTGAACTTTAATACCTCTTTGAAATTGTCAAATTGCTTTTTTTATAGATTCTGAATAAGTTTGTTTTTTGCATTTTTATATTTTCTTCTAAAATACATAAATGTTGTTTTTATTTTAATCAATTGAAAATTCGAAATAGTTTTTAGTTAATAAAGGCTAAATCTATCTATTATAAAGTCTAAATAAATCTTTAAATGTGTATTAGTCTCTACACAGATAATGTTAAAACTAAATCAGATAAATATCAAGAAAAATCTTGATTTCATTAAATTGTTATCAATACAAATCCATTATAAACCATATTATTATACCTATTTAATAATCCAACCGACAAAGTAATTGACTCAAATAATATAAAGTCCAGTAGACAGGGGTCTGCTGTAAGTAACTCATAGGGTGCTTAGATGTTATGTAACCATTATTGCGCTAATCATATCTTTAAATTGAGTTTATTTACTTTTTGGACGATTATAATGTTTATTGTTTTTGAGATTGTTAAAGGGTCTATGCAAACAGCAATCGAAAGCAGTAGCTAAAGAAGTCCTCAAGGAAATCATCTCTTAAGGAAAGCAAGGAAAATGTAATACCCAAACCCTACTGCCATATTCACGAGCCTGATACTTGGTTGATAAATATTTAAATTATTGTCTTGTTTAAGAGTTTCGTTTTTAAATAATTACTAAGGACTGGATAAAATAACTATTACATGACTGAGTAAGGTGGTTAGTTTTGATTCTCAATATTTGATCTACGCTTAGGGCATACTAAATCTGGTTTTATGGACGGTCATGGGCACAGATGCAACAAAGCAGTGCAATTTCTAGATATTGAGCAGATGATGAAATAAAACGGCAGAATAAGTCATATATCAATAACTGCTGGTGAAATAATATATTCAATAAACATTACAATTCAGTAAAATATTAAATATTTTTTAAATGTTGACAGACCATGCAAAAAACAGGAATCAGTTGATTTTTAGAAAAGTAATTTGAAAATATATTATTATTGTAGATATGTATTAAGATTTTTTTGTAATGATGATGATGATGATGATAACTAAATATAATTAATGTAGGTGTTTAGTTTGATATCCAATGTGTGATACACTGCAATAAATGTAGAATTAGAATCAGGTATATGTGATTCCTAGTCTATTAAGCACAGCTGATTCGCAAAACAAATAAAATGCCTCATAAATAAACTATCACAAGTAATGCACTAAAGGCAATTTAAAACTTGACCTAAATACCTAAATGTTGGCTAATACTTCAACTTTATGTAAATAAAGCAAAAGGAGCAGAGGTCTTTGCAAACTCTTTGTAATAAAAATTGAGGAAAGGCAATGTGTGCAGTAATCATGAGCAGATCGAGCGACCCCAAACAGGGGAGGCTTTCGCAAGAAGCACAGCGCAACTCAAGGAAATGAAACTGGCAACTGGTACCAAGGTTACGAAGACGTTAAATGTGCGTTACGACGCAAAATCGCATTACACGACGCATAAAAAATGAATTAATAACTCACGCCACTCGGACACAACGCGCAAAAGGTATCGCGCCGTCAATTTGTATGATAAAAATAGATTATCATCATTCTCATCAGAAACACTAAATTGAAACAAAGTCCTGACTCAACTTTCGATGATACAGCGTGAATGAAGTATCCAATTCAGTACTTACGCTATTTAATAATTCGTCGATTTCATCTGTGTTTTTCTCGTATAATAAAGCGTAAAGGGTTAAAGACATTCCATCTCTGGCAGCGAAAAACACCCGTTCTTGCAAGGGACTAGACAAATCTTCCAACATTAATTTGTCTTCCATTATCTAACCACTGCTTTTATTCTTACACACTGTTTTATTTCATTAACACAACACGGACACGTATGTCTATTTATTGATAATTTTTACAACAACTCAGCAGCAAAATATCAAGACAACTTTTTCACTGAATGAAAAACTGACGAATAGTGCGGCTGATTCCTGAATTTACAAAAATGAGCAAAATTTTGACATTTTAATCGAATGGATATGAACACCTGATTAAATCGATTTCCCAACGACTAAAATAGTACTCGACTAATAAACTTCAATAGGGACACCGTTTCACATTGCAATGTATGTTGCTAAAAATTCTAAAAGTGACTAAAAATACAAACAAAAAATTATACATACACCTTTATTACAATTTTTATGTACTAAACTTCCAGTAGCAAAATTAAAAAAATAGATAGTTGATTGAAATATCTGCCACGTTTTGTCCAAAGTGGAGATTCTTGACCAATCAAAACTTAGCTTACTTTTTTATTGTGTTCCAAGTCAGCATAAATACCAATCTGTAGCATCAGTTTTCATTTACATAAAGAGTTTTTTACGGTACGCCTCTTCTTTTATGTTCAAGATTCAGTTTTCCTTGTATTTCATAGTAGATTTTTTTGATATTTGTTTGGTTTTGACGTGTAACCTATTACTTTGACGCTTTCCCTTTATTTACAAAGAATTTAACAAAAAACTGCTTAGAAACTTTCCAAAAATGTCGAGTGGTCAATGGGAAGTTGTTGGGAAGAGCAAGAAGTCTCAGAATGGCAAGATAAAAACTAAAGAAGATGAAAAGAAAGCTGTAAAAAATGGACCGAAACTCGAGGATGTCGGTGGGTAACTTTGGTTTTCCTATGCAATTTGCTGTTGTAGTACTAAATGTTTCTCTATTCAACAGAATAAATTATTTGCTATTTTACTGTATGTTGTTAATTCTAGACTCAAAATGATGTATCATAAAGTAATAACAGCATTATTTTTGTAACAAACCTCAACGATAGGTATCAATATTGAATATTTTCGAAATACCTAATATTTTAAAATGCACATGCAAGTGAGGCCAGACGCCGGTGAAAAAATATATGACTACTATATATTTGTAATTATTAGGTAATTTAATGTTATGAGACCCTTTATGTAACTTGTTCATAATAATTAATTTCAAAGAAAATGAAATCATTATAATTTGATATTTTTAATTTTTCTTATCATCTATTGCAATATGGTACTAGCAAGATGATGTGGCATGTTAAAAAGCAACCTTACTGCTTTGTATATGAGGTTTAGTTTGTTATGTATAAAGCACTCCCCTTCACAATCTCTTTTCGAATATGTGCATTTTTATATGATTATATACTGTGTAATATTAAAATTACAGTAGCATTTATGCAACAGACTTTTTCTTATTAGCATTCATTGGAGGTATACAAATACCAACTGAATAATGTTAACATTAAAAATTAATTTGCAATTAAATCACTTTTCAGTTCCACATTCCCAAATTAAATCATTCTATTCTGGAATGGAAATTGATGATGTAAAACCTGCTAAAGAGAAAAAGAAGGATGGTGATAAGAAGAAGAAACAAGACAAGAAAAATGCTGAACCTCCCAAACCCAAGCCCCCCAAAACTATTGAGGGTGCTCTAGAAATAGTAAGTATATGTCTATACTAATATTATAAAGAAGTAAAATTTGTAAGTTTGTATGTAGGGGGTAATCTTTGGAAACGCTGGTTGGATTTCCAAAATACTTTCACTGTTAGACAGCTACAATGTTCCTGAGTGCTATAGGCTATAAAACATCACGCTACAAGTGAATGGAGCAAACCACCAGGTGAAACCACGCGAGAATAGCTAGTCTCATATAAATCTATACCTATGAGCCTATGTGACAGGCAGCCACATTAAAAAAAAATCCATTCACTGTCAATGTGGTCAATGTTGGCCAGTGCTAGCAGAGCCTTTCAACCATCTTTGACACCATAATATGCCTATGCTCTTATTTACCCTTCATCTGTCAATGGTGTTCCTAGACATACTTGTAGAACTCAATTTAATCACTGACTCAAAATAAACCACAGTTGAATATGTTTCATTGTTGTATCGGCAGCCAAGCAATTTGAAGTAGTCCATCTCAAAAAGTACCTTATTATATCATGTCAATGACCTTGTTTTATTAAGATTAGAATAATAGTTTTATGCTTCAGGAGTAGCTAGTATACCATAAATCACATATTTTTTTTCCAAAAATACCAGAGTAATGTTAACGATTCATTCACTAGCAGTCAGTTACATTTATCATCTTCCATTTCCAATCTTCATTATTTATGATTTATTATAAATAAATTCAATGCTACTATACTCGTAAAATACAATGAAAGTTGTGTTTTTTTCATCCTTTCTGAATGGCCACTAAGTCTCCACCAAGATTGTTGAAAGTTTTTATTTGAATAATGTAAATAGTAATCAACTTCATGTCCATGATTCATTCTTAATTATAAAAAATTCTTGTTACAGATGGATGCAGCAGAACTAGCCAACATTATAACGTCAAACAAAATCCGCTTTTCTAATGCCCCGCTTGTGTGGCTAAAAGAAGTAGCAGCCTTCCTTAATTCTAAGACTCAAATAGATGTGGAAGACCCCACGTTTTCCTCATATCCCGCTCTTTTTCCGTTGTCTGCGGTCCCTGATGAGATCAGGAAATCTCTGTCTGATGTCCTACATGACGCTGGAAAGGCCAACGCGCAGTTGTTCTTCGATGTTACTCTAACAGCTCTAGCAAATGACATGAGCAGAGGTTTGTACATGTTTATATTTAAATTCTTTGTTATGTCTCTCTTGATTGCTCATTCAATGTTTTTCATAACATACTAATGTATTCTGCAATATGTTGCTATTACAACATTATTGTTGCATGTGTATAAAATTCCTGTCCTTGGTTGATGCCACAGAGATGTTTTATTATGTAAAGTGTGGTTTACATAGAAAAGAGGTTTAAATGACTGCCTCAATTAACTTAAATCTGTATTATATTAAAAGGGTCAGTAGAGATAATGACATAAACAATGTAAACCCACAATTCAACAGTTATGATATTATATTGCTGTATGTTATTGTACGAGTACCATGTATTATTGGCTTCCACTCGTCTATGACTATGTATGACTATTGTCGTACACTCGGAACATTAACTGCTTGTGACGCCAATAACTAACCTAACACAGGAATCGAACCCGAGGCCACTAGCTCGGAAGTCACACTTACGACCAATCAACTAACGAGGAAATCCTGTTATTTCCTTATACTAGATTACATCGTAGTTAACACTTGATTATACCTTTCATTCATATCTTAATCTTTGAAATATAAAATCTCGTAGTTGTGTAAAGCAATTTCCATATATTTTGTTTATTTTAGGTCAATCCGTGAATGGCCACAGACTATTGTTACAAATGCTAGCACAGGATTATCCGGAATTCTGCGTCACCTCTGTACAAAAGAGTGCTAGTCTCCGGAACTCCTACCAGAACAGACCACCTATCGGACTCTCCCTACTATGGGCGTTCGGTCAGGGTGGTAACAGCGATTTTGCTGTTGGCCTGAAAGGTAAGTCATTGTAATATTAAATCTTTCTTGTGTTTCTTACTAAATTAAAAGCAACAATATTGTTATATTTAACTTTGAAATCGATTCGTCTCACTGTCTCGCTATTTTTATTTTACTTCAGCTTATAATCCCAACTTTTTATTCCTATAAGTTTTAAAAATGTCTAAGTAAGTAGGTATAAATGTTAAATCAAAAATTGGAAGCAATTGTTGTCGAACAATGTCATCAAATATTTCCTTTTAAAACGCTAATCAGTTTATGCCAATTACGTAAAAGATAAAGAGTGAAATTACTCGAGGCACAGGCCAAGATAACATTTCGGGTCAAAATTTGAGATAATCGTTATCTCATGTCATTTTGACACTTTCCAAGGTAAAGTAAGATAACTTGAGATTTTGCTCTATAAGCCGTAATGGTATGAAAGAAGACACATCAGGTGTAAAATTATTTGAAGTGAATAATATAAAAAGTAAAACCTATTTTTCCTAAATTGATAATAGTTTGTTATTTTTATTCTAAAGTAGGTATAATCCTGTAATGTAAGTTTTAATCAATCTTTCTCAAAGTTGTTCACTTATTTATCCTAACTAAAAATCGCGGGTTTCTCACGTGTATATAATTGTGAAAAGCTCTACTAGTTTCGATCCACAGAGGGATTCTTCCACTGATAACCACTGGTGGTAACCTGCGATTTTTTGTTAATTTAGTATGTTTCACGACTTAACTTATTTATCCCATTAAAATCATCGCCTTCCTCTTCTTAGATACCTATAATCTCAAATAAAGCCGTGTTTCATCACATATTTTGTTTCCAGCTTGGCAGGAATTATTCCTTCCTATTATCGAGCTTAAGAACTATACCAAGTACGTAGTAGGATACTTGTCGAACCTTCTAGACGAACACGGTACTATGGAAAACACTAAAGTCAGCCAGGACCAGCTGTTTGCCATGATAGACATGGTAAACAATAAAAGGAGCGCTCTACCTAAGGATCTGTCAAGTGACCTTATCAAGCAATTAAGTAAATATAAGGTATGTTGGATATTCATACTCCTTTTGAAGAAACAAAAATTTATCTCATATAATGGATGTAATGATAGTGTAGAGAAATAAAGTAGTAACCAATTCAGAAATTTATTAGTTAATTAGCATTACAACTATGTAGTTTTTATGCGTTCTTAACTATATCCTCTTTTGTTTCTTAGATACATAATAAATGGAATTAGATATTAAACAATAACAATCAAATATTTATTAAAAAAATAAATATTTTACTCATGAAAGCTTACAGAATATGTGTACTAAATTATTTTTTATTTCAGGATATTTATTTCAATAAAAGCAATAATAAACTTCAAGTTACTTTCAATCAACTTATGAAGAAGTTGCCCAACCAGTATCTGAGTGGTGCGTCCCTGGACCCATACCACAGGGTGCTAGTAGACTGCTTGGTTGACTGCCTCGTGAGGGATGACTCATGTAACGCTACTTGGAGACAGCTCTTCCATAGATGTAGCAAACAGTCAGCTACATTACTTGATTATATTGGTAAACTTTTTCTACCTATTATAATTTAAATCCTATTATTTGATCAAGCTTTTGTTAAAATAACAAATTTAAGTATTTTTTTTTTAATCTAATATGATACTTATTTCCAATTAGATGCTAATTGGGAGGAAGTCAGCAAGAAACTGAGGCAGAAATCTTTGAAAATGACAGTTTTGCAATACAAAGAAGTCTGCGGCGAAGCTCTGAAAGGCAAGAAGAAGGATGAGACTGTTGTTAAAACAAATAAAATATGCCAGGTAAGCGATCATGTCAAAAAAGTTTTAAAATAGTTGCAGTCACTTGTTTAAAGCAGTCTAAACTTTTAACATTAACACTTTCATTACCACTACCATTTTCACAATGATATCTCGGATGCCGCCTACATTACTCGTACATTTTACGTTAAACTCGCCGGATGAGTCCACGGCGCTGGAATAAAATTTACGTGGACTCTGGGCGATTCGGTAGCACTGAATGTGTTAACTTTGAGATACACCAGCTATATTAAATCGACCATTTGTTACTTTTAATTTATAATCTCAACAACAAACCTATAAAAAACACTACGTTTTTTGCATATCACATTCTTAACGACTTTTAAGTTTGTTTTAAAATAAATTAAAATGAATAAAAAGTACATAACAAAATCTCATAACAATAAAACCACAAAATCGACTAAAAATAGTCGTATCTCAAATGACATTTGAATCACTACACTAGTCAGGTCATATGTCATGTCATACATGTCACATCCATATCACAATGTTGCCAGGTCTTTTTTTTAAATAAAGGATTTTTTTGTATTTACCCTAGGTTTAACTATTGAATTTCTACTGGTGATTCAATATTTTTTAACTTAAATGTTGGAAAAATATAACATATTTTTTTTTTACCCAACCATCGATCCCTGCGCTACTTCCTAATTAATACAAAATTGTCTGTAATGAAAGCCATGGTTATAATTTTTTCTTTCACATTGGTCACCCTTAATTTGTCAGTAGAAAAAAAAACTAGTTTCGAGGGCGACATATTTTTTCACTAAAATCTATTTTAATTTCTAACAAGTGTGTTCGACATTTGTTGAAGGTAATTATAATAAATTTAATTTAGAAAAGATAAGATATTTAAATCTTTTATGACGTGCCTTAATCCTGCTTTATCATTTTCGGAATAGTTTTGTGATAATAGTGCGTTACCAGTGAATCTATTCAAAGAATCGCGCAGTTTGCTTGTGAATGGAAGTAAAAACTGCTTTAGTAGCGTTGTGTGGTGTACGCGGGCGTAGTGCTAACAGTAAATGTTGATGTGTTACATCCGTTAGTCCGCGGGAGGCATTTAGCACGCGATCGGTTTCAATAAATTGTTTATTTTAAAATTCAGGTAACATTAAACATTGTACGTGCATTTTCCAAGTTCTAAAAGTGATTTTGAACAGTGAACATATTTCGAATTATTGTGTTTGTTGAATTAAATTGAAAAATATTTGTATCGACATAGTTCTTCATGGTTAAAATATTGTCATCAAGTCGTTCCCTTGTGTTACGTTACGTACTTACGATATCGTGACCTCTACCAAGTGATTTATCAATGAAAAATTCAGTATTTGAATATGGGTGTGTGATGTGTGATATGTCATGGAAATGATGTGTTAACCAAATACCTTAAAAATCACGATCTTGGTATATTCTTATTAGAATTACTGTTCAAATGAACTCCAAATTCTCTACTAGTCCCTTATTTCAAAAAGCATTCTTAGTATATATCTTGCTCACATAAAGATTCAGTATATAAACTAAGAAAATTAAAAAAAAAACAGGTTTGTAACCTTTGCTTGTTAAATGGCCAGTTTCATATTGAAAAGATAGGTACTATCTACTAGATAAAGATTATAAAAAGCAATAAAAGTTCAAGTTTATCAGGTAGTACAACTACCTGATAAACTTGAACTTTTACGCAAAGACGATAAAACAGGCTCTAAATTCTACATAATGATGTGCAAAGGTCCTGTATGTCCAGTGAAAATTAATAATTAATGCTTCAACTTCTATTCATACACATATTGCCTAGGTTTTTATATATAAGCATCCATTATATGACCTAGACCCATGGATAGAGGCATGGTATGTGAGAGGGAGTGCTTGACAACTGACTAAAAACATCCCGTTCCTTCGCCTGCTCTAGGTCAAAGCCGCAGTACCTTATTACACTTAACTCGCAACTCTGGCTAATATCTAACCTTCTAATTATCTACTTAAAAAAAGAAAATATTCCAAGTAATCATACTCAATTTAAAAGTTCATAATGAAAGTAAAATGGGATCATTGTTTTAAGTTTTGGTAATTGTTGCAAGAACACCAATGATGTTGACTTTCTAAGGTTGATTGTTCAAGAATGCATCAAGAATTCTCTAAACCAATCAGCAAATATACTCAACAACTATACCATCACACCATATGTTTGAAACCTGCTAAGTACTAACCAACCTTTTTTCTCATTCAGGATATTCTAGACAGAATGACAAGCACTAGAAGGTTCCCTTGGATCTGGGCCAGCTTCTTCCTGCTGGTTGGCATCGCTGGGCTGGTCTCATATGATGTCTCCAGAGCTGGTGGCAATTTTCCAAGTAAGTTTATTAGAATATTTTTATAAATATCATAATTTTCTTTTTCATACATGACCTATTCAAATAATCGAAAATGCCTGAAATGACAGATTCTTGCTTATTTTTAGTTTGAAGAGTTTTTTCCTTTTATTTTTCCTCTAGTAGCTTGAATATGTTTATTGAGTTGCCTTATTGGTTTTGGAGTTTGTGACTGCTTACTCAGATAGACCAAAAATGTTGATTTGTAATTTCTAATTTAGAAATAAGCACCTGTTTCATATAAATATCAGAGAAATATAATGTGGCACATAAATAATACAATTTATATTTTTATTCCCATTAATCTGGTGCATAGCGGCTACCCAGATACTGGAAAACATTCACTCAGTCTAAATACATTGATTTCTGTAGATTTGTATGTAATAAAATACAAAAAGAAAGTATTTTGAAAGTGCTTAGGTATGAAGTTGGAAGAAAGAAAACAAAATGTTCACTGAAACAATCTTATTTACTCACAAGTACAAATAAATAGTTTATAAGAAAGAACTAGCAAAAACAGACAGATTAAATACTCTTTTTGTAGATAACAAAAGAATAGACAAACATTTGCTTTAAAAAAAAAACAAGTTCATGCTATCTGTCATGCAAGAATAACATGAAATAAGATGACAGCAGTTTAATATTTTTGAAGAATTTTTCTAAGTGCTTTATAATAACTCAAGTCCTATATGATTTGATTTGGTTACATCCAATTTATATAGGCCATGAGGGCTTTATTTTAACTCTTTAAAAGTAAAGTTTTTGAACATGGAATGCAATATAATAGGTAATTAATTAAAAATTATTTCTTCAATGATCATAAACAAACATCTGGGAATCGCATAAAATAACATTGTAATTCAGACTATGAAAGTACTTGTTAAGCATTTAATTATTCCATCATTGATCTCTTGATAATGTAAGGGGCTTGTCACAAACAAAAACATCTGAATAGCCTGTACCAGATTTTTTAAAATATAGAATTTCGATTTGTATTGTCTTTATGCTATTCAAAAGTAGTTAAATACTTGCATTCCTCTTTAAACTGTAGGACAAATTCTCAAATACACATCTAATTAAAGTTTCTTAAAATTATGGAGTAAGCTGGGTTTCTGCATAGTTAATACATAGTATGTTATAGCCTTCCATCCATTGCAATTCTGGATATTTAAGTAATTGTTTATTTTAAATTATTCATGCTCACACATATATCTATCTAATATACCTAGCTATAATTCGTGTTTGGTATATGATTAATTTGTTACTCTTGAACTCAAAGCATAACTTGTCATGTCCGACAAGCCCTTTGAGTGATAAGCAAACTGTATACCTGGGCATTGAAGCGGTGACAATTTTTAAATCACTCAAACAGGTCATTATTATGAATGTGAATGTTGTCCAAACTAGTATTGAACCAAAACACCATATTTAGGAATGTAGCACAGGGAAAGTTGTTATTTCCAAAATATACTTAAATGTTCTCTTACTTTTGTGAAACTGTTACTTTATTTAGTACTAGCTTCCACCCGCGTAGAAAAGTAATGTATCCCGGGATTTTAAATAGCGATAGCTCGACTAAAACACGCAAATCAAGTATAATTTATAGCCTATACCACTCAGGAACATTGTAACTATCTGTCAGTGAAAAATTTTGGAACTTATTTTATAAGCAACTAGCTACTCTCGCGCGGTTTCACCCGCTGCTCGGCTCCATTTAATCCTAGCGTGATGTTTTATAGCCTATAGCACTCAGGAACATTGTAGCTATCTATAAGTGAAAGAATTTTGGTAATCCGACCAGCGATTCCAAAGATTACCCCCTACAAACAAACTTACAAATTTTACCTCTTTATAATATTAGTATAGATGTGTATTTCCCTCTGACTTGACTCCATAATGACCGTGGTAACATATGACATGTATGTACACGAACAGTAATGACACTTTTATCGTCTCTGATAAGGCAATGTTTTCAAATACAACTTTGTTTTCACTGATACGGTGATATTGGTATCAAAGTAGAATATAAACGAACCAGCTTAGACCAGCTATGTTCCATAACATTTATATTACACCAACTTAAATCCAGATTATTATCTATATCTGTACGAAGTTTTATCCAAATTCTTTCAATTGTTTTGGCGTAGTTTAGTAACAGAACATACATGAAACAAATCAAAACAAACTATATTTTTGAGGGAAGAAAATCATCAAATGACTTTTCGCCCTTGGTGGAGCGAAAGGAAACGTCAGACTTATTGACTAAATGACTACCACCGGACCACCCCATTCCTTCTCCTGCTCTAGGTCGAAGCCGCATTCCATTATTGAGTTCGCCCTGCACCTCGGTTGACATACCTTATGTTTATAACGAACCTATTTATAGAGCTATTAGAAATAACAGAAAGTAGGATATAAGACTCAATAAAATCCGCATGTTATTACACTAGCACTTACCTATGTGCGCAGTAAATGCCATTGTTCTTTCAAGATTTAATTAGACGCAAACCTGATATTACTGGAGAGGTCAACCACAAGACAAACGGCTTAACATCCTTTGATGAAGAAATTTTAAGTTTTCTTTTGAATTCTAAACACAATTAGTTTCATAACGTCAGTTATTTCTCAAAAGTGATAAGCACTAATTGTAGTTTCATCCACATTTTGCCAGTTTTTTATGGAGTTATAATTTTGATAAGATGTCACACATCGGGCCACTAAAAACTAATTATACGCTATACCTTCAAAAATTTTAACTAATACCAACAACGTTATGTTTACGAGGTTACCTCAGAACTTATTATAAAAACGCTTTTGTCAGAACATCCAACTTTGTAGGTAACCTTCAACTTGATAAATAGATGTATAAGGACGACCTTATACAGATTGAGCTTACTAGGTCCGATGTTCAGCCGAGGTTGCGGATAAATATGCGACCGCCCTCGGACCAGAAAAGTAACGGAGTGGTTTTTAGTCAGCAAGAGTCTGACACTCTCGCCCCGCCCAGATGTCAGATGATGATTTGGCCCCTTCAAAAAAAGAGTAGACGTCTATCGGTTCATGATTTTATTCCATTAAGCAAGATCTTATTATGGTGAATTGAATAAAAGGACTAAACTAAAATCAAACTATACATGGCTACAGACTTGTTATTCCAACAGACAATTTGCTTATTTAAAGTACCGGTTATATATAACATAAGAGTATAAATAGATACATGGAATTTTTATCCTTATTGAGTACATGTTTGTGATTATATTTTCCTGTTCCTTTACATAAATTATTTATTCTTTGTTTCGCGCGGACTCGACCGTGCAAACTAGTATTCATTGAAGATTTAATTACTATGTGGAAATATACATATATGTGGCTTCATCTTTACTATTATTAACACAGAATATGACATCACGTCGTCTTTAAACGCTCGAATTAATATTTTTTGATTATACATTCAATTAAATCCTAAACTATTATAAACATGCATAAATTATTACTTTGCCTATTCTGAGAACCGGACCTACACAACTTCAAATAATGAATATTCTCAAAAACCTTTCTTTAGCAATAATAAGTTATTCATACTATTAGCAGTACTAACCATTCCATAAAGATTCACAAAAACAAATTTTCTTTACAGAAAGCGCAACAGGCCGTTTGCTCAACGACTTGGGTGTCTTGGAGCACAGTCAGCGTGCTTGGCAGAAGACGTTATCGACGTCAGCTCGTGGCTATCTCTGGTTAGAGACCAACGCACCGGTATACTACACACAAACGGTAGAAACATGCACCCCATACGTGCTTCTCTCTAGAGAATTCGCGTACGTGGCCTTGAAGAAGATAGGAGTACTTTACACGAACACGAAGGACTACGTTGCCGATAAAACCCCTGTGGTCGTGGCTACCATAGATCAGTATGCGCCAGGCTTGGTCGATAATCTACAGAGTTACGCGTCGACTGGCTTCCAAACTATCAAGAAGTACTCCAACGATTACTATCAGCTTACTGCTGAGTATTTGAAGACTAAAGTATTTGTGTGAGTATTTATTTTATTTAATATTGAATGTACACAGTAAGTTAGACAGGAACAATGATAAAACAATTAGGTACAAAGGCACAGCTTATTTCTTCTAAAATTTCTTCGAGCAGGCCCATTATGGGAGAATAAATAGATTTTATTAGCTTCTTACAGTATTAGGTAGGTCTTCTCCGTGTTTCTTCTTCTTTTTAGGTGCTAGACATTCGTCCTATGATTTTGCTAACTAACTACACAAAAGTAATCTCTCCAATGTTGTGTACATAGAGTGAAAGTGTTAAGCTCCAAAGGTCAGTGGCCTGAGGTCCAACTTTGTTTGACTTAAGTTCTTAAACTTCAAATCTTGTTGGATGTGTACACAACTCCTAGAACGATAGTATAGTAAATTTTAAACTTATTTACGATGAACACAATTCCAAAATCCACATAACTTTTGTATTTTATACTGCAAATGTTGATGATAATGTATATTTAAAATTTTGCAAATGCTGTATTCAAGTTTATTACATATAGTTATGTATTTATGTGTTGATACTTTGAATAAATGTATGACGTAATCAGAAAGTAGTTAGTTATCAAATAACTATCACTAAAAAGCCAAATGTCAATTAGGTATATTTTATTACTGATAATATTAAACACGGGCAACACGGGTTTAAAGTTGACGTTCACATGTCACACAACAGTTGCCTATCTTGCCATATCAACTCTTTCAAATTATATCAGATTGGTTCCATAGTTTATATAAGTATGTAAATTGCAACCTTTGCTCAGTAGTAGGCATTTATAGGCTTGTGATCATGCATGATGAACTTGCACACAAAGATTTAGGTTCAATTACTAACCACCTGTTTTACTACCTACCTTCATATAGGTTACTATCCTATCCTAATAATAGGTCTTTACCTATGAAATTGCTGTTCTGCAGTACTGGCCATTTCAAATCAAAATAGTTTTTGTTAGGCTAAGGCTAATTAATTTTGTTTTAAAAACTTGGGATTCTTTTTCCAAAAGTAGTCATTTGTTTATTGATTAGTGTTACATTTTCATCGCATTTCAAATCAAAAAATTCATGCATAATGGCAATTTCATAGGTAAAGACCTATTAACATGTGATAAATTAAATTAGCTTCTTTATTCAAATTTATTTGTTGCATAGTGGCTATTTAGACAATGTGAAAGACAATATCTTCGGAATTGCCTATATCCATTTTGGTAATCTGATTTTCGAAGACAACCTTATTATGTTTTTAGAATTTTTTAATAATGTTGTCAGCACAATAGGAATCTCTGCTCCTATAGACCGAATGCTCTGATTTTCAAACACTAACGTTTTCGTAGATTGTTTATCAAATTAAACAACAATTTAGGTGTTAGGATGTTCAAGTGATCTAATCTAACGCGTAAGGTGACTTAAAGGCGAAAATAAATAAAAAATCAATAGTTTATTTCAAGTTGACCGTCATACAATTATGTACAATAGCATTCTTTGTTCTCTATTTAATAAGTTCTACTGTTATAAGAGGTTTGTGTAGGTAATTGAGATTTGTGAAGAAACACCAATCAATTTGTTACCTTGAAAAACTGCCCCAAGGTTACTAATGATGCATATTTAGCACCACTGTGATTAATTGTCGGTTATTTGTATCTTTCAGTTTGATTATAAATTAAGCTCGTTGTAATATTTTATCTTCTTAGTTCTTAATGGTTTATAGAAATATATATAAGAGTAGGTAATCGAATATTGAGAAATTATTTCAACTTTAAACTTCTATATTTTATAATGTAACTTAAGACTCCGATATTTAAGAAAAATAGAAGTTTTAAGTTTATAAATAATGTTGACTAGCCTCAGTGGTTTTGACTTTGAGTTTATAAATCAGCTAGTTATCCAGCCGCGGCTTCGCACTCCTATTAAAAACATAAATCGTTTAAAGCGATAGCCTGACTAAAATACGCAATTCAAGTATAATTTATAAGTCTATCAGTAAAACAATTTTGGAAATCCGACCAGCAGCGGTTCCAAAGATTACCCTAGCCCTACATACAAAGTTTCAAATTTTATTTCCTTATAATATTAAGATTTTAACGATTTCCGTAAAATTTAGTTTCTTTAGAGGAACATGTTTTCGTGTAACTTATTATCTGTACAGGAAAATACAATCTTTAGCAAACAATTTTGTAGGGCAATGATACTATATCTCGACTTTCCTTTGTTATAAGTACAAATATATATTTGCGCTAAAAGAAAAAAATATATATTGCCTTTTCAAACATTTTGTTAATGTGTATGTATGGACTCAATATCATAGAATACTAAGTCGATATATAGAATTATTATAATTCAGTTTTAACAAACTCTGACTCTAGAATCAGATATATTTACATTTATTCTAACACATACATTATGTAACAGATCCATAATGGGCAGTAAAACACTGAAAGCTATTCAAATGGTGTTAAAGCAATCTATTGTAATCGGACCATAGCTTTATGAGCCTAATAATGGCCTGAAACTGCGACTCAGTTTTTTAATCTCTTACAGAACATTTGTGGGTTTTTTTTTTGTATCATGAAGAAATATTAATAAGTATGTACTTTTATCATTTCAGAGGCGACTGGGCGCCAGAGATACTGCAAAACAAGACAGAGACCGCTCTGAATGTGACCCGGTCACATGTGTCCTCATACTTCCACTGGTTCCGGGAACAAGTGCACATCTACTCCAAGATACCCTGAAAAGTAACTCCTCTCTTTAGTGATAACTGTGCTAAACAGACAGAGGACTGAGTTACTGTGCTAGTTGTGTCCATTCTCATCTCTTGTGCGACTGATTGATTAATATGAAATGTGTTCATTAACAAAGTTGTCTTCTAATTACAATAAAACATTCCAAAATCTTCTGTAACTATAGTCGCAACTCAACTGTACTTAACAACTATTTAGATCTAGTATAATGTAAATCAAGTCATCTTGATTTTATTTGGTGAATTTTGTAAAATTTATTGTTTAATTTATAACAAAAATCATTGAATAAAGCATTATACAACACACCACACTCCTTGTCTACCCGTTATTCAAAGTAGACCACGCAACATGAACACAGTCCTCTGTCTGAACGTATCCTTATCAAACTGTTTTCTTTTATTTTACATTTCCTTTACGATGAAAAATTTAAATCGAGTACAATACACACAATAGTGTCTGTAACAACGAACGGACCTAATACAAAATGTTTTAGCACACAATGATATCAGAGAAGGATAAATATTGTGCAAGCAATTTATGTATATCTCACTTGGATGCAGGTAATCCAATAACTAAGAAACTACATCTGATCTCATTGTGTACTAAATGATTTTGTTCGGACTTATTTATTTCTAATCATCAACATTGTACACTCAATTGTTTTTAATTGAATGCAATAATTAAATCATATCATCGAAGAATATATTTTTACAAAATTAAATCCATGACAAGGTCTACAAAATTTTTAGTAGGTATTTATTTTAAATATGTAATCTTGTATTTGAATACATTCCTGATGCATTTAAATACCTAACAGACTGGTGTCATCTCACGATTGTTCATTAGTTACCTCTTATTGTCATCCAAATAATTCATTGTTCATTATTGAATCTTTTAACAAATAAATAATATAATAGGGGTGTAAGCTTTTTGTAGTATATTTATTTTGTGTTGAGAGATCGTGTTTAATAAGATATTTTGAATGAATTGATAGAGGAACAACTTCAAAATTGCGTTGTGTAGATTATTTGTAACTGTATACCCAGACTTTCATTCTTCCTGTAGTACTGAAAGATTTGTTGAAGCTACTTTAAAAAAAATACTCATCAATGTGGCTTCAACATGAAGTACTGAACAATGTTTGCAATAATTTACAATTAAAACATCATATGAAATTTATACATTATTTTCTTCAGTTCCATTTATTCTCATATAAACAAACTGAAGAGAATAATGTATTTTCTCGCATTGCCTAGTTTTTCCTCTGTTAGCTGTTTGAATGAATGAAATACAAAATTATACAAACATCCAGCGGACACAACATTTTAATTTAGATACTTGTTCCACTGAATAATATGATAAATGTTGTGTTGTACGAAATAATTGTAAGAAATCACAATTAAATATTGTTAGTGATTTAATCAAGAGTTTTATTTTACGTAGTTTGTAATAATTGACACATTTTTTTATAAAAAATATTTTGTTTTTGCCGCCAACCTACCCTTCCTGAGACAGCGGGACTCGTCCGGCTCGCCGCATTGCTGACAACGGGATTGCTTGCGCTGCATTGAGTGAAACATTGTGGCTCCCAGAATTTTAACGCATAGTTCACTTGTCCGAGGACCTTCCGTTAAACGGGGTGAATATATAGATACACGAAAGGGGTGATAGATATTGGCGAATTTTCCTTGTATCTATTCACCCCGTTTTACCCTAATGATCTTTCTCGGGTCCTAAACTATTATGGTCTTAGATGATTTAGGTGTGAAGAATAGACAGACACACAGTCACATAGATTTTGATGATTTGTGTGGGCATGGGTTAAATCTGCATTTTCCACTGACTTGCTAAAACTTTAACAGATTTGCATAAATTGTTGTAGGTATAAAAAATCAATTTACTTAATTAAACCTTATTAAAATAATTTTCAGATTAATTAGATTTCTTAGATTTTAGACTTCTGTTATATTAATAATGGATTTTTAATGTAGTAGTACTTAGGTACGTCTAGAGTTCAAAACAAATAAAACGAAAAATATTCTCAACGTTTTATTAACAAAATATATTTGATTTGATATTTACTATTTATTGAAAAATTTGTTCGTATTATCATAGATTGCCGCCGCTAATTCGTCGATGTTTTCTTTCCTAACTGCTGCCAAAATCTCCAAAACTTGTCTGAAAAATAATAAAAGTAAGTCAGATTGAGGTCCTGTTCTTCAGTTGGAGAAAGTTTTGCATATAATCTTAAATGCAATATGTAATATTTTACCTATCTACTCTAGGCACTCAGTGCGAGTTCGCGTTACTTTAAAACGATCGACACGTTTAAGCGTTCGGCGCCCTTATTGGCTTGCTTGTCCGGCCGTTCAGAGAATGCGTTCCTGATACGTCGCGATTGAACTGACGACGTAACTTTGTAATGGCGTTGCAGTTACGATAAAAGTATTTTCGTTGGTTGTTTACCGTTTTAATAATTGATGAGCATTAAAACATCATTATTATATCAATAATCAATGATTGTTATAATTTTAACCAAACAATCAGAGGGCTTAACGCGGTAACGTCTCAATCACGTTAACGCCAAGCAAACATGCATTAAGCGATCTCAGTCCGGGGTTCTTAGAACGACGCGACGCTGCACAAGTGCCCAATATACAAAAAATGGCCACCAAAAATAAAACACACAAAATTACTCAAAATTTATATTAGCGCGAAATGACTGGTTGTACCAGTATCTTCGCTTTGTTTCTCTGTGTGTACTAACCCTTATAGCATTGGCCGAATATTCAACGGGAATGTAGCTTTATCTGTTACAAACTATAGAATAAAAGTAATGGTGGTGTGATAGTAATGGAATCCTGAAACTTACACAATATTAACAGGTTCGTTTCTCCCTTTGACCTGATTGTTAGACCCGACGCTATATTTTTCTTTTTTCACCGTCGAAAATTTAGTCAATACATGGGTGTAACCAGGATGCGTTGGTTTAACTTCACACCATGGACAGTCGGTTTCGATCATAAGTCTGTCTTTAGGTATTTTTGTGACAACTTCTAAGTTTTCTTGTGTTCTCAGAGAACTGCAAATGTAATACAATAATAATATTATCCTAGTGTGTGGCAACATTTTCATAATAACACAAAAAAAATAGCCTTTTAGTTTACCTACACTTATATAAATAAATGTTATTTAAAAAAATATACGAGTGTACAAATTAAACAAATAAAAATAATTAAGTAATATGAATTTGTGAAGAAAGAATAGTGTTAGAAGAATATTAGATGAGCGGGAATCAGTGGAAGACTGCAAAAAGACATTCTTCAGTCCAGACTCCTTATACAACTTGGAATAAGAGTAGGATTGAATTTAGGAAGGCAATATTAATAAGATTCCCACTACAAATTTTGGTGAACTGACCATCCATTAATACCTATATACATTCCCAAGTCTAGTATCTTCCGTAGAGCGTCCTCACTGCCGTCGAATGAGTGTACGACCCCTCCCACAACAGAGTCGCGGTTCTTCTCAAGTATTGCCACCAAGTCATCGGCTGCCGCGCGACAGTGTAAAAAGAGAGGGAGATTGAACTCACGACTCAATTGCAACTGGTACTCGAAATATCTGAAAGATTTTATATATTGTATTAGAAAAACAAAGTAACCAGAAATATAACAAATATTATTATAAATAAAATACAATTAATATTATAACATACAATATTAATTTATAATTAAGACAGTTATAAAAAAAATATAGCTATAAGTTTCATTATGTATGTAGGTAGGTATGTAACTTTCATGTTTCAAATGAAAGTTTTTTTTTTAATTTGTGGCAACCCAACTGTTTGGAGTGGGTGGTTTGATTTTCCGCTCAAGTATCAAATAGTATCAATACACACAATAAATCATTTACTACTCTTAATAGTAAAAGTCGGCATTAAAAAAAAGTAACACCTTTTTGTTGTTCTGATTTCTGTTAATAACTACAGAAAAAAGAGCTATCTTCTACATGAATTTATAGTTATTTACCCATGATATATGAGTAAACAATAAAATATCCTCCTTACTTGAGTTGTACATCTTTGTCACAAAAGTGTAATCTTTCATAGTCCAGTCCACATTCACCGATGGCAACAACTTTGTCCTTATTTTCATTTATTAAGGTTTTTAGACCATTCAAATATGTTTCAGCATCTTGTAAGAAGTCATTACATCTGGTAGGGTGACAGCCTACTGTTGCGTACAACCTGGCTGAAAAGAGTTTTTATTAACTGGCAACCTAAACCTTATTTAGTGTCTATAAAATCATTGTTAATTTTATTATTTATTGAGTAGTGTATAATTAGTAAATAATAAGTGAAATATTCATGTAAATATGCAAGTATTCAGTATAGTAAAATTTAAGTATATTGAAATTTATTATTGAATATTAAATTGAGTACCCAAACTAAACTTTTTTAATTATTGTCAATTCAAAATCAATTAAGTAAATCTTACAATTTGTTCAAATTAACCATAAATTAATTATTCGGTTTTATTTGTACTGATCTAAAAGTTGTGAACAAAAAATGATTGTTAAAAAATTAACTTTTATTGTATACTAGTTATAGATTTTTAAGTATCTCAGAGATAAAATATTAACTTACAGTCTGATCGAGCCATTTCAATAGCCTTCTGACCATCAGTCAATGAGCCTCCTGTTATGATCATTTTATCCAGTCCTCCATCCCAAGCCCGAGCTAATACTGCGTCTAAGTCAGGCTCGTGCTTTTTAGAACCATGGTACAAACCCTGATACATTTCATCTGTTAGGTTTGCACCAATATCTGAAATTTTGTTAAAGTATACCTAGTAAATTATTAAGGTAGAATATTTAATAGATAGAACCTTTAAATGCAAGTAATCTTATTTACATATACAATTTCATGTTGATAAATAAAACGAAACTTTATATTAATAATCTGAGTATTAAGTATTTGTCTGTGACTGACTGAAAATATTTAAAACTTACCTATGTATTTTCTTAAGGCAGCCATTCTTTTCATGAGATTTATAAAACTTTTTCAAGGTGAAGATTATGTAGCTTTTATGTTATACTCTCTTCAGGGTTCTTGTTTTTTCAAGAATATTGGCAAATCTCTAATCTCTACCAGAAAAATAGATGGAACATGGAACCACTGCTGAATCACCTGTTGTTGACAGGTTACTTTGACAGCTAGGTACGGAATTTTATTTTAAGGTTAAGTCACGTTCAGGATATAATTGTAGTATTCTTTTGTTTAGATCAGTGATGTCTGGTTTTAATGTTGGTAGTTAGAATTCTGTGATGCTTGAAAACCTGTCTGTTTATGCAGATTGTGTAAATATTCCGTGATAAAATAATATAAAAGCGCTCTGACATATAAGTATGATTTTCCCTTAATTGTAGCCTAACGAACCTTATAAACTTATTGGCGGGAATTTGAAAAATGCGGTTACCTACTTAAATTATACACGTACTAAATTGCTAAAAAACTAAATATCAACAAACTATTTGAACTCATAGAGCAACAAAACCCTCGAAAAATGAATAAAAAATAATAATAATTTCCCCATACCAAAAGCAATCTCGACTCCTACACAAAAAAATACCTAATATCAAATCGAGTTAAAAAGGCTGTTCATAGCAATTAACTGAAGTTAAGAAGTAATAAAATGAAAATCCTATTACGCTGACTAATCCTATTTCGGATAATAGAGTACAGAGAGTTCACAGATTAAGGCTATTACCCTTTTCTGTACCCCACTTAGTTTTTATTGGGCATGTTGCGGTTTAACTCTCTTGAGGTGAGGCGTAATTATTATGAGCTGTAAGACACTGCGTGGTGAATCTGACTGTCCAGAGATAGTAGGACAGGTGGTGCGATTATCAGTACCCAGGCTGCTTACACACCAACTTCGGCCGCGTCAACATCCCTTATTGGCTGTACCAGAGGAGGCACGTACAATGGCCCATGCAAATTCTTCGCTGGTCCGAGTTCTCACCATGCTCAATTCTCTCCTGATGTCAGCGCCAGAATGTGATTTGTTTGCAATGAGATGGATAGATCTGTGTCGTGAATGTCTTAGATGTTGCGAGAGGATGGATGTTATGGTAGGTAAATTATATGTTTGTTTTAGTCTAAGATTACTATGATTACCAATCTTGTTATTCAGTGGTATTAAGAACTTTTATTTTTTTGTATTTAATCCTAATTAGTTTTTAAGTACCTAGATAATAGTATTTATATAAAATTAACAGTACTTATAACGTAATGGCGACGGCGTAAGATCTAATGTTGTATATGTAAATATTCTTAATAAATAAATAATCCATATACAATACCTGGGGGTTTCATTTAAAGAGTTTTAAAACCAATAACTTCATTGCTTCTAATCCTGAATAATCCTGATCGACAAGCTTCATCATTAGATCTTTTATTAGTTAAGAACACTCACCCGTACATACATACACACGATGTCGCCAAAAGTAAGTAGTCGACGAAATCCTGCTAAAAAGGCCGCACTCTATGAGGCTATCGTGCAGTGAAGGATACTTGCTGTTAGCAGTTGGTCATCGGAATAGGTATCTAGTTTTTGCAGTTGTTCGAGCTTGGGCTGACTACTCAAAGCCCATGGGGGACCCGTAGCGTATATTTTATATAGTTCGCAGTAAACTTCAAACACAGCGGGTGGAATACTTGCGCCGCCCTCAGCTGCAGATTCGAAGGACTGTAAATATCCCCGAGGATTATCCTCGGGGATATTTACTGGGGCGAATGAATCTACGCTATCTATGATGCTTTTAATTGAAGGGGACCACCGAATGACGAATGTAAGCAGTTCTCTTAGGGGATCGTGGTGCCCGAGTGTCTTCATTGCGAGGACCACCTAGGGGATACGGTGGAGCATACGGTGGCGGTATGCTCTGCCTGGGCTGAGCACGGCCGTGTCCTCAGGGAAGTGATCGGTGGCGGTGACCTCTCGCGAGGGAGGCGGCCCGCGTGGGGCAATCTTCCTCCTCGCGCCCCAGCCTCCGCAATAGGCGACACTACGGGCGTCGGGGATCAAGGGACGATCTTCGGCCACCGTAAGCGCGGGTCTGCGGTCGGCGAGTAAGGGCAGCTCGCCGCCCGACCAGAACCAGGCCCGAGCGTACGGAGCGCAGCGTTCCGCGCGCGCCTCAAAGAGCCAATAGACCACCACAGACGGGGCCCTATAGGGCTGATGTTCAGCCGGGGTTGCGGGGTAAGCGCAATGAGGCACCGCGACCTCGGCCCAGAGCAGGAGAAGGAACAGGGGGTTTTTAGTCAGTAAGAGTCTGACACTCCCTCCCGCCCGGCCCTGGGCGAGAGAAGTCATTTGATGATTTTCCCCTCACAAAAAAAGGCATCGTGGTGACCATGGCCTTGTATGACTGACCTGATACTCCTGACAGCCATGCGTACCTACTGGCTGGATCCCCGCCCTGGAATCTGTAGGCGAAGGCAGATACTTGCCTCGCTTTATCTATGACACGAGGGAACGGTGTTTCTGACTGAGACACGCAAACTAAGCAATAACTAATGTTAGCGCAGGTCGGACTTCGTCAGGTCTTGGTGGCGAAGTTGCGGGAGAGGCACGTATGTGTGTCTAAATAATCGTAGAAAGTACATATAACTCGGCAAAAGTCACATTGGTAGGTTCAGGTTTCCCGTTAACCCGCACTCTCACGCATTAGAAGCGGATGCTTTACCTCCATGAAAAATGATTGTAAGTTATCTAAGTTCCTAACAAACTCACCACTTAAAATAATTTTCTAAATTATTGAATTCAATGGTAAGGAAGCAGTACCTAGTCCGTTTCTTCGTTGTTTCCGAAACAGTAAATCTCCATACTGAGAAAATGGTGTATCACACCGAAACAGAACAATCAGGCAGTATAGTATCAGGCAGCATAGTATCAGGAACACATTTCTCAGAGTGCTTTTACTGTGACTGCAACTAGAACGTAGTGTTTATATAGGTACTTAAAATAAATATTAAAATAACCTATTTAAATAAATAAACAATAATAATAAATATGATTTTTAAACAATTGTTATTTATTTTATCAATCTACTATTGGTGTTGTCATATCAACCTTTTAGGTGACGAACCTTGTAAACGTAACGTACATCAACAGTTTGGAACGTCAACAAAACAATGACAAAAATAAAAGTAAACATCGGACAATGAAAAGTTCCCCAAGTACTAAATGTTTGTAAATAATTTATAATTTTCTTAAATAGTGAAATTATTGTACATGGCATTCGTTAATTTGTCATTTCCGGATACTGACAGGCAGAAAAGGTAGGTGGATATGATTATTAAATTATTCTTAGAAGACGCACTCGTTACTAATTGTTTTTTTTTTGTATTTTACATTATTGTGGTCACCTAGACCTACCAAAAACAGCCCGGGCTGTTTCAAAGGAAGAAGGCTTAAGCATAATGAGCATTAACCACTAACTACTGCGCCAGCTGAAAAAGGGTCATGGCAATTTCAAACTAATATTAATAGAAATTTTAAGTCCAAGTTTCCTCGTGGTGTTTTTCTTACCATATTTAAATCACGGATGCCCATTTAAAGGAGTATTAACGTGTACATTATTTCAAGTCCAAAGTGAAGAAAACTACTAAACCAATTTTAATGAAACTTTGTATTCATATATCAAGGTCTTGAAACTCAATTAACAACCATTTGAAGTTTTTTTTAAGCATGCAGTTGAACATTACTAAGAATATTATATTAGAATTACTCAAGTAGTAGTACAGATAGTATCTGGACTCTCTATCTTTAATTTATATGATCTTCATAAATTGTATACAAGGACCAAATCTCATTAAAGTACTTAAGCCTTGAAAGTTTGCACAGAAACTTGTGCTACATAAATACTCACAACTTCATCTGTTTTCAGCAAAAACAATGTAATTTATTAAGAAACTCATCTTTAGCTTAATATGACTTCAAAAACTGGATCTGGGTTTTTCCTTAGCACTATATTTGGCTTACATTAAACATAATAATAAGATACAACATTGTCTAGTGCATACATATAACATAAACATTCTCATATATATCAACCGCACCACTATATGGAATAAATAAAACACTTGTATATTTTTTATAAATGATATTTATTTCATCTTTCGCCTTCAGTTTGTAATTTAAGTATCAGATAAATAAAAGTTTTGAATACATAGTTTGATCAATACAATGGCACAAATAACAATGTTTGTGAAGCTCTTAAATTTAAATCTGTCTAATGGATGTATGTGCCAGCAAACAGTATTTTGTCTTCAAGCAGAATTACATATAGGAATGGATGGTCCACTTTGAATATCTTAGGGGGTGGTGGTCTTGAGAATGATGATATGCCTACTATTATGGCGCCTGGAAATTAAGAAAACTAATTATTGATTGTTCTTACCATTTAACAAGGATATGTCTGCAAAGCCCATGATCCAAACAAGAAATGAAAAGTTCTATGTTTATGAAAATTAAAAAAAAATAACCCTTTATCTTTATCATAATCAAGCTTCATTAACAATATATAAATAAAAAACAGAAAAAAATTACAGCTTTTCAAAATAATAATCTTTTTGCACAATTTAATCTTAAAGAATTGGTAAATTGAATTATTCTGTGATAGTTTTCGCTTTTGAACCAACTATTAGAGCTTGGGCACTTGGGCACCTAGTTGAGACTGATAGAAAGACGGATTTTTTTGCCCTTTTTCTGTGAATAGCTCAGTACAACTCACTAGCACCATTTAGTCAGTGCAAAAACGAAAATCGTCACTAAGCCAAGCGTTTCGCATTTCGATACAGCCCTTTTCCGATGTTTGTGGATAAGTTATCAGAAGCTTCTTTTTAACCACAAAAAAATGTATTGGCGAAAAGCATTTTCATTCCTCAAAATGTTTCAAAAAGCAAAGCTTTTCCTCGACCGAAACGAAAATAATGTGCAAGCATAGTACCAGCTCTAATTGTACCGCATATCTACAAACTGTAATATTCATCATTGTAACTTATGATAGGTATGAATAATACCTGGCAGAAGTCATGATCTTAATTTTGGGTGGGGCAAATGCATGCATTGTATATTTTCCCAATACTCTTTCTGGTTCTAATAATGTTATCACGCTAATAGGGTGTGAATCAGGAAATAAATTTTTAGCCAATCAAATTTTAAATGAAGAATAATAAGAAAATACCACAAAAATTCTGGCCATGGTTGGTGCCAGGTAAAATATAAGATATTTTATTCTTAAGAGTTCTTAGAATGCGGTACTTTTTGGTTCACTACCTATCTTGTTCATATGAAAAATTGTTCTGAGGCAGACAAAGGAATTAGAAGTTGAAAAAAGAAAATAACAGTAGTGTCTTATATAATCTGGTATAAAAAACCCAAAGTACCAACAGAATTAAAGCATATTAGGTACCATCACCATAGAAAAATTATAGCATCCCCGTAGTCTTAAAAAGGAAAGGGGATATTCCATTGTCAAATTCTTTTTATTTATAAAAGAAATAGCTTACACGAGAAGACTTACGTTTAAGGTTTAAATTGTTTGATGCGATCCTCGTAAACGTTCTTAATTCCCTACGAATATAACTCTGACCTACACAGACTGAATAAAGTACTAACAAAACAAGCAGAATAAAACCCGGCGCATGCATATAATGATGTAGGTCCGCTATAAGCAAAAATTAACGGAGTCCAATGCATGGGGAAAGAGAAATGTGAACAGGATAACTTTGTGAAATAAAAAATATCTAAAGATCAGCAATATGGCTTTTTAACTGCAAAAATCGTAGGGACAAGGGAGTAAAATAACCCTATTTTATTAAATACAATATTCTAACACTACCATCAATATATATTTATGACATATGCAAGTTTGTATTTAAAAATAAAGATAACTTTACTAAAGTAAAAGACACCCATAATGTAAATACCCGACATAAAAACAGACTGTACCTACCACCATCTAGAATTAAAATGCTTAACCAAAGTCCTTACTACATGGCAGTCAAAATATTCAATGGATTACCGAAAGACCTACAAAACGAAAGGAAAGAAATAATATTTGAGAGGAAATTAAAAAAGTTCTTAATACAAAAATGTTTCTACTCAACCAAAGAATACTTCGAAGGAAAATAGAACACCAACATTAATGTTAAAACCCACCTCATATACACACAAACACCTACCTACTAACTCAACTAACAACTTTTTTTTTTATTTTTTATTTATCTAATTCTGAACGTTTTTGTTTATTTTTTTCTTTTTTATGCAATGTAATGTAAATTAAGTAATTTTATATTATTTTATAAGCTATAGCCCTCTTTGCAACGCCTGAAAAAGGCCGTTAAGCTGTGCCTGTTATTTTAATTTAAGATCCTTGTACCCACCTTAACATGCAAATAAAGAATTTGAATTTGAATTTGAATTTGAAAATGGTGACAAAACTTTTACTCGACGGGAACCTTCTTGAGAGAATAATTAGCGGCTTTATCCAAGCTGATTAAAATTGCTATTTAGGGCCTTTACTTATCTGGGCCCAACTTAGCAGCTGATGACCCCGCTAAAATACCAAGTAATGAAATATATAAATAGCCAGATATATTATTTGATAAGGCCGCAAGCTTTTAATGGAACCATATTCAATGAAATCACCTCAGTGTGTGTAGGTTCCGGCAAAAATGACTTTATCTTCATAAAGAATACAATATAAAAATGGTCGATCGACTTTGAACTGCAGCTGTTCTGGTTTTGAATTTAATGACATTGCGTGCAGAACAAATCCTGTAATTAAAAGTGATGCTTATTGGTTGCGATACTGGAAGATGGAATAGTTGAAATACTCTGTCCCTCTGAATACTGTTTTGGGAAGATAATTCTCCAGATTTAGAATACTCATAAATGGATAATTCTACAATCTATTCCAAGTTTTGCCATCGCGTCAAGCTTAGAAATCGACGCAAGAGGCACTGGATGTAAATAATTTTCAACCCTATTCCCAGTGGACTTGTCTACCTAAATTAATGGAATGGGGTCCCGATCCCGATCGATGTGTGAAAAATGGAACGGCTAATACAATCTAGTGCCGATAAATCACCTTAGTTTGCGAAAGTGCCGGCAAAAAGAATTTTGTCCTCATACACAATCAAATATAAAAATGGATGATCAACTTTAAACTTCAGTGATGATGGCTGCTTAAAGTCCAGAGATGGAGGCACGGCAATAAATCCTGTGAATTTACAATGATTTTAGTGCAGGATTTATAGTCTATCATATTTTTGGGATTATTAGCGTGTGCTCATATTGAGAATAATATTGGTAAGCCATGTTCAGTCACATTATTTTTATGTAGATAAACTGCATACGGCTAGCCAAAATAACACTACCAATAACGACATTCCCATAATATTGGATGGAAGTAAATAGAAAAATAGAGACAAGTGAGCAGAAAACAATCTAAATTGTAGAATTGATTAAGAACCTGCACCTGATGCCTTGAAGTTATCTATAAATTTCAAAATGTCGTCTGTATCTACCTCTAAAATCAATGCGTGCAAGTACCGGCGAAAAGTATTTTGTCTTCGTAAATAACCAGGTATAAAAATGGATGGTCTATCATGAACTTTGGGGGTGGCGGAGGTTCCTGGTAATCTAGAGATGATCCAATGAAAATTTGCTCTGTGGAGGACAATGATTAATGGGACATGTAAATAATACAATGACTATGTGTCTCTTTTTCAGAGACCAAAACATAAGTTGTTTAGAGACCTCTCTTAGCATGTGCGAAATAGATATGTATTTTAGCTGGAACATAGAATTAATCATAACATCGCTGCTGTTACCAATCATTCTGTGGATGATTCATACCCTAATGAAGAACTATGTCAGTTTTCTATTTTCATACCTAATAACCGAGAGATTCTATGCCATGGAGAAATTGCACGAGTAACTGTATTGAACGATTCTAAACAGAATGAAATTTATTTAGTAATCCGTGAAGATAACTGTTTGTTATATTTACTATTACCCTACCCCACAGTAAAGTTATGTCAACCATGAAAATGATTTATAAAAGGTTAATTCAGATTACCACACCATTAGCCTAGTTAGTTACTGTTAGCCGTTGCCTTTTAAAGTATTTTTTGGTATCTACCTTAATGAGCATAGGTGCCGGCAAAAAGAATTTTGTCTTCGTAGAGGATCATGTATAAAAATGGATGGTCTGCAATAAACGTTGGCCGCGGAGGTGGTTGGTAATTTAGAGATGCTCCAACAGCAAGTAGTCCTGTGAACGGCAATAAATGCAATAGGGATTGACTTAAACAATCAAAGCCTCTTTTTTCGCGTGGCACTGAAGTGAAACATGAATTTGGTTCAGTAGAGGTTGCGGGCAACGTAACGTAGGTAATAAGTCTTCGGCCTGGAGCAGGACAAAGAACAGCGTGGTTTAGAGTTTGTACCTAAAGCGTCTGAGACTCGAGAGAAATAATTTGATGATTTTCGCCGCCCAAATAAAAATTGTTGGCATTGTTGGTAACAATGGTCATTATTAATTTATTTTGGCAATAGTTCGACATCCTATTGTTGCATTCCTAAGCTGACGAACTTAACTGACTAAACTATTTTTAGAGTTCCGTATCTATTGAGCGAGTTTCTATGCAAAGCATCTGAGATAGAGAGAGAGAGAGTGAATTGTGTTAATTGACAGAAGACAAGAAATACGCTAAAACTTAGAACTTCTGAGAAAGAACCAAGAGCGATGAAAACAATGATAATGATATGCATAAAAAGGTATGCAATTTGCAAATGGCCACACCTTTATGAAAACAGTTTCCTTGCAAAAATATTTTTTGAGTAACTACCTCAATGCGTGTAAGTGCCAGCAAAAAGAATTTTATCTTCATAAAGGATCATGTATAAAAATGGATGGTCTGCTATGAACGTCGGCGGTGGCGGTGGTTGGTAGTAAAGAGATGCTCCACCAGCAATTAGTCCTGTGAAGGGCAAGAAACATAATAGCGACCTGCTTTATACTAAATTCGAAAAATAAATTCAAAATATACTATCTTCACAATGACGACAAACGCTCTATTGGTAATGGAGAAGGATATCTTTTTTGGGAATTTTTGTGTTCATAAGTATGTTTTCGTTACCGGCAAAATTATTTTGGCATCCTAATAGAGTAAATAAAGAGTTTTTGGGATGATGCTAGGGAAGGACGCTTCTTACTGTGTTGGTATTAGAGTACCTTGTCGAATTGTTCCGTTTTTTTTTATCCTGTCGGATCAAAACCTAATATTTTAAATACATGTCTTCAAATATGACGATGTACGTCATTTTGAAGGTCTTGCCTTCTCTTCTCTCTCTTAGAAAGTTGTTGTTATGGTTGCTGTTATATTAACGTGCTTATATTAAAGTTTTGGTTGTTCTGACTATATTAAGAAGACCATTCACCAAGAAACTAAATATACTCAATGTAAAAAAAGTTACTAAATATTGAGCATAGGGTGAAGTGTTTGTAAAAATAATGTTAAGAAGTGAAGGGAAAAAAATGAAAGAGCTAAACTGAACCCAGTAATCATAATATTACCATATCAGATATCTATGTACCTCAGTGTGTGTAAGTGCCAGCAAAAAGTATTTTATCGTCGTTTAGAATGAGATACAAAAATGGGCGATCAACTTTGAATTGCATTGGTGGTCGTTGGAAACCTACTGATGTTATTACTGCGGCAATTAACCCTGTGGAACAAAGAATTCTAACTTACATTAAATAATTCGTTGCAGTTTTCTTAATATTATTCGTCTGTGATATAATTTAAATGAGTTCCTATTTCGACAACATCCCATGGTGCTGTTATATTAATCACTTTAAAATTCATTAACTAGTTTACTACTTTTATCATTGATCGTCATTCGTTTATAAAATTGCGCTTTTAATCCGCCGCAACTAACCAATTGGTTTCTTTTGGTATTTAGAGTGTGCAAGATTTCCAGTATGGGAAATACCTATAAAATATAGCTTAGCAGATATCGTTTCCTATCCATTTCTCTCCTCGATTATAGGTATAAGAACTAAAATACAGAAAACATAACTAACTGTTGTTAGATTTGTGGCATACACAACAAAATCATTGAATAGATCGTTAATTAGAATAATACTAGCTGGGAAACCCACATTGTTAGGCGCACAAAAGCCCATTACATTCCGCATTCCGTTTTTCATATCGGTTATTTTAATTTTGTCAATTGCAATCAACTCAATCATTTAATAGTCACCTTATTTAGTATAAGTGCCAGCAAACAGAATTTTATCTTCGGACAGAATGGTATATAAAAATGGACGGTCTACCGTAAATTTGACTGGCTTTGGTGGGAATAAATCTAATGAATCTGCTTCAATCATCGCTGTAAATGAAAAAAATTAATTGTCATCGATGATATTTGAAGCTGTACAGATGTTATTTTCTTGGTAACGATTAACTAAATGTAATTTAACTGACATCGCTTGCTATCCATTTGTTTCCTCGATTATTCGAGGCGTAAGTACCAAACCTAATGATCCAGCTATAATCATAGATGTGAATGCAAAATGAAAATTGTCATCAAAAACTTTAAAGTAGGATATTTTGGAAGCTAGAAAATGTACGGATGTTATTTTCTTCGAAATAATTGTGTTGGAAACGATGAATAAACTAAATACATTTGTAGCTTTAGTCTGTCAGACGGTAAACTCTCGCTGAAGCCTTAGTGCAACACTAGTTAAGAATTCGTTGCGGACTATGAAGGAATTTGACGCTTTTGTCGAAAAACCCCAATGCTGCAATTCGGATGAAAAATCATTACAAATTTTCAAGCGGCGCTGTACACAACCATGGCGAGCCAAAGTTGCTAGCTTTCCTGGTGAAATAAGTCGTCAACGAATATTATAAAATATTTTCGGACCCAAAATATACGAAATGGTTTCGGTATCGGGAAAAATATGAAATTTTAAGGAAGTGTTAAGAAATTCAAAGCATTTCAAAATTTAAGAAGTTCTGTAAAGACTAGAGTTATCTCTAGTAAGAAAACAATCAAGATAAATATTAAGTAAAAGAAGTAATTTTAGAATTGGAAAAAAGGACACCGTTCTTACTGGTTCTTACTACAACAGTATAAATTTCCTCAATCACAAGAAAACAAGGATGATCAGAAGATACTATATTATTGGTTAGAAAGGAAATTTGAGAATAACCCATCACTCGCAGGCATGCTGCATTAAATCTGCCATAGTTTTAAAATGAAGCAAAAATGACTGAAATCTGTGGGATCGTCACCTCATTTTGTATATGTGCCAGCAAACAGAATTTTGTCTTCATACATAATCATGTATAAAAACGGGCGGTCTACTGTGAACTTGATTGTTTGTGGCGGGAATAAAGATATTTTGTTTACTAATATTACCGCTGCAAATGACAAAACAAAGAGATTATATTAATTGATGCTATTTCAATTCACCAGTGGTATACTCCGATACATGAAACGAATAAGGCAAATAAAATCAGTTTTTAAGATTTTCTTCAAGGGCACATACATTATCATGATTAACCTTATAATTATCGTACTCTTAAACAATAGCGGAATCTTAGTAACACTAGGAATCAATAACAATATTAAAGCTGTTTCTTTGACTCTAGTCAGGCATTTATGAGTTAGTATTTTGTAAGCCTCTTGTTTTTGTTCAAGTTCTTTGTTTTGTATATCTGTATTGTAACGTATGGCGTTATAGCTGTGTGCTAAAATTCCTATAAATAAAAACTTAAAGCGCTATGTGGCGTCTTCTACAGTCTACTTCAAGTGCCAACGAAAAGAATATAGCTGTAAATGAAAAATGTTGGAGTCAGTCTACTTTGTGGAAGCTTACGTGATACGTAAGCTACGTGTATGATGTTGTGTTATTTTCATGGTAATAATTATGTTGAAAACATTAAATACACTAAATACAGTTGTAACGAAGCTTAGCTTTCAGTCCGTCAGACGATAAACTCGCGCTGAAGCCTTAGTACAATTCTAGCGGCATTACAAATGCGGACGATACGATTGAATATCTCTTATTAATAGAAGACAATAAAGTCAATTTTTTTGTAAAAAAAGTAGTAGACGAAGAAGAAGAAGAAATGGCAGCACTCTTCCTACAACAACAGGATAAGAAAACAAAGATGATCAGAAGATATTATATTATTGGTTGGTTAGAAAGAAAATTTCAAAGAAACCCATTACATGCTTCTTAAAAATGCATGCTGCATTAAATCTGTCAAAGAGATTAAAATAAAGCAAATATTTCCGAAATTTGTAGGATCATCACCTCATTTTGTATATGTGCCAGCAAACAAAACTTTATCTTCATACATTATCATGTATAAAAACGGGCGGTCCACTTTGAACTCGATTGTTTGTGGTGGGGATAAAGATAGTGTTTCAACTAATATTATGGCTGCAAATGATAATATAAAAAATAAATTACATGATGGTGACTAATTCAATTACGAAATACACGAAACACAAGGGCACATACATTGTGATGTAACAACAATAGCGAAATCTAAGTAACACATGGAATCTAACCGAATTTTATGAGAAATACATTATACCTAAATTTGGATCTGAAGAGAAGGCTTACAACAATATGGAAGCTGTTTCTTTGACTCTACTAGTCAGTCATTAACGAATAGGGGTATAAGTATTTTGTTAGCTTCAAAGTCCTTTGTTGTACAAATTTATTGTAACGTGGGGCATAATAACTGTGTGCTAAAATTCCTACAAACGACGACTCAAACAATACGGTGTCTACAACTACACGTGTCGACGGATAAACAAAAGCTTGGATTCATAGAAGACCTAGATTTTTAAGAAAATGTGGGCATGTGTGCGGACATGGATACGTTATGTGTCGGAGCCTTGCGCATGCTTAATGAAAAATGCATGCCACTAAATACTGCAGTACCTTCATGTGTTTTAATCGTTTCTTTATTTGGTGTAGGTGCCGGTAAACAGAATTTTGTCTTGATGTAAAATCGCGTACAAAAATGGTCGATCAACAATGAACTTTATTGGCTTTGGTGGTTCGTAATATGACGAAGTAAAAACCATTACCATTCCTGTGGATTGTAATCAAATTAGTTGTAGTTCGTAATCGTGATCTATCATATCATCGTTTATATTTGAGAATATGAAGAATTGTACTGTTTCTCTACTAGTTCCAATTACTACTGGTTTTAGTTCAATGTTACAGCTACCATTTTTAAAGTTAGAAACGTTGATAAATTTACAGGGGGAGGAGGAGACAAAATTCAAGTCACTATGATAATCGAAATAGCTATATAAAAATGAATTGCTGTTCGTTAGTCCCATTAAAAACTCTGAAACAGCTGGACCGATTTAGTTAATTTTGGTCGTGAATAATTCGTGCTATTAATAAGTACAAAAGTATAATCCCGTAATAAATAATTAGAATTAGAATTAGACATTCGATTGGTAAAGCATTTGCTTGGGATGCGAACACCATAAGAAGCATGTCCATGTATTTTATTTGTGTATGTTTACCTTACTAACGTATGTGCCCGCGAAAAGAATTTTGTCTTCATAAAGGATTAAATACAAGAATGGATGGTCTACTTTAAACGGGATGGGACGTGGTGGTCGGTAATCTAAAGATATTGGCACTATAAACAATCCTGTGAAAAATAATAATAAGTACATTATGTCATTGAACACTCTCAAATACCATGGTCGTTGTTTCTACCTCTTTCTGCAGCGGTAAACCATTGCTTTCCCCGAGACTTCACAGTAACAACATTTTGTCACAATGTCGTGTATTAGGGTGTACACAAAATTCAAAATCATTTATAACAAGAATTTTAAATCAGTACTTATATCAAAGACTGATATTAATTACGGACAGCCGGAATTAATAACAGCCTTATTTTACATCAGTCAGTAAGTGAAAACGCTCGTACATAGTTATTTGAAATTTACCTGTGAATGCTCCAGCGGTAGCTCCTTCCTCATCAACTTTGATGAAGGCTTCTTGGAATGCCTTGGATACTACCACAGATTGGCCTTCGACAACATCAAGTGCAGGTTCCTCAAAAAGTTTGGATACTCCGAGCTGTTCATAAAAATATAATTATAGAATAGCATATTGTTTAAGATTTAAAAATATGAAATATTATCTTGATTGAAACCAAAGCATACCTTTGGTAAGATTTCGTTGAAGTCAAGTTTGCTCTTAACTTCAAACTTAGGCAACTCTAATTCGACATCGGTACCAGGAGGACTTAGTTTGAAGACCTCATCGAGTAGTCCCTTTTGTGAGGCTTTCTCGAGCACTGAGGGCAGACCGTCTATTTCGTTCGGGAGCACAACGATCATGCGGAAACCTGTTTCTTTGTACGGCAACTCTACCATCTGTAATTATAAAGAAACGTTTGAAATGATAACTGGATGACATGCTATTTTCATCAAATATATCAAATAGCGTTGTTGTCCCATTTTCCGATGGACAAAAAGTTAGGATTGATGAACAGATTGTTAATTTTGAAGCGATCATCAGCGTCGCGTCGGTCGTACTGATCGCGTTTTTAGTGAATGCAATAACTTACCTTAGCACCAAGTTCAGCGCTCTCAGCATAGTACAAGGATTGGGTCAGGCGCATAGTTGGTTTTTTAACTACCAAGTCTTTGGTAACATGGAAATCTTTTTCTTCTGTTTCATTTGCTTTGAAGGGTACATGCCAATGTCCCTGAAATTTGTAAAAAATAAGAAATTTTGTTACTGATCTGGTGTTTGTTTGAAAAGTAATAGTTTGTAAAGCGACTATTCTGAATTTATTTCGAAAAGTCTCGGTTATGTATCAATATTAAAATACTGACCTTGAAATAAATAACGTTGAATAGAGCAGCAGCCACGTCACCGTTCAGCATGCTGGGTTGGACGGGATCCTTGATTAAACCTTTCGTCTTTTCATCGGCCTGAAAACATCGAGGTAACCGTTACAATATCTAAAGCGGGGTTTCTTAATACCACGTATGTTACATGCAGACGCTAAACATAGCCTGCCTAAGTGGTTTCCAGTAAAACCTCTCTGAATTAGGAAGGGATTGTGGACGAAGGGAACGATTGAGCCTCCCGTAACCTCACTCACACGGCGAAACACGTTGAGGTTCTTTCACGCCAGTTTTATGTGAGGCCGGGGTATCACTGAGGTCGACCCTAGCCATTCGTGCTCTCCCACGCTTACTCCAGCAGTCGATGTCTTGTGGCTATGACGGAGTATGATGAAGATGTCGAGGTATATATGGCAACTTACCCATTGGTTGATGGCAGCAGCAGCAGCCTCTTTGTTTCCAAAATCAAGTTTGTCGACCTCACTGCGGTAGCTTCGGACTGCAGATGTGAACGTGTCTTTCAGGTTGTACTTGTTTGACACGTACACCTTGTTGGCAACTGTCAAAACGTCCCGGTTTAGGTCGGAGAATCTCACACTCAAATCTCTGTAGGATGTCTGAAAAAAAAAACGAAAGTTAATATTCAAGCCCATCAAAATGCCGTGAGAAATGGCAAAAGCCGTAACTCAGTCTCCGTTACTTTTTAAATTTACCTAAATTTCATAGATTTAGCTTGTTACCTGATACCAGAAATACTAAAATCGTTTTACTTGTATTCTGTTTTGATTGTTTATTGAATACTTAGTACAAAACTCGATAAAAACGTTTTCATTTAATTGTAAATGTATAATACGGGTGAAAATTAAACTGTACCTACACTTAGGTACTGTAATATATTTGAATGACTTAGGTACTAACCGCGAAGTCTGCGCCACCTAAGTAACGAGTGATTTCTTCCTTGGTTTGGGGCCCTGCGCCAGAATTGAACAAAGACAACAGGATCATAAGACTTAAGGGGGATGAGACAACGTTCTTGTCCTCTGCCAAGGTGTAAGCTTCCTGTAAACATAAACAATCATTATTATAACTAAGTGCCAAAAGTCTGCCTTGTACTGTGTTGGTCCTTGAGTCAATTAAGTTTTACAATGGGCATTATAAGGCCGCCCGTACGAAATTGTGTAATATCAAATTTCCTAGTAAAGAATTTCTCGTTATCGTTACGAATGGGTATAACGAAAAGGTCGAAACGGGGTGAATAGAATTCGAGGGGTAAATAGACGCAGAAAAGGGGTAAACAGATACTAGGAAAATTCGCCAACATCTATTCACCCCTTTTGTGGGTCTATTAAACCAATATTATAGGTAGTTATAACCTTACAAGCGTCTAAGTATAAGACGCACTTGTAGTATTTTCGAAAGGAAATTTATTTTACTTTGCTATCAGCAATCATTTTACCTTGAGAAGCTTCAGGGTGGCCGTATCTATGCTTTTACCAAGAGGTGTTTCTACATAGTTCCGTGAGAAAAAATCGTCGTAGTCAAAAGGCGACGCTAGCGCCATGCCGACCAGACCTGTAAACGACAGATAAAAAACTTGTTACAATATTTATTTTCGAATATTTTTTTATAGGATAGAGTAGTAAACGGGCTGACGAATCACTTGATGGTAAGCAATCAGCGCCGCCCATGGACACATATAGCACTAGAAGACTTAAAATAGCGCTGCCGGCTTTAGGATTAGGGATTTGGGGACCTTCGAGTAAGAGCTTAAGTAATCTTAACACGAAGAATATACACCCTTCTATCATGTGAAATTTTTAAGCGTGGAAGAGCCATCCTTCAACATGAATGGGTCGGCTCGACCGGTGTGATACCAACTACCAAGGCCTCACGGAAAGCCGGCTTAAAACGCCGCTTTCGTAGTGTTTCGCAGTGTGAGTGAGGTTACCGAAGGTCCAATTATTCCCCACCCCCACCATCCTCAATACTCAAATCCTCTTATCCATAAATCCCTAATAAACTATAAAAAGCCGGCAACGCACTTGTAGTAACTCCTTTCGTACTACGAGTGACCATGGGCAGCGCTTATTGGTTACCAGGTAATCCGTATGCTCGTTGACTGACCTATAAAAGCACAATAAAAAAAAAACAAATGCGCGGTTATGTTTGAAACGTGATCAAGGAAGCACGATACATTCACGTGTTTTAACTTTTGACAATTGTTTGTGTATTATAAGTTTTGTTTATCTATTTCAAGTTTTCGGTGATGTATCTACCGAAGACTATAATAATTGGTATATAATATGTACCTACCACCGTTAACCAGAGACTCTTTATCTTAAATTGTGGTTGTCTCCTGTTCTTTTTGTGATCACGTTTTATTTATTGTCGTGACCTTTTCACTGTCAAGGCTTCGGATATTTATTTTAAATATATAACGTGATTTAATGTGTGTTTCTTTATTCATATTACAATTATCAAGACAAAGTATTTGCGGTTTAGCAGCGGGCATATTTGGCGGAAGTATTTCTTCAAGGAAAACATCGTGTGGAAACCAAGACTTATAATTTCTAATTATATGACTATCATAATTCTCTGCATCTTCGTGACGTCATAATGGGTACCGTAAGTTAGGGTTACTTTGACCCTACTAGTCTGGGTGGTAACTTTGATCCAAATTTCCTAAGCGATAATAAACGAATATACGTTTGGATCTTGGTAATTATTGGTCAAGGGGTTTGTATTAAACTTACCCAGGGTCAAAGTTACCCGAACTTACCCGGTAAAATTAAACATTGTGCGATCGCTGGGACATACATACATACAATTGGGAACTCCCACTATTATAGTTTAACCAGTAAAAAGAATAATGACATCACTAACACGTGAGCAGTTATTTGCTCTCAATTATATTTATTTTACTGAATTTTTCCTCTCTGTGTTTTTTTAAGACATCGAGAGGTTCGGGAACGAAACAAGAAAATACTTAATTAAAAGATTTAGGTAAAAAAAGCTAGTAAAAATTTATGTTCCTATCGACCAAGGACATGCTGACCTTGACCGATATTTTTTCAATTAGACGTTTTTGTTTGTATATGTTTATTGTATAAACTAGCTTCCGCCCGCGTCTTCGTTTATATAAAAGTAATTTATCCCGGGATTTTAAAATATCGAAAATCAAGTTAAATTTATAGCCTATACTATAGCCCTCGGGAATAGCTAAGCTGCCTATCAGGGCTGTCCAACGACAAGCGGTTCCAAAGATTACACCCTACATAAAAACTTAAAAATGTTACCTCTTTAATTTATAATCAGAATATGTAGGTATCGCCTGTTTGAATATATTAAATAATTAGATAATCTTTGTTGATATCTATCCACAATGTTTATGTTTCCAAACACACATTTTTTATTTTTTGTTGGTTTAATCGCAGTACTTTTCCGTTCAGCCAATTTACAAGTGTAAGGAATGGAAAAGCTGCAGCGCTCCGTCTCGTACTATCGAGGGCGCGAGAAGTTATTTGACAACATCCCTCCTCAAAAATAAAGTAGGTAATATAGATTAGGATTGTCTTTAGGTCGATTATGTATACAATAAATGGTCAATACTAACAAATTGTCGCTAAGCCAAATAAAAAAAGAACAAACGACCTATGAGATCCATCACGCATTTACGATCTACCGCTCATCGTGACCTTGAAACGGAAACGACCATGGCAACAATTATTACAAACAACAAAATAAAAATATAAAGTTATGCATTATATCACAAATCACAGTGGTGTTTATTGTAACCTATTATCAACGCACGCGGAAAGGTCATATTTTAATGATCCCATTGCTTTTATCAGACAAAATAAATCTAATTACATAATTAGGTAAGTGATATACATTTTCGAACTGTTTATTTTTTTCCTGGAGCAAGAGAATCATTATCATCATCAGCCTATAAGTGCCCACTGCTGAGCAAAGGCCTCTTCTCATACGGAGAAGGTTAGAGCATTAATCACCACGCTTGCTCAATGCAATTTCAAACATATAATTAGAAATTATAAGTCCAGGTTTCCTCACGATGTTTATCTTCACCGTATATCAGTGGTGTCTAAATAATCATAGAAAGTACGTATAACTTGGATAAAGTCACATTGGTATTTGACTTTCCAGGTTTCGAACCCCTCATGCGTGAGAAGCGGGCTCCTTAACCTCCGGACCACCACGACTATAGTCTATATTATATCATTCGTATTTTTAGTCAGTAAGAGTCTGATAATCCCTCTTGCCCAGCCCAGGAAGGGAGAAGTCATTTGATGATTTTCTCCCCAAAAAAACAGGCGCGTCTTGGCCCGCACAAACACAATCAAAATCATATGGCCAAGGTACATACAACGGAAACCTTGACGCGTCGCGTCTCCGTAAATTATTAATTATAAATAATGTATGATATCTAACTTGGTATCTAACTAATCAATCAATTACATTTTAAAGCATTAATCAATCGGTCATTGCACTGGACAACATTAGAATTTCAAACAGAATTTTGAGCATAATCATATTCATTCTTTTTTTAATGGTTTGAATTCAACTTCCAAACTTAGTATAAATGCGAAAGTAACTCTGTCTGTCTTTTCTTCACTACTGTAACAATTTCTGTGAAATTTGGAGCAGCCATAGTTTGGAACTCGAGAAAGGACATAGGATAGTTTTTATACCAAAAATCTTCTGGAAGTCATTATATCACGTGAACGGAGTCGCGGGCAAAAGCTAGTTTTAACATATCTTTTCTTTATTAAAACGTTGCCCGACACAAGGATTTTTACCTGTGTCCTGGTCACATGTAGACCCGGGATATAAATTGTGGATCATTCTCACAGATTTGTTGCGTATGGGAATCGAACCTACGACACGTTGTTGAACAGCTAGTTGCCCAACTACCGCTTCTTACTTTTCAATATGCAATTTTATCTAAATGCTATTTGGTAGGTAATAACTTAATGAGGTACCTACACAAAACAATAGAAAATTAGTAAACCGTGATCGGTGATAAAAATAAAATAATTAGTTTGAGATAAGTTATCACCATTTCAATCAAGTCAGGATAATTTTTGTCAGTTTTTATGTGATGCGGCGGCAAACGACCCTGTTGAGGGTTATACCCGCCACACCAGAGGAGTTATGAATGCGTTGTCGTCCCTTTGGGTGTTAGGGTTTCGGAGATTTAAGGATTAAGCCGGGGTGAGGGAGGGGAAGGTTTTCTGCCTCGAGTAACCTCATTGACTCGGCGAAACACAATGCTGCGGTTGTTTCACGCTGGTTTTCTGTAAGGCCGTGGTATCACGATGACCCATTCGTTCTAAGAAGGTTTAAAGTTTAAAAACAAATAGGTTAAGAACAATATGAATAGGTTGCTTATGGCCAGGCATGCACCATCGTTGGTCGCATTACCGTTTACCACCAGGCGCGACAGCAGCCAAATTTCTATCCATTCCGAAATAAAGAAAAAAAAGTTATATTTGATGCGGTAAACATTCATTGGGTCAGCTGCCAGTTTAATACGAATAACGTTCTATATTCAAATTTATTTCACATCCAGACATTGTGAAAGAGACCGTTGGTGTCTACATAATAAACCTAAAGGCCTAGTAAGGAGGTGACGGCTATCGCACGAATATACATTGAGATAACTAGTATCAGTTTGCAAAATAAGCTATAGGTAGTTATCGGGTCTGACAAACACTAGTCTGATAATAATACTTGCTTAGCACCGTCGCGTTTATATTTTTTTTTATAAGTGTTTGAAAAGAAATAATAATGAATTTTCATAGAAATAACGATTATGAGGTTCACCCGCCTATTATATCGCTCACTGACTACAGAGATCAGAGATTGTTAATGGGACGCAATACTAAATCTGAGTATGTATTCGTTTATTCATATTATGTATTAATATTAGTATAAATTGTTTAAATGGCTCGAATGATGGTAAGCAATCAGCGCCACCCATGGACAATTTTAACACCAAATAAGTTTCAAGTGCGTTGCCGGCGATTGGTATCCACCAAAGGCCTAAAAGGCCGTATTATTAGGGACTTTTGATCATTGGTTAATGTGCTAATTAAATTTCCGCCGAAGCATTATTGACTTTTTCGATTTTGAGAATGTCTATTGATAAGGTGGTGTTGCGGTCGCCATCATGATCTTTGGCAATACTCTCTCAGTTACTTTGGGATTAGGAGCCAACAAAGCTGTGCGTAAAGTCCGTAGTTTCTAGGTAGCCTTATTCAAAACTTTAATTAAATCGTCAAAAACGATACTTTTCAACGAATTTTGTACAAAATCGCGACTTTTGATATTCATATTTTAAATCCCTAAAATCCCCAAAAAGTGTTTATAAGGTAATTCTACTATAGGTACTTTTAATGTAAACTTTATTATTTTTGCCGTGGCACACTAATCAATTATAGTATAAATATACTTAATTTTATTGAAAGGTAGGTTCGGTTGTCCGGTACTATATAAAAAAAGTGACTTCTTACAGCCTTCTGTATTTTTGGTATGTGGGTAGAAGCGGTTTTATTACAAGAGTATTCTGACATATCTAACGAGAAGAACTGTGAGGCTAAAAATAAAAAAATTGTTTGTTTTTATATTAAAAATGGATGTTAACAATCCACTTAATTTTCCCGATTTCGAAGCAATTTTTAAGTGAGTATTATTATTAGTTATTTACACGATGCACCATTACAAATCTATACCCGCGTCGCATCAAAAATAAAATGCTGGTTTTTTTCGTCAAACGCCAAAATTGAGTGAAATTGAATTTAATTACGTAGAATGCAGTTTACGGCATCCAATTTAAAAGATTTAAGGTATCTACATAAGTACCTAAGAAAAGTTATGTAAAAGAGCAATGTTACATTTGACATTATTCAAGTATTATGTCAGTCAGTCGCGACGGTTTGTTAGGATCCGTTTTATTTTAGTTCGTACTTTCTTTGTGACGGTCACAGTCAAAAGTTTAATACAAGTTCGTGTTAACTAATATTAAAAATTAAACTCTAAAATGGAGCCCAGTCAGCCAAGCAATGTAGATAACGCCCGCCAGAACTCAAGGAAGTAGGTGTACTTATAAATAATTATTATATTATTTTTAAATTAATTTACCCATATCTGTCGACTTTTTACATGTCACTGCCGTCTGACTAATAATGTTATCAAAATTCTATTTCATCAAATTAAAATTTTTTCATCAAAATTCTTTCACTAAATATACCTAGTTACAAGATTCACGTGTGTTATATGCTAGCACGGCACTAATAAGTTAATATTTGCACTGTTTATTGTAATTATTAAATAATAAGAACATTAATTTTCCGACGCTTATATTTAATTATAGAATTCGGTAAACATAATCTTTTTTTAAATCTCCATAGTTATAAAAGCCTTCCCTTTGTTGCTGCAAAGAGGTATAATATAAGGAAAATAGTTACATATTAATATAACTTTTTTCACCTAACACGCATACATAAATTATTTCTATTTTGAGCGAAACCTGTTGACATGTTTGATTACAGCAAAAAAATAAACATGGATACATCGAATCACACTACCGATTCAATAGATTTTTTATCAATAAAACCTTGATATGAATAAATAATAATTGGCTTATTAATGTATCTTCATATTCTTATTCTACCTCCATAAATAAAAAAAACTTTGCTCTAGAAAAATCGGGTATATGTCAAATATAAAAATTCGGGTATTTAAAAATAAATTATAAAATATTCGGGTAAGAATGTTTGTTTCCAAAAATAACAGGGTATTATTAATTTTTACGTACCTAATAGTAATATTAACTTTGCCATGTTGTCAGTTTGAGAGATCTCACACTACTGAGATTCTGTGCGTATACCTTCCTTATTATAAGTGTCGGAAACCGTGATGTGCTTGCGCTAACAAGTTGATTCCAACCTTCCAACCGTCGATCGGCTAGTTTTTAAGACGCGGGACGAGACAACTAATTGTACTATGATGTCATCACTATACGACAAAATCAAAGACTACATTATCCGCCAATTGTACGATAGGTAAGAAAATATTTTAAACGTATTTTTGAATCGTCTGATTGTAATTGTTATAGGTACTTAGTTACCGATTGGATTGGAAACAGTTTATTGTATAGACGAATCGGTGTCTTATTGTGTAGATATCTATGAAGATGGAATTAAATATATTGTGCATTGGTTTTTGTATAATATTCGAATTTAATATTTAATTATCTACCTACATGAAAAGAAAAATATCTTGCAGATATGTACCTAGATAGAAAAGGTGTTATGTAGGTAGTGATATTTAATTTTAGACCTAAAGCATTTTACAGACTATCAAATACACTGGCAACTAATGAAAGTTAATTAACCTCTCAATTATTGGTAATTCGAGACACAATAGAAGAAAAATAGGTGCGCGAACGCCGGCGTTCGCTTGGGGTTTGGTCAATAATGTATTAGTAAGTAATTTGCCACAAGAGTAAGCAAGTTAATCGGACATTATGAATACAGCTTTAGCCATTGTAATTCAAATATAAACAAACTCGTAAACGTATATGTGTTAACTATAAAATCGTTTTGGGATTTACCAGTAAGCAGAGTTGGTACTACAATTTTTTACTTAGTGTACTATGTTCAAAAAATGTTTTCCTTATTTATTTTTTGACTAGAGCGGTAACAGGTTTTCAACCGGTTACGATTTACCGATTTATCCCTCTTCCTATAATAATTCTCTAGATCCAATGCTAATATTAAATTTCTCCACTATTTATTTATTTAAACTTTAATGTACACAAAACAAGTGATGGTACATAAGGCGGACATTAATGCCATGGCATTCTTTCCCAGTCAACCTTAGGGTTAAATAGGAAATCGGCGAAAATATAGACATGTGTAATTATTATATGGAATAAATAACATACATAGACTTTACAAAATATGTAGTATGTAACTACAAAATAATTACTACCTAAATATGTTAATATAAATAATATATACTACATAAATAATTTCTGCAATAATACATATACAATATACACACTATTATATAAAAGATTTAATAGATGTTATCATATCATACATACCTACATATAAACCGTCCGCTTCAATTACTCTTCACACATCTATTAAAAAACCGCATTAAAATTCGTTGCGTAGTTTTTAAGATGTTAGCATGCATAAGAATATAGGGACAGATAAAGTGAATTTGTTTTATACTATGTAGTGATGGAACCTTTTCCTAAAAATAACCAACACAACAAAATAAGAATTAGCAAAATTGGGTCAGGCGTTTTTTAGTTATTATACGCTTACCAACACATTTTGGTATTATTCATATTTATTTTTATAAAAATAACAGCGTTTTTTCTTCGAAAGGGTAAATAGGGATAGATGCTTTTAGGAACATAGTAACGCAAACTTTTTGTTCAATAAATTGTGTTATAGCTTAGATCCACAGACATATCTTCTTCTTATATATAAAAATGGATCGCAAAATGTGTTGGTAAGCGCATAACTCAACAACGCCTGGACCAATTTTGCTAATTCTTTTTTTGTTGTGTTTGTTATAGTCAGGAGAAGGTTCATATGAAAGAAAATTTTAGAAAAGTTGAGGGGGAGTTTGGTAATAGGGACCCGTGCGAAGCAGGGGCGAACTGCTAGTTTCAAATATAAGTCGTGCTTAGATCTGTAATAATTAGACACGCGAGAGGCCAGTCTAGTATCTGCCTTTAAGGTACCAATCTTAAATCTAGTTTTCGACAACGGCCAACTGTCAAAAGCATTTCATTTTAAACTTAAAAACTCTTTTTAAATGCCTATTATTAAAATTTGATAGTACGCAGGTTTTTTGAGAAGAAAATCATGCTAAATCTAAAAAACCCAATTGTTCTTTCTCCTGGTCCGAGGTCCGACCCGAGCCACGGTATATGACATTGTAGTTTGAAGCCCTTGCGCTTCTAAACTAATTGTGTAAACGCTAGTCGAATCAAGAAATTTAAAAACACGATATTAAATGAGGTTTTTATGAGAGGAAAATCATCAAATAACTTCTCCTGCCCAGGTTCGGGCAGGAGGAAGGTGTCAGACTCTTACTGACTAACTGACTTCTGCCGCCCGAGGCCGCGGTTCCTCATTGCGCTTACCCTGCAACCCCGGCTGAACTTCAGCCCTAATAAATGGGCTTGATGTAGATAAATTAATCGAATAAGTACTAGTTTCAATCTCACACATTCGTTTTTGAAGGGTAAAATGGGGTAAGGGGCAAATCTTAAAAAGGCATACTGAAACCGTCCTCTTCAATTGATTAATATTATATCTATTATAATCAACCGCATCAAAATCTGTCACGTGGTTTTAAAGATCTAAGCATACATAGTGACAGACAGCGGAAAGCGACTTTGTTTTTTAGGTACTAGGTAGTGATTATACCATTGTATAATATGTCATCTTATCTGGACTCATAGCACTGTTGCGCGAACAAATAGTTAATAATATTTTGTCGTAAATACAATGTACTGAGTACCAAACAGAATTGATTTTCGGAAATGATTAATCACCCTAGTACTGTTTTGCTCACACACGTGATCATTTTTAGTGATCTTTCCGTGTTTTTTTTACTTGAAGTAAACACTTAACTAGTTTTTGGTTTTTTTGCCTGGTAAGTATTATATTTTTTTAGCAGGTCGTTTAGCATCTCGCCTGTTAGTCCCCGGAGGTAGGCAGAAATAGCTGTGTTTATGTGTATATAGGTACTTATAAAACGTTCACTTTAATCCTAACTAATATTATAAATGCGAAAGTAACTCTGTCTATCTGACTGTCTGTCTGTCTTTTCTTCACGCCTTAACTACTGAACCGAATTCTGTGAAATTTGGTACAGACATAGTTTGAAACCCGAGAAAGGACATAGGATAGTTTTTATACCAAAAATTTGCCGGCAGTTACTATTACACGCGAACGGAGTCGCGAGCAAAAGCTAGTTTTTTTATATTTTTGTGACGTAGCATAAAATTTCTTCGTACGAGTAGACTGTGTTGCATATAAGTAAATTAAATTAAATCAAATGGAAGATCTACTTTTTACCAATTATGGATTTGAACAATACTCTACCATATTTTTTTTATAATAACTATCGTGAGACATATAAATTAAATTAACTAACAATCGCGGGTTACTCACGTGTCTATCTTGAGAAAAGCTCTACTAGTTTCGAACCACAGAGGGGTTCTTCCTACAAGATAGACACGTGAGTAACCCACGATTTACTGTACCATACTTTGAATTGAATCGGAATCTAAGAGATATTTCTTCTCCGGAAGTGTAGTCATGTGCTTGGAGCATGGGAAGGAATGGAGTGGTTTTTAGTCAGTAAGAGTCTGATACTCCCTCTCCCTCCAAGGCGCGAGAATACATTTGAAGATTTCCACTCTTAAAAAAACATATATTTTTATACATGTATTGGATTCAACATACTTATAAATAACTAGCTACTCTCGCGCGGTTTCACCCGCTGCTCGGTTCCATTTGATCGTAGTGGGATGTTTTATAGCCTATAGCACTCAGGAACATTGTAGCCATCTATCAGTGAAAGAATTTTGGTAATCCGACCAGCGGTTCCAAAGATTACCCCCTACATACAAACTTACAAATTTTACCTCTATAATATTAGGTAGCATGGAGTCTAAAATCTATTTCATACAGAGTGGGTTTGGTGCTCAAGCGATACAATTACTTGAATAACTAACGTTTTATTACCCCGGGTCTAGGTTATCATGTGTATTTGTTTGGAAACGCATCCACGATAACATCTTTGTATATACCACATTTTGATGAGGAAAAATGACAAAGATATTATTATTTTATTCAACAAATAACAATATCAATAATATAGAAATATTGTTTACTTATTAATCGTGTAAACACGTGTAAATTAACACTAAACTACAACAAATTATCACACAAATGTTTAGAATATAAAAAAAACTCCAAAATACAGGGCCGGATTCAACCAGTCATGGCCTATTTTATTATTAAACTTTTATTACGGTAACTGACCTTATAACTGACTAGCTACTCTCACGCGGTTTCACCTGCTGCTCAGCTCCGTTTGATCGTAGCGTGATGTTTTAGCCTATAGCACTAAGGAACATTGTAGCTATCTATCAGTGAAAGAATTTTGGCAATCCGACCAGCGGTTCCAAAGATTACCCCCCACATACAAACTTACAAATTTTACCTCTTTATAATATTAGTATAGATTGTTTAAATGTTTGCCTAGGAAGTGCAGGGAAAGTTTAAACGATGAGATAAATGTGATGTGCAATGCTAAAATAACACAATTTTCTTTTCCCTACCAACGGTATTAGACAAGAAATAAGACTGACATAATTAAAGTTAAGGTGACGAATCGAGCTAGTTTCATTTATACTGATACTAGCGACCCACTCCGGCTTCGCATGTGTCCAATACTGATACTAAATTCCTCGACTATTTAATAGATGTTATTATACATACAAACCTTCCTCTTCAATTACTCTATCGAGTAAAAAAAACCGCCTCAAAATCCGTTGCGTAGTTTTAAAGATTTAAGCATACAAAGGGAGATAGGGACAGTTAGCGACTTTTTTACCCGACTGCCAAAGAAGGAGGGTAATGTTTTTCGAGTGTATGTAAGTATGTATGTATGTCTTTTCCTTTGTGACCTCCTGTAGCCTAAACGGCTTGATGGATTTTGATGTATGAGGTATCGTTAGATTTGTCTTGATAACGGGAGTGTCATAGGATACATTTTATCCTAAAAGTCCCATGGGATAAAGACATAATAATATTTTTTCAAAACATTCACAATGACCGGTCGCCGGTCATTGTGAATGTTTTGCCACTGCCTGTGACGCCGTAAGTAAATAAAAAAATTATTATTAAAAAAACAAAATACCCGACTGCACACTAAAAAAAGAGTAAAATAAAAAAATTATTATTAAAAAAACAAAATACCCGACTGCACACTAAAAAAAGAGTAAAATAAAAAAATTATTATTAAAAAAACAAAATACCCGACTGCACACTAAAAAAAGAGTAAAACAAGCCCCACAATACAAATTTACTGAATATAATTTATAAATGTTGATGGAAAGCATCGCAGGCGGGGACCACCTTGACCGCCAGACCGCCACCAACGAAAATTCTGCTAAATGGTGCACAACAGAAATGACTATAAATAAGCCTCTGTTGGTCCCCGCCTGCGATGCTTTCCATCAACATTTATAAATAATATTCAGTAAATTTGTATTGTCGGGCTTGTTTTACTCTTTTTTTAGTGTGCAGTCGGGTATTTTGTTTTTTTAATAATAATTTTTTTTATACTATGTACTGCTTGATATTCGTTGGAAATCAGTTTTGTCGTTGTCATTGTAAATGATTTTAAAAGAATTTTCACTGAATTGTTTTTAATAGAATAATTTTATAGAGTTGAATTGAAACGCGACTCGGTTATTTTAAATTGAAAATAGGCAAATGCAATAGAATGGTAATTTCATTTTACTATATAAACATCAGCCCTGGACTTGGAACAACTTGTTGATTTAATCAAACTCGCGACACGTTGTCCGGCAGCCTATTGTACAATATATTGATTTTTCTAACTTTTGAGGGTAGATAATACCAAGGAACTTTATAAAGGAAGGAACAAGGAACTAATCCGGTTCCAGTCAAACGGATCATGCAGCACATCTGTTCATGACTGACCTTACTTCTTGACCTGGCCGGCGACTGTTCAAACCAGTTATATGCCTTGGCGAAGCGTAGAAATGTAATTTTGTTATACATCTTCTACATTTTTTCTTATAATGCATGCATGTTTGGGGTCCTTCAGGCGGTGGGCCAACGCAGGATATAGGTTAGTCCGGCCCTGCCAAAATATGGTATCTAAGTTCAATAGTTATCAAAGCAACTTGCGGTAAGAATGTATGGATTGAAGGTCGAATGTGAACAATATAAACCAGATAAATGGTATAAATATAATATATTCTATGTCACATATGTTATCCGCCGATAAATCCAAAAACGGTCTCGAAGGTCGCAGAGTAGGAAGCGAAGTGAAACTCCTTCTCGTCCCACCCAGGGTAGAATTGAGCTGGGGTTGCGGGGCAAGCGCAATGAGGCACCGCGGCCTTGGCCCAGAGCAGGAGACGGCACCGAGTTTTTTTAGTCAGTAAGAGCCTGACACTCTCTCTTGCCTTATGCCCTGGGCGGGAAAAGTCATTTGATGACTTCCCTTGACAAAAAAACCCAGGGTGGGATAAGTCATTCGATGATGTTCCACTCACAAAAATACCTAACTGATGTTCCCTGCTGAGCATAGGCCTGCCCATGGATTGGCGTTAATTAGGTAAAATCGATTAGTTATATGCATAGTTTCCAACAAGTCAATTTCTTGTCCCTTCTTGAAATGTCACAAACGATTATTTTCTATGAATCTTTTATGAAATAGCACGTTGTGACGTCATAAAAATTTTACGTAAAATAGGATACTTATTTCTCTTGAATTAACAATAAAAATACGAATGCCAAGTATATCGTAAAATAATGAATGAAGTATGATTGTTTTTTAGGAGGTATTCGTATAGTTTTATAAGTTGAAATAATTTGTTTTTGAATGAGGATACAAGCCAATTAGGCACCTGATTCTTTATGCTTGGTTGCAAAATTCTTAATGACCTAGGACATAATATTAAATGCATCCATCCAACCACTCCGCTAACGAGGCAGTCGGCAACCTCATGGAATAATAGTTGGTGTTTTTCTGAACGATGATGCAATTAAAAATCAATTATGTGCAGTTTAAATATTATTTTAAGAAACATTTTATTTGATGAATTCTTAGAAAATACCCAATTCATTCTAAAACCGGAAAAAAATCTGTAGACGTTCCGCATAAAAATACATATATGAACAATATCGGTTTATGAGTATTTTACAATAGTACATTATACATGTAATAAAGTATTAAGTATTGAGTACTTCGCCAATGCTAGTAATAAAAACTATAAATTGTAATATTCATAGGTTTTATTATTATACCTATTCGTACTTGTACATTTGCAAAATTGTCTAATAGATAGTCCAAGGTCTGATCAAAAACCCACCTGGTCTTTTTTTTTATTTGATAAATCACTGATTGTCATTCAAACACTGTGGTCTGGTGGAAGCAGTCGTGGTGGCCCGGCAGTAAGGCACCCGCTTCTTATGCATGAGGGGTTCGACGTATGGTTTCGAAATCTCAGTACCATGTGACTTATCATAATTATTCTTACTTTCTATGATTATTTAAACATCGTGAGGAAACTAAGACTTATTTAATAATATAAATTCTAATTATAATATAATATAATTTTTCTAATTACAAGTTTGATACCGCCAATCCGCTTTGCGCAAGCGTGGTGGTTAATGCTCAAACTTCTCCGTGTGAGTAGCGGCCTTTGCTAAGCTGTGGGCAGTTATAGGATGATGATGTAATGTAGACCTACATAAGTCTTCACAATCAAGTTAGGATTGGTCGACAATTGAACTTCGTTCATTTTCTCACAAGAATAAGAGAAACTGAAGCGGTTGGGTCTAACATGGGTAACACTTACAAATCGGCTTATAAGTTTTCTACATCGATGGTGATTTGTAAAGATATACAAATAATTGTTAACAATCAATAAATGTATACTCGTTTTTTTCAATATGTATAGGAGAATACCTTTCTATGAGATACTTAACCAATTTCTTTTTATCTTTCCAGGATAGACATAACAGATGTAGTGCTTAAAGGCAACTCGCTGGTGGCCACAGTTTCAGTCACGAACTACAATATTCCGTTCGTTACCAAAACAAGCCGGGAGCTCATAATCGGTGGCGTGGTGGGCTTCCAGGTGAAGGTGGTTACAGCCATGATCAGCAATGGCCATATGACGGTGTACAACAACTTGGTGTTCGTACAGTTCATCAAGCGGCGTCAGAATGACGAACTCAACTACGTGCTGAAGCTCACCGCCACCGACCTGAACATAGAAGACAAACGATTCACTAGCGACGACGGCACGTGGCACTTGATCAACGAGAACAAGCGGCTGCAGTACACATTCCAAGTGAACATATTGTTGGAGGTGGTGCCGCGCGTCAACTCCTTCGCAAGCTTGCACGACGACGAGGAGTTGACCGACTTCGAGCTGCGCGGAGTGGACGGCTCAGTACACATGCACCGCGCCGTGTTGGCCGCTGCCAGCCCCGTGCTGCGGCGCATGCTGGGCGGCGTGTGGCGCGAGACCAAGGAGGGCTTCGTGGACATGCCCGGCACCTCGCGCGCCACTCTTCAGGACCTCAAGAACTACGTGTACCTGCGCACGCTGCCCGAGACAGGACTGGAGGAGCTGTTGCTCCTCTCGTCTTACTACATGATGCCAGAGCTAGAGGAACGGTGCGTGGACAAGCTCGTGCAAAATGTTACCGCGGAGAACGCCTTCGAAGTGATCGAGTTCGCGGCTAAGAATAAGATGACACAGCTGATGCTGGCAGTCCTGGAATGTGTGGAGTCCGGGTTAGTTCACGTCTCAGAAATGCGAAATCACCTTCAGAAGCAGTGAACCCGCGCTGGTATTAAGTTACGCTTTACGCTTGGTCAATGACTACTCTTTCGCTATACTAGCGTACAGTGAAAGAGTAAACATTAAAACAATTTGAGGTCATACAACCCAGAGCATATTATACTTACATAAATGTAAAATTCTGTTATCAAATAGTATTATAGTATTCAAACGCGCTTCCGAACCTACAGTTGCTAAGATTAAAACTCTTCCATTTTTAAAATTTAAATAGCAATAGCAGCGCTAGGCAAAAGCTGTTTTTTTTTTCAAAATAGGAATCATATCGGTATTGTCAGGGTAAAAAGTCAGATGCGCTTGTGTTTAAGACTTTTATACAGGTCTCCACAAGCGCATTGTCGCTGAGCCTCTTGTTACGCCCCTAGATGTGTTCTAGCTGGTATTTAGTCGAGCCGTCCCTTAGTTAAGACCAGTATCTCCAAATAGATTATTGCGGCGTGGAGTATTGTCCCTCCCTCAACAAGGCGCTCAACTTCCTACCAGCTAGTGTGGGCATCAGAGTTACTGCAAGAAGCTGAAGCTTATAGCGGCAGAACATTCCGAAAAGTAGGCCTGGTCTAGGAGCCTGTCGCGAAAAAGATTTACACCTTTTGCCATCACGGTTAACGATAATTACGATTATGCATTTTACAATGAAAGGCCACGCGTATGAAGTTACAACACACAAAATAAAATACAATATTTTTTTATATTATAGCCCAATGGAAGCTATGACTTAATAAAATTAATTTTAAAACGTATTTTTGAATGCTTTATGGCTTATGTTAGCCATCTCATTTACGGTAGTTTTACCTTGGTACCAATTCTTGTATTCGTAATACTTTTTAGATATTATATTAAATCTTCCTGTAAAATTAAGACTGGTTTTAAAAATTGACTGACGATATTTTTTAATGTGATAATAATAATTGTATTTTTATAATAAAGTATGCCAATCATAACTGTGTTGTTTTATTGCAAACTATCCTAGCTTCAACTCGTTAATGTTCTAGTGAATTCGACACATCGAATGTTCCGGTAATTTTACCTATAAATTTCAAAATAAAGTGGATGCATAAACAAATGGTGGGTACCTAAGGTGTTACTGTTTTTTTTGGGAAGAGAAAAATCAGGGGGTAGATGAAGATTCATCACCCGAATGCAGGGAGCTGTGACATCGCGTCTTCAGTCTGCTTGTGACCACGACCTGTGCAACCGGGTCGAAACGTCAAGCCTACCAAGGTATTCAAATTATAATTTTCCGCGTTAATACCCGCGTAAATATAATGTTCTTAAGAGAAAAATCATCAAGTGATTTCTCCTGCCCGGTGTGAAGCGCGAGGGAGTGTCAGACTCTTACTGACTTAAAAAGTAAACCGAGGCCGCGGTGCGTTATTGCGCGCAATCCGGCTGAACATCGCCCTACTGGACCCCGTCTGTGGTTGTCTATTGGCTCTTTAAGGCGCGCGCGGAACGCTATGCGCAGTGCGCTCTAGGATGCCAAACAAACAATCGTAGGTATAGATAATCAGTCAGATACAGACAGATAGACAAATAGTTATTATTGTAGGTATACAGAGAATATGAGTACGTATGAAAGTGCAGTTCGTTTGCTGCTGCCGACTGCTAGCGGCAGACATTTCGTCGCTTCATGCTAACTACGGAGGGAATTTTATAGAAGCGACGACATGACGTCTGCTGCCGCGAGCTGTCGGTCGATTAGTCTCCGATTTCCTTTTTTCACAGCATTTTCCATATGTACTGAAGACTACATGCATCTAAGTACCTTAATATAGTTTCTGTATGTTTTCAACTTGTTAAGACGAAAATACAGAAATATTACCATGTTTCTGCGCTTATTTCAATTTATATACCTAAGATCAGTGCAGCATGTCCTATTCCAAAATTTGGTATCAACCATCTTCTTAGTAAATACACTAAATACTCTCTTTTTTATGTGATAGGACGGCAAACGTGTATATGGATTACCTGATGGTAAGCAATACTTACCTAGCGCCCTCCATGAAAACCCGCAACAAAGAAATAGTTACGAGTGCGTTGCCGACCGCTTTTAGGAATTAGGATTTTGAGGATTTAGGAACTGGGAGAGGGAAGGACTGGGTCTGTGGTAACCTCATTCACACGGCAAAACATAAGATGTGGTTGTTTCACGCCGGTTTTCTCTGAGGTCGTGGTATCACTCCGGTCGAGCCGACCATTCTTGCCGAAGCATGGCTCTACCACACTTAAAACTACTTTCTATTCTAGTCTAAAATATTATACCTAATCATTATTTTGTACAATCCTTCCATCGATTAGTTGATCTTTTCCTTCCTACTCATACAACATCATACTTATGCCTACTTAGAACTTTGGCCATAACATATTTCTCAGTACTCTATATCAAATAGGTACTCATATCATTATAACCAATTTCTAATAAATTAGGTAGGTACCTAGGAAAAAAGAAAGAATGAAGAAGAAAGAAGAAAATAAATATAAAAGAAATATAATGCGTGCCAACCCTAACACTGCTTTTTCAGTAGGCAATGTTGTCACTTCTATGTTCACGCAGGTTCATTGTCTTGAATATTTGATGTTCTATGATTTCAAAATAGCATAGAAATTAAACATGATATTTATTTTTACTCTAATATTGAATAAACTTACCTGATTGTTGTCGTACGCTGTCAATGTGTAAAAACGTGAAACAAGATTTTGGCACAACCTCACACGAGTCCTATTTCAATCATGTCTCGCCGACGACTGACTAGTTAGTAGTGTTTCCACTTTAGTGAATTCTTTTCCCCACGTTGTCTCAATTATGATTTCCCCGTCCTGAGGAATTTTTCCCCGTCCAAAATGAATAAGGGTCAACGCCCCTCGGGATCGAAATCGTCACTCGTAGCTGCGGCCTATATTTCCTTCTTGATTAAAAAATAGATGCCCTGCCAAGTGGTCTACTTATATTTTTTTTTTATGTAATAGCTCGGTCGGCAAACGAGCAGACGGATTACCTGATGGTAAGCAATCAGCGCCGCCCATGGACACTCGCAACGGAGGAGTTACGAGTGCGTTGCCGACCTTTTAGGGATTAGGGATTTGGAGATTTAGGGATTGAGGAGGGATTGGGGAAGTGGAAGGATTGGGCCTCCGGTAACCTCACTCACACGGCGAAATATAACGCAGTGGTTATTTCACGCCGGTTTTCTGTGAGGCCGTGGTATCACTCCGGTCGAGCCGACCCATTCGTGCCGAAGCATCGCTCTCCCACACTTAAATATTAATAATTAATATTCAGAATTCAATTGGTTTTTATATAAAACCTACAATAGTGTCGCCGTATGTATAGTTTCTAATAATGACACTTATAATAATACTTACAAACATTAGTTAGGATAGCTACTTTCTGCAATATCCACTAGGTTAGACTCTATCCACAATTTCTCTAATTTTACTTTTGATGGCTTTCCTCTTTTCTTTCCCTCTGGACCCTAAATTCCCCTCAAAAGAGGAAGTTCCCTCATTGTGGAAATATATTTAGTGTTACCATGGAAAAATTCAAATTTACCCAAAAAAATAATGTTGACAACTTTACAAATTAATTTACAATCCAAGATTTTTCTTTTCGTGTTCAAGCAGAGGTATCCGCCTAGGGCAATGTTGGTCGGTTTCACCGGTATATAATGTAAACCTAGAGTTAACAAACAAGTACTATGTGTTTTTTGGTAGGGGAAATTCATCAAATGACTAATCAACGGCCGCCTCACCCTGGGCGGGAGAAGTCATATGACAAATAACCCCTCAAAAAAAAATCTCCAAGTTCCCTATACTATCCGGGCTTTACACAGAAAAAATACAAAAAATATGAAGAATAACTGAAGAAGGTAAACAAAAAAATGATAACAATAATACTTTTTATTAAACAAAAAAGAAAACAAGAATAAAACTTATTTGGAAAAATACTAACACTTTCATGGGTATCAAATTCATTTAATATTGTTACAATTGCATTGTTATATTATATAATTTATACTATTATTAATTACAAAATGGAATGGCAGAATGAGCAAGAGATATTTATCGTCAATATTCTTAAATTAGTGTCTTAATTAAACAAATGCGAATTGAATTCATAATATATATTGTATTATACAGTCTGCAGTAAGGAAAGGATAACCTTCAAATTGATTTTAGCATATCTTATGGCGATTCAGAAAAAAATACCAAAATAATAATAATTTGCAACAATGTTAAAATATCTTAGGTATGTAATAATGTACGTTGTCGAAGGATCATTTTCTATTTCCTCTCAAACCTGTTATTCTTTTTCAAAACATCATAACTTAGGTACTATTTATGTTTTTTTTGTTTGGTATTTTTTCTGAATGGCCACAAGACATCCTAAAATGCGTTTCAAGGTTATCCCTTCCATATCGGACATTTTGTATAATAATAGCTTATACAGAACTCTTAGAACAAAAGTTATACAAATTGATTGTTTTATTTAATTTTGTTTATTGCTAGTAAAGCGGTATAGTTATAGCTTGACTGGTACCGCGTCTTGGGTATGCTTGGTAGGTAGATGGAAACCCGGGTATAAAGAGCATATATGTCCACCAAAAAGAGGTACTATTTTTGCTTATGACAAAAAATTATTGATATTATTCTGTGAGCATCATAAGTATATGTAGCCCATTTTATGTGGGAGATCCCAGCTTAGGCACGAATGGGTCGGCTCGACCGGAGTGATACCACAGCCGCATAGAAAACTGGCGTGAAACAACCTCATAGTTCTTACGCCGCGTGACTGAGGTTAGCGGGGACACAATCCGTCCCCTTCCACCATACTTTAAATATACGAAACACTTATTCCCAAAAGCCCGGCAACGCAATCATAGCTCCTTTGGTGTTGCGTGTGTCCATGGGCGGCGCTGATTGCTTACCATCAGGTAATCCAACTGCTCATTTGCCGACTTTTCTCATAAAAGAAAGATCCAGTAGGAACATGTCTCAATTACATTATGGGACACTTATTGGTAATGTAAACTTTTTAAACAGCCAAGAATAATAACTGTTCCAAATTCAAATTGTTAAATAGGGCTTTGGTATTTGTCCGGAGTTTACGTCAAAAATACATTTTAAATAAAGATAATTCCACATATTTAAAATTCGAATAATTTAGCAGTCATAAGAAAATATAACGTAGGAATTAATTGCAAGTTTGTCAGGCAAAACGCTTGTTTATTACAAAGGCATTAAGGCTGATATTGGCAGAACACGAGTTTAACATACTAGTATTTGTTTATTTGTTTAGGCAATAAGGTTGATCATGACAATGATTTGTAGGAGTATTATTGCTATGTCCGTGGTGTGACGGTAGCGCTAATTTGTAGTGCGGGCGGGGCGCCATCTAGCGGCTGTCGGCAGAGCTGCGCGTGTTGCCAGGCAACGTCGCCTTCTCCACCCGACAACTCTACGCGTAGTATTAGCGACCGACACGACCGATCCAGGGTTACACCTCGCTCTAAAAACATAAAATAGTTATTAAACCATTAGGACTTTACGTAATGACTGCACGGTTGGCGCAGTGGCTGTGCAACGTGTAGCGGGTTCATCTCCGCATGGAACTATACTTTGTGTGATTTACAAATTGTGTTCCGGGTCTGGGTGGCTTGTGTATGTGAATATTTTTATATGTTTGTAAACGCACATACGACAAAGTAGATAATCCTAATGTGGGGCAACGATCCATTAAATTCAAATAAAAAAACAAAAAACATGTGTATATGTTACAAAAAAAGAAAATGTCATTACATGTAATGGGACATAATATATCATAAACTAAGAGGAAATTAGTTATTGTAATTAGAGACATGCACACAGAAAAAATGCCAACAACTAAACATAGTCACCGAGTATTCGGCTCCCGATTAAAGGTCCCAGTGTGGCTCGAAAATGAGCGAGCGAACGGTAGTAGCTAGTATATTATATAAGTTTATAAAGTTTTCTTTGTAGTTGTGTCCGTAGCTTTTAAAGTATATAAATATATATTTATATGTATATAACTTTACCACAAAATATACAAAAAAGTACAAGATACTAACGTATTTCGTCAACGTCGAAGTTGGCTGGTACAGGCGGTAGGTCGTCGTACTGCAGCGTCCAGATGAGGCGGCCCGTGGAGTACAGCTGCGCGGCCATGCGCAGGCGCAGCGCCGACAGCTGTAGCCCCGCCCCCGCCGCCAGACGCCATGACACAAAGCCTACCGCCTCGCCCTCTGGTAGTAAACATCATATTATTTATTTTAAAGCTATATCCACTCTGCGAAATAACATAAAATTTAAGTGTGGGAGAGTCAAGCTTCCACACGAATGGGTCGGCACGACCGGAATGATAGATACGTCCTAACAGAATATTGGCGTGAAACAACTACAGCATTGTGTTTCGCCGTGTGAGTGAGGTTACCGGAGAACCAATTCCTCATCATCATGATCCTCCTAAAAGTGCTCCTCACTCGGAGAAGTTTTGAGCACTAATCGCGACGCCTGCTCAAGGCGGATTGGCGATTTCAAACTTATAATTGAAAAGTATTTTTATAAGTATTTTCAACCTACACTATAATATGTCAATAGTCTCTAAATAATTATTGAAAGTACATATAACTATGTAAGTCTCATTCACACTTAACAGGTTTCGAATCAGCATCGTAATGCGTGCCAATCTGGTGCCTAACAACAGGGCCTTCAAGACGTTTTAATATATCCAATCGTTTAAGGGCGACGTTTTAAAATATCTATCTACCTAACTACCAAAGCATACCTTCTCTAGCGAGATAAACTTTCTTCCAATCGTGTTCGATTTTCCTGAAGATATTCTTATACTCGTAGACTCCTGAGGACCACGTTGCGAGGCTCTGCAGTTCCTCTCCATCAATGAGGACTCTGTAGGAGTCAGTAGCCGCGTGGTAATGCACTGCGCATGCGCCGGGCCGGGTGAACTCGAAGCTGTGTCCCGGCGATTGAGAGCTTAATTCCCCTCGGTCACTGCGCCACTGTTTAGACCCTGATATTCTTCCGTGAGACTCATAGTCTGTTGGTTTCCTGTTGAATTCAATTTTTAAGGTTATTTCTTCTTAATACTTCAGGTGTCTTCTTGATGGTTGTATTTAAGACTCAAGTCAATTAAAAATTATGAAGGAACAACATCATATTTCTAATGTTAAGATTAAGATTTTGATATTTTATTGAAAATGTCTATTCGGAACTTGCTCCCAATGCCTGAATAGCCGCTATGTACCAGATATGAAAGCAATTCAAGTTTACCAGGAACTGTTATGAACTTAGTGATAGTAAATCTAGGATTGAAATCATAATTTTAGAATAGCAAGCTGGAAAAATCCTTCCTATCTTCAACCACAGAAACGATTCTAATACGATTCTATTCACACCAATAGATAGCGGACAGTCGAAATGTAAATATTTAGGATTAAGTACCCTACTTTCCCATGCTAATATTATAAACTAGCGGCCCGCCCACCCTTCGCATGGGTCCAACTATCTTGCTAACAAAGGGTCACTTTTTCTCAATTTTCCCCACTACTTTTCTAATATTTTCTTTCATAAGGACCTTCTCCTGACAATAACAAACACAACAAAAAAAGAATTAGCAAAATTGGTTCAGGCGTTCTCGTTGAGTTATGCGCTTACCAACACATTTTGCGACCCATTTTTATATATAAAGATGTATGTTTGTTATTCCTTTACGTAAAAACGGCTGGACTGATTTGGTTCAGTTCATTTTGTATACAGATATGTGAGACTCTAGATTTCTCCACTTAGGCTATATACTTTTATCAATATTAGGCATCCAGGCGGAAGCGAGTTATTCAATAGTGGGCTTACTTCTCAACCATAAGAGTGACGAGTTCTTGCAAGGTCCTCTTAGCGAGGTACCGCCTCCGTGGCTCGGAGACCTGTCTCTGTCGGTGCTCCCGTAGCGCCAGTATGCACGATAATAATTCCTCTTCCGAGCACTCCGTGCGCCGGGACAGCACCTGAAGACGGACATTGTAATCTTACTGGTCTACAGTACGGCCGCCGTATCTTGGCGAGTCTGAAGTTAGCCGTTTGTCGGCGCAATGGATCTTTTGGGAATAAAATTGTGTACTGCGGAGTTAATCGGCTAACTTCAGACTCGCCAAGATAAGTCGGCAGTATTGTACAAGTATAACCACTACTTATCTAAATTCCAAGTAACTCAGTAAGTAATAGGAGTTCTGCCCGGTTTTTATTGAATTTCGTTTTAGTTGGCTAATCGTGTACTGACTTTTCATGGTGGTTCTAGAGAGTGTCAGTCTTACTGACTAAACCCCCCCGTTCCTTCTTCTACTCCTAGCCGGGGTTGCGGCACATTATTGTTTGACTCACAACCCCAGCAGAACGATCGATCCATAATAGAAATAAATAAATTGTGGTATTTTTTTTAACAATTAAATGTATTCACTTTCGGTCGATCCGCTTATATCAAAATTTTTTTTTGTTACTACAAGGCCGCCCCAACGTCCTAAAACTGTTGCAACCCGTTTTGGGAGGGAAAGAAATCATGAAATGACTTCTCCCGTCTTGGATGGGAAGAGAGGGAGTGTCAGACTCTTTCTGACTAAAAACCACCCCGTACCTTCTCCTACTCTACTATAGTAGACTGTAGATATAACCATATAGTGTTGTAGGTATATAGACTGACACAAAAACTCTAAAACCCTTACTAACTCAAAAACTACTGAACTTCGGTAGAACATTTGTTGGCTTAATTTGTTGCATTTTAACCCTAATAAGATGTCCTGCAAGGAATACGTCGAGTTACCAGTAACCCTGTATATACCATAAACAATTTTATATAACAACGAAGTCTTTCAACATTTAAAGACATGAAAAGCTCTTGTTTCGATAACGCACAAAACAAATCGTCGAAGACTTTGATTAGAAGGACATTTTCATTTTGATTACAAACTTACAGCTTTATGATCATTGGTGTACCTCCAGGTGACATCTTGCACGTCGTCCCGGGAGACTGCGATGACGTAGCACAGTTTCTTCCCCCACCCGTGAGAGTACAGGAGGGGCGCGTTCAGCTTCGCCTCACAAGGGTCGGCGTGAAGCCACATGTTGGAGTCATAGTCAAATATCTAAAAATATAGTGATTTAATTTCTTCAAGCTCAGTAACATATACTTAACTGTAAAATGAATTTGTATGGAAAACATATGTTTTTTAAAACGATGCCCCACACTAGGATTTTCTCCTGTGTCGTGGGTGCGGTTACAAACATACAATTTCACATACACATGACACCCAGACCCTGAACAACAATTTGTGGGTCACACAAAGAGTTGTTCCGTGCGGGAATCGAATCCGCGACACGTTGCACGCCAGCCAGTTGCCCAGCCGCACCAACCGTGCAGTCAAAAGTCAGAAATGTCACGTTATCCTAATTTGGGGTCAAACAGCATACCTACTTTTTTCTTAGAATGTAACCAATAAAAATCTAAAATGCTGTCAAGTCCATCAATGAAGTAGGATTATTTTTTTATTATAATTATATTAAAATCTTGAAGGAATTTATTTTTGACCGAGGAAAACACCCAGTTGGTCGTTAAGAAATAGTTCATAACGCTAATGAAATAAGATACAATTTATTTCGCACTAAACATGCACAGATTTTTTTTCATTGAAAAACAGTTCTTAAACGATGAAAAATAAAGTAGAAGTTACCTCGCACCAGACATGGTCGGTGGTGTCGTATACAATCCGCGTATCGTACCCGAGCGCCCGACAGAGCAGCGCGAAACAGTTGGCCCACTCCCCGCAGCGGCCGCGGCGCGTGGCAAGCAATGTGCGCGGGTCGTTGTACCGCAAGAACTTTGCACCTACGTTACATGACCCGCAGTTGTACACCTACAGACAATACAAGATCTATACTAATACTAGCAGCTTGCCCTTGCTTCACATCTCGCTTACGATGAAAGGGTCCCTATTACCCAAATCTCCCCTCTACTTTTCTAAAATGTTCTTTCATAAGAACCTTCTCCTGACTATAACACACATAACAAAAAAGAATCAGTAGAATTGATCCAGGCGTTATTGAGTTTTGCGCTTACCAACATATTTTGCGATTCATTTAAGTATATATGAAGAGTTTGCAAATAATATAAAGGGGGCATAAGTTTCTAGGTTACTAGCCCGGGTTGCGAGCCACAGTCGACAACTGGGCGATTTCCGCGAATCTATCTGCATCACACAGCAAAACTTTGGAATGATTTTTCGGCTACTCTAAACGCGGTAATATTTACACACTACTACACTTTTTTTCTCAGGGCAATCATCAAATGACTTCTCCCGCTCAGGGTGAAGCGAGAGGATTGTTACTGACTAAAAACCCTCCGTTTCTTCTCCTGAAGTGAAGAAATTATATAAGCGGGATAATGTTTTATAGATGGTTTAATAGATGGTTGACAGTCAACAACTGTGCGATTTCCGCAATCTTTGTTTTTTTTTATGTGGTAGGTCGGCAAACGAGCAAACAACGCCGCCCATGGACACCCGAAACAGCAGAGTAGTTACGAGTGCTTTGCCGACTTTTTAGGGATTTTGAGATTTAGGGATTGGGGAGGGGAAGAATTGGGTCTCCGGTAACCTCACTCACATGGCGAAAAACAACGCTGTGGTTGTTTTGCGCCGATTTTCTGTAAGGCCCTGGTGTCACTCCGGTCGAGCAGACCTATTCATGGCTTTCCCACACTTCAATTTGAATGTTTTTTCGACTACACTAGGCACGTTGAAGAAAAAAATATATAATTTAACCCACCTCCATTCTACAAGTCTCATTATCAGTGGCTACAGTAACTGTGTTACTGAAGGAGGTGTGTCCCCCGCACCCCTCACACGGAGGCTGGTCGACCCACTTGAAGAACTTGTACTTGAACCAGCTCATCAGCTCCATTAGAAGAGCTATGTCGAACGGCAGGTCTGGACCTTTATGTTCACCTGAAATGAAGATAATTCTGGATATATAGAAGCACATTTTCCTCTCTCTCTCTCTGCTACAGAAAAATGGGTGATACTTATTTTTTTGAGGAGGAAATATCGTTTATGAACTTCTCTTGCCCAGGGTCCAGGGTATGACAAGAGATGGCATCAGTCTGACTGACTAAAAACTTCATTCCTTCCTTTGATCCAGGCCAAGGCTGCGGTACTTTAGTATGCTTGACCCGCGGTGGCTTAACATCGGCCCTGTAGGGCCCCAACTGTGGTGGCCTATCGGATCTTTGAGGCGCTCGCGGAACGCTACGCGCCCGACACTCGGGTCTGATTCTAGTCAGGCGGCAAGCTACCCTAGCTCGCCAACTTGATCGATCGAAGCGATCTGCGCTTACGGTGGTTGGAGATCCCTGCCGCTCAGATGGTCGCTTACTATTGTACTACCTAATTTAACTTACAATATTTCTTGTAGTGGAATTTCATAGTCATTTGATATTTTGTGTTTCTGTGAGGCCGTGGTATCACCCCGATCGAGCAAACACATTCGTGCCGAAGCATAACCCTCCCACAATATTGTCACATTATAAAATTTGATCCAAATATTATTAAATAAATTAAAATTATAAAATTGCTTACCAGTTTTAATCAACTTCTGATTTTCCCGGACCCGCTCTAGCGCCAAGAGCTGGAGTGTGACAATAGGTATCTGTTCCCGTGCATACTCTTGGAGATCCTCGTCTTCATAAACCAGGACGTCATTGAACAACCTCTCCACTTTCAGCAGCAGACTGTTTTTCGTTGTCTGTAAATTGAAATTGTTAATGTGAACTTTATTTTCTACTATGTACTCATAACTTTCAATAAACTTTCTCCTAATATAATGTTATAATATAATAATTCCAATTACTGGTGAGTATAATTTTCACTGTAGTATTTTTTAAATTTAGGCGGGGCGAGCGAGTTGCAGGGTCATACTTAAATTAAACTAAAGCACCCCTTTCATGGAGTACATGTTTTTGCGCTTGCAATTTTACTTGATTTCATTTAAGCTCTTTTTCAATTAAGCATGTAATAATAAACTTATTTATAATATTTTAAATTATAAGTTCATTTGATAATCGGCTTTGAGCAAGTGTGGTGATTAATTCAAGCTTTCTCTGTATGAAAGTTTGGGCCGTCACTCAGCAGAGGGCACTCATAGGCTGATGATGTTGAACACAAAAATAAAATATTAATAACATACATTACCAGAATGTTAGAAGGTTTTAAAGTGGTCATCTTCTGACTAAACTTGACTCTCTTTTGCTTGTTCACAGCTCCATAACAGAAACATAACTTCCTCTCTATTGATGCCTGTGCCATCCTTAAATTAGTTAGTGTCTGCTCCTTTGGATAAATCACTTCAGTTCCTTCCTAGAATTAAAGTTAATAACTTCTAAATGTTTGCTATAATATGCTTGTAGATGGAGGTAGGATTCGGAGAAGTTGGTAAAGACAGAGTTTATATAATAAAGTGCATCTATTAAAATTAAAATAAAAGGGGTGATGACAACTACTTATTTAAAATGCATATAACATGTCTATGAGATTACTAAATGGATATTTTTGAATTATGAATTTACAATGCTCATTTCTATTATGTAACAAAAAATAGATAGACTACTTTTTCTATTCAGACTACTTTTTCTATTTTGACGTTTCAAAAGTACCTATTTATAGTTTAGTTGGAATAAATGATTTTGACTTTGACTTTGACTTTGAAATATACTAAAACTATGCATAAAATGAAATGATTCAAAAAATATTAGGTTGACAAAATTTATTTTCAATGAATTTATCATGCCTATTATTATTATTTATATACATATTATAAGATGAATGAAAAAATAATTTAAATTGGGTAGCTTCTTGGGTCAAAAATAAATTAATTTGACTTTATAATACAATAAAATATTGAAAAATAACTATACTTTCATTCATTGAATTATCTATGCATACAATTTTAGATATTTTTTAGCAAATTTTTGAGTAATAAGTAAGATATTTGACGTAAAAATACTATAACATCATAACTCAGTATTTCATACAAATTTCATAGAAAAATATTGTTTGTGACATTTGTATAAAAGTATTGAATTTGACTAGTTAGAAACTACCATAATTAGAATTTGCACAGGCAGGATAAAAAATCATTTAGTAAAAAAGGAGAACACTCTTATTATAATTATAAAACAATACATTATTAAAATAGGAAGACTAAATGTATTTAAAAAAATCATTGAGCCTTTCAAGTTACTTGTAAGCAGTTAGCTAAACCCGATTGGACTTCAATTCAATATTATGTAGGTATACAAATTGTAAGTATAAAATTATTGAAAATTTAAAATTGTAAGTGTGTTGTTATAACAGATTAGGCTTTATAATGATATCTGTAAAAGACTTAACTATCCAAAAAAAAAAAAAATTTTATTAGGCCTTTTGAATATTTTTTTACTGATGAATAGCTGTTACACATTTTGGTTTAGTGGTTGTAATGTAAATAGGTATGCATACAGAACATAGAAATTAATTAACTATTTATCAATTCAAAATTACCGGCACGGGGTTCGTGATTAGTTGGTGACATTATGTTATCAGTAAATCAAGATAACAATAGGATATGATGACGTGAGCTACATTAATACGGTTTAAAAGTAAAACTTCAGTGCCAGTGCCGAAGAAATAGGATTAGCAGCTTCTAAGTGGGCTCAATTATGAATGCAAAATATGGTTTCTCTCCACGAGAATGTAATAATTATTATTTTTTTATTCCTACTTACCGGTCGAAATCCGACATATTTTAAATAGTCTGTGAAAGGCTCACACTTCAATACTTCTTTTAAAATCTCGCTCTTTATGGTCCTCAGTTCATTATCATGAGGATTTTCTAAAATACGACCAATGTATTGCAGAAGTTCGTAAAGAATTTTATTAAACTTATCTACATCTCGAACACTTTGTTCTATCACAGCTAGCCTTGCCATATCCTCCATTTTCGTTTGTATTTGTATTTATTGCTATTTGAAGCTTATATTTTACAATAATGATTTAAAAACGTAGTATTTACGTACGAATTATAAAGTTCATAGCAAAATACACTTGTCAAATTTTGATTTGTCATTTTTACTCGTTCGGAAACAGGGAACAATTTTATACGTTTCGGAACGCAATTACTGAATTAATTATTATTTTGATCAATATCGTTTGAATTAGGCAAATTGTTTGTTATAATATATAAAACTACATAATATTATACATTGAGGTAATGGATAGTTAATGGAGTAATGAGCTGGTAAAACACTACTCGGCTACGGATTAATTATATTACGAAGTGGGTACACACGAATAAGATTCCTAGTTTTCCTTTTGATGTTACACATAACCATTACTTAAAACATATTTGTAAGGCATTTAATATTATTATATAAGTTTAAAATAGGTATACCTATAGGTCTATAGGTTTGTAGTCATATTCTATTGCCACAGCAACCATGGCGGTAATGGTGCAAACAAACAATACTGGGATGAAACGAAGGAAATTCTCCATAGAAAATAATTCTGATGGTAATTTTATTGTTATTTCTGCACCAGTGCCAGTCATATTTCACTTAATAATCATTTACAAAAATTTACTTCATAATTAAATTTAAGTGTGGGAGAGCCATGCTTCGGTACGTACGAATGGGTTGGCTCAACCGAAGTGATACCACGGCCTTACAGAAAACCTACTTAAAAAAACCACAGCGTTATGTTTCGCCTCGTGAATGAGTTTGCCGGAGGCCCAATCTTTCCCCTCCCCCATTCCTTGAATTCTTTTAATGCTGCCAAAGCACTTTGTACACCTTTGGTGATGCGCCGATTGCTTACCGTATATTCTTCGTCTGTTCCGTTCATAAACAATATTTCTGAATATTTTTGGTAGGTATATTTAGATACTACTGTACCAGTAGTTTGTGCAGATATTTTTTCTCTCAGGTTCAGGCATAAGTAGTTTATATTTGATGAAAGAAATTCTAATCATGACCTGTTGTCCTTAGGTTTCAATACCGGATCTCTCAACTGGTTACTCCACGCGCGCTACGTCAGAGGAGAGCACTCATTGTGCCTTGACCTCGCAGATGATCTGCAGAAAAAACATGATAACAAGCATAGATATGCTCATTACATAAAGGTACTAAACTAAAATAAAAGTGAACCTACAAGTCACTTATGATGAAATTGTGATATCTATCCAATCAATCAGAAGGTCAGAATTCTACTTGAACCTATAACTACCTACGTAAACCCGTGGGGAATTCGATTAAGGATAATAATAGCCATAGCAACATAGTCCTTTGTCCTCTTTAGGCGAGGAAGATCTATGAGGACTTTCACCTCGGCCTCGGGGTCTTAGGGTTAACAAAAGCAAGTAAATGATAAAATTGCTACAGCATTTTTTGAGAAGGGAATATCATCACATGACTTCTCTGGAGTGTTAGACTTACCGACTTAAAACCCCCCGATAGTTCTCCTGTTCTAGGCCGAGGCCACAGTAACTTATTACCTACGCTTTTATTGGAGCAAATATGGCAGACCTCATCTTTTTTCAATGGCCTATTTTTACATTTACACAGGGCGCAGTTTTAGCTGATGCCGGTAGATTACAAGAAGCTCTGGAAAGGTATCACAGTTGTATAAGACTTCATCCTCAAGACCCAGAACCTTTAAAACAAGTTGCAAAATGTTTGTAAGTATATTTCTCTTACATAGTTAATTACTTGCGACTTGCCCCGGCTTCGCTCGGGTGCCATGCTGATACTAAATATATCCTCCTGTCCTGTCTCCACTATTCAATAGATGTTATTATACCTACATATAAAACTTCTTCAATCACTCAATCTCTTCACAAATCGTAGGTATTAATATCCATTGCGTAGCCTTAAAGATTTAAGCGTAGTTACGTAGGGACATAAGGACAGAGGCTTTCTCAGTTCTCTGTCTGTGACATTGTTTCATACTATGTAGTGCAGTGCGAGTGCTACCTTTACAATATCTATCTATGTACTTATACTTACCTTTTGATACTTTCTACAATTACAGATCACGACAACATCGTTTCCAGTTATCACATGAAGCCTATTTAGAGGCTGACAAACTGACAAAACATCCCGATCCCGATATTTATTGCGCATTAGGTAAACTACATAGCACGTCTTCATATTATACTTTATTTTAAACCAGGGCCGAACTGCGGGTCATGATGGGCCCGGGTGGCAAACGGGGCCCCGTGATTAAGTAGATTTACGACGTACTTTCTATGGTTATTTAGACACCAAGATGAAGGAAAACATCGAAAGGAAATCTGGAATTATAATTTCTGATTAGAAGTTTGCCAATTCAATTTTAGTTAGAATTTTGTTCCATAATTTATTACTTTATATCACTTTCATTCCAGCGGAATGTTCATGGAACTTGGGGGAATTGGAAAGAGGAGTGGAATGGGCACGATCAGCTGTGCAAGCAGGAGGTGGGGAGAGAGCGGCTGCGCTGCTAGCAAAGATACTTCTAGCTTGTGACGATGTACCGGGCGCGCTGGCAGCATACGACCAGGCTTTAACGTTAGTTGGAACTTGACCCATTCAATATCGATGTAGCAAATAGATTTTTACAATACGCTGTTCACTAGGCAGCGCCCAAAGATACCCGCATCACTAGATGAGTTCTGTAGTTGCAAAAGGGTTGCTATCCTTTTGAGGGTAAGGATTTGAGGATGGGGAAACATGGCTCTCCCACACTTAAAACTGCAATCTGCAGTTCAAATTATTATAATTGTCGATTTTGATTAATTGATTATCGTATTGGTAGATAACTTATTAATAGTAAGCTATAAAACGTTGATCAATGTGTCAATTGTAGGTATACAGACTTGACGATAATGACAATGTGAATGTCGCCTTTTTGATGTCGACGCAATTCAAACAGAACACACGCATGCGGGGCGGATACATTAGCAGCCGCTGGTGCTTTACGTCTGCGAGCTGGTGACCCTCGGCGTGCCTTCCAGCTGCTCGGCGCGGCTTTGGCTCAACAGCCTACTCAGCATGCAGCAGCACTGGCTTTGGCGGCCATGATGTTGCAACATAAAGATGTTGATGCTGCCCTAGCAAGACTCAAAGGTGCCCTATCCGCTCACCCCACGTGCGTCGCCGCTCACGCCAATCTCGGAATGGCTTTGTTGGCCAAAAAGAAATATATCGCTGTAAGTACATAGGACACAATAAATAAGGTACAATGTACCAATAGACATTAGTTTTATCTTACAACAAATCTTTCTGTAGGCCCTTACATGTCTTCAGCGTGCTTCATGGGCAGCACCGTTGAGCGCCCGTGCCGCGCATGACCTGGGAGTAGCACTTCTAGTATGTAAGAGACCAGCTTCAGCTTTTTGCAGACTAGCCACGGCTGCGGCATTGCAGCCTTTTCAACCCTATACGGTAAGATCGTTTTGCCACATAAGTACTGATAGAAAAACTACCATACATCATGATGCCCTTGCATGTGTAATCTACAGGTACTACTTATAGGCATAGCTCTAGAACGTCTAGGTGACAGTAGGGCTGATGCAGCATACTCTAGAGCGGTGGCGCTGGCGAATGACGATCCTCTCATTCGGCTCAACATCGCTGGCAGACACGCCAGGGCTGGACGACTCACTGAAGCTGTAGAGGAAGCTGAAATCACTGCTGAACTTCTGCAGAGAGAAGAGAGGCCAGACGCTCAGGTATTCTTTTCAAATATTCTAATAATCTGGTATCATAGTAACACCTATTTATCAGACTAATAAAGATCAATTTTATGTCTGCAGCTAGCTAGTTCTTTGGCAGCTCTACTAGAATTACTTCGCGAAGCTGGAGCTGAGCTGCCTCCTCTGCAAGCTTCTATACCTCAAGCTGAAGTAGAAGTCGCAGCTCCAGGTCAAACTGATGACGACCAATTTGCGCCTGACGAAGTTTAAAACTTTTGGTAGGTTCTTTAGTAACTTTATTGAAATTTTATGCCAAAATGCACACATATTAACAGGAATTTGTGGCAAAGAGGTTTATTTTATTGTAGGTATTATTTTATGTAATAGGAAGAGTCTAATAACGTACATCTTCTTCACACACATCGAATAGCCTCATAGACTGAAAATTTCTAGATCAATGATGTTTAGTAAAATGAACTAGAAACTCGTTTTGTATTGAATATCTCTGCGGCTAACAATTGACTGCATAATTAAGATTTATAATGATTAGTTTTTATTAGGTAATAGGTATTAGGTACGCCTAACAGTTGCAGTCACTTATTGATTTATTCGTACACGAGGTTTCCTTTCACAAATCATTTATAATGGAAATAAAACACGAATATTCAAAATAAATTGCAAATTTACGACTTGCGATAAAGTTGAGAATGCAAAATAGTTTCAGTGACTATGCAACATGTCTTTATTCACGTTTTTAGCTACGGTAGCCGTTTCTTTAGCCGTGGTAAGTTTGAGAAAAATATTGAAATATTTGCGTTTTTATAAGGGTTTCTGGTTGAGATTATTTCGTCGAAGAAATTGGAGTCTTCTGAAGAATTGTTCGGTTTGACCCACGCCACATCATTTCGCCATCATTCCCACGCGAAAACGATTCATCCATATAACTTAGACGGCTAAGAGTCAAAAACCTATGCGATTTTCGCGAAACTTTCTAATGATCTTCCAGTGTTTCCAAACAGCTCTTTTGCCTCTTATTCTTTGAAAAAAGATTAGAAATTAAGAAGGCTATTTAGGGCTAAAGATGTAAATTTTATTTATGATGTAAATCTTATTGATACTGGCAAAATAGTCAAAGTAAATTGAAAATAGGTAGGTAGCTTATATTTTGTACCTATCCTACACCTAATAATTGCAAACTTTATTGCAGTATGGATTGTATTGATTGACGTTACTAAAATTGACAATCCTCCTTCTATCTAAAATGTCTAAAATAATAACTACATTATACATTCACGTAGCATAATTCTAAATTTTTGAATGGTACTTACCACACATCAAATTTTATTATATTCATCATCATTATATTCATATCATATTTTATTTAGTTAATACTTTACCTACTATGATTAATACTGTTGTTCTACCTATGTTAATTTAATTAGTTCTAGTTTTAATTTATATATATTTTGACTGTATAAACGCATAATTTTTAGAATGTTGGTTAGCTCGTAACTGGCTAATGTATATGACCTACTGCCTGTAACCAATACTTTAAACCATTTGTATACATAAGCTGTGAGCGTACCTTATAATAAATAAATAAAATTGCTTTCAGATTGAAACAAAAGAACGGACAGCGAGTCTGGTCGTGCTGCCGCCTCTGGTATTAGGCTACGATGAAATTTACAATGAATTGAAGGAAGAACAAAACGCAACGGAAGCTAAAGCGGAGCGTTCGCCACCTGACTTCATAGACACAAAAGGGCGACGCAATTTTGATATTCAAAGGGATTTTGGAAGCCTTTTCAAAGATCGAAGATCTCTAAACACCAAGAGTATCAACGATGACATCAACATAAATGAGTTTAGCCCTATCTTTACGTATAGATGAAGTGAAGTAGATAATAAATTAAGAAAGTTTAAGAAATAGTTACATCATGTTTTATTTTTTTAAGTGGAGATGTCTTTGTAAGTTGTTTCGTTGAATTTAGGTACTCCTATTTAGACAATGAGAATTAAACTTCTCATGGTATGCTATGGTTCAGTCCAAATTCTTACTTTTCAAGATACAGGACGCGTAATGAAGGCATATACTAGGATGTCTGATATACATATGCACGAAGTACCAATGAGACTCGATACTAGGGAATGCAAAACCGGGTTTATTTTCGAGTTCTATTTTAAAAAACCCGGTTTTCGGTGAAATCGGGTTTAAAACGAGTTTTTTTTTTGTAAGTACTTTTTTATATAAACTACATGGAAACGAATAAAAAATCGTGATCAAAGGAAAATAACTTTAATTTATTTATTACGAAAACTATGAAATCGTTAACAATCAGTCTTACAATAATCAACTTTAGACAAGTAATTCCCTGAATAAACATAATTATCATGTTGATAGAACAGCTACAGCTAAGATACTGAAAATGAAAATAACAAATCATTAAATATTGCCTAAAGAATATTTTACTTTTTAATGTATTTATAGGAACTGTCTGTAATCTAGTGCATCTACCTACAATAATATTTAAATAACAGAAAAAACTGTACTGCACGATGAACACTTGAAATTTTACGATAAATTTACTTTAATTCTATATTTTTTACTTCGAAAATAACTAAAACTTATTAAATTATAGAAACAAACCACAGAGAAGAGTAATAATACCTAAACAAACATCCCTTTTTCTTTATGATTCTCCCATCAACTCCCATGTAAGGGAAGGCAGAGAGCGTGAGCCCATGCAGCCTAGTCTTCACTTCTTCAGTTGTCTTTTTCTTGAGAGCGTAAATGTCACTTTGACAGTGCTATAGTGTTGCCATTAAAAAAAACCGAAAACACCGAAAAACCGGAAACGTGGCTAAAAAAAATCGAGTTTTTTTATCGTTTAAAATATCACAAAAACCCGGGTTTTCGAATTTCGGTAAAACCGGGTTGCATTCCCTACTCGATACCTTAAATTCAAAACATCTTGAGGTAGTTTAAAATTAGAAGTTTCCACTAAAAGCTATTTAGCTACGTCACATAACATCTTATAAGTAATGGCTCAATGGATAAGAAAAAATATGCTAAGTAAATCATTTTTTTATAACAAATGAAAATAATAAAATTATAACATACGTATTGTGGTGCGCCTATAATATCTGGGCTCTCCCAGAAACTCTACAAATCCAATTTAAATATGTACAAAGTAAATTTAATAAAAATATTTATAACGAAACACTTATTTACTCCAAAGAAAATGCATTGACTGGCTCGTAGTTTATCGCAAATGGCTGCCGTTTTTAATCAGCATGATTGATTAATCAGCTGATTCTACATCAACAATTACTTTTTCTATTTAATCTTTCGATTCATTCCAAATTCTTAAAATCCGTTGCACGTATTATAGGCTTGTTAAAATCTCCGTAAAATATCGGCGTGTCTTTGTAAACTAATGCAAAATAAAATGGCGGCGGTGGCCATGATTGGCCGGGTTGTAATGACGTCACAGCCTCGTTGTCTACCATTTCGCTCGCAGGTGAATATAAACCTGCAATAAACAAACTTAGTTGATTATTAACGAAATAAACCCATACGAAATTCATGTGATGAACTTGAGAAATCTCCGTACAGTTTCGTTAGGTACTAGAGCGATGACGATTATCGATACCTACCTACTGATTTTGGCTAGGGGCAGGCCATTTTTGTTTGGCCATGTCTCATGAGACAAAAATATCAGGTGGTGATTAAATGTTGGGCCCAGTCTGGGCGGGTACTTCACGAAGATATTATACTGGGAGCAATTTTAACTTGAAAACAATATGGACTTTCGGGCTGTACCGCTAAAAAACTAATTTCATCTTTACTCGGTTTGGGGCCTCGGCCGGACAGCCGGGCCCCTGTCCTTTAGTTCAGCCCTGTATCTTATCTGTCATTTTTATTCAACAACTAGATGACCTGGCTACTGCTTCAAATATAAATAATGTTCTGACTTTTAAACCGGTCCTGGATTACAACGAATAAGTATTTTAATACCAATATTGTCCAAAACGGACCGGTCATTCTTAAGTTTTAACGATACTAACGAAGATCAATCGATTTTTATGTATAAGATTTAGATAGATGCAATACTTACAAGTAAGCAGCCTGACTTCAGCACCTTTGTCCGACACGGTTATAGTACCATATTGTACCGGAGACCCGAGCTTTGTCTGTAATAGGGTTATTACATGCATTTTTGAAATGTATCTCAAATACATACTTTTGTCCTAATATACACCTCTAAAAAAAAATTTTTTTTATCACGTTGTGTACGAATATAAATTAATTGTATTATCATAATTTCAATTTTCGCGGGTGATTCGCGAAAACGCGGGACACAGCAGACGCCATGATTGTTTTTATTCATGACGTCTTTACATGAGTAAACTACAGCTGTCAGTAATACATATTTTGACAGCTGACACTTTTGTTTACTACCGTAATGACGTCATTAGCATGGCGGCGATATTTCGAAGAATTTAAACTTTAAACACAGGTAGATAAAACGCCTAAAAACTTGAAACTGCAATAAAAAAAATATTCAAGTACCTTATGAAGTGAAACTAACATTTCCCGATTGCTTTTCCTCTAAACAATCATTGTAATAGGTTTTTTATTTTAACGTTTGAAACACATAGATGAACTACTTAAGTACTTAATTTGATGGCCGATCAACAATTTTTTTAGGGGGGGCGGGATGCAATTATTCAATGTCTTCTTCAAACCTGGGTGTGGCGAAAGGAAGTGTCAGATTTTGGGAATACGACCAGCATTTCCAAAGATGACCCCTACATAAAAACTTAAAGAATTTACCTCTTTATAATACTAGTATGATTCGTAATTTGCCAGACACGATGCGATGAAGAAATAAATCCATATCGAACCCTCAACTACTCCCTATAAGGAATAAAATACTTTAACTAACCTCGTTAAGTTCTATTCTAGAAGTGACGTCAATACTGATAGGCATCATGAGCTCCGCCTTTCCAGTGAACAGAGGCTGTATGCTGTTGATTGCCGCAGCAAGGCCCTGATTGGACAATGTTGAAAACAACGTCTTCACCACTGTACTCTCATTGGGTAACACTAGCACCAGCTTGAAGCCTTCAGTCCGGAGAGGCAACTCTAAGAGCTGAAAAAATCACTGCACTTTACCTGATAATCGTATGGTAGTACATAGTTCATATTCAAAACAAATCCAGACATTGTGAAACAGGGACTTAAGAATCAAAGTCAAAAGTCAAAATTATTTATTTCAATTAGACCCATACAGGCACTTTTGAACGTCAACACAACTTTAAAGATACAAAGTGTCAGTCTGTCGGTCAGTCCTTTTAGTGAAGCTATTCGCTCGTTCCAAAGTGTAGATTCCGATGGAGAAGAACGAGCAAGAAACTCCATGGTTACTCTTTTAAAATCAGTGTCACATAAACATTCTTTGATACATTATTTAGTTAGTTTGAATATGTGAGAACAGTGTAACGCGTGTATACAGAGAAACATAAAAAGAAAATAACCTTAAGGACAATAGACAGTCCGGAGCTGACCAGTCCCAATTGACGGCGCCCGTTCACGAGCATGACACGTACACCAGCATCGCCCAACTCAACCATAATATAGGGAATCGAGCGATCCAGTGACCGTGCCACCGCCAATGTGACCTTTGAGTGAGCATGACAACTCCAAGCTGACATATGGACCGACATTCTGCTAGTCTTAACTAATTTTAATAGGTTACAGGGCACTCACATTTACAAATTTATCAAGTTTAACAATAAAAATAGCATGGTTACAAATTTACAAAATCTAAGAACTTCCGTTCAAGCAAAGATCCACTGGAACATTATTTATATTCGTGTAGGTATATTATCCTGTGGAGCAGGACCAGCCCGTCTCCAAGCATCCTTATCCTCAATATAATCACTCAGTTTGTAATATGCTTTTTTACACAAAGTTTTCTTTATACATAATTTAAAATTTCTTTCATTTAATTGTTGTATTTCGCCTGGGATTTTGTTATAACACTTAACGCTGAATCCCATGAACGACTTGTGTACCTTTGCCAATCTAAATAATGGCTGACACAATCTATCTCTATGTCTAGTTTGGTAATTATGTCTGTCTGATACCTTATCAAATAATATTAAGTGTTTCCTAACATACATTATATTTTCATAAATAAACTGACCGGGCACAGTCATAATATTGATCTCTTTAAATTTATCTCTAAGAGATTCGCGAAGCCTTAGGTTGTAAATTGCTCTGATTGCACGCTTTTGCAAGACAAATATAGACTCAATGTCAGCAGCCTGTCCCCACAACAAGAATATTCAAGTTTCTTAAAAGAGCAATTATGCAGAGGATATTGCTATTTAGCAACTTGAAACTTTATAATTGGATATTACGGTCTACTATCGACCAACAAGGCCATCAGTCAGAAATTTTTATGTATTCAAGTAAATGTTGTCCTAATTGGAGTATCTATAGAACACCTTTTTTGTCAGAGGAAAATCATCAAATAACTTCTCCCGCCCAGGGTAGGCGAGAGAGAGTGTCAGACTCTTACTGAATAAAAACGCCCCGTTCCTGCTCCTGCTCTGGGCCACGGCCGCAGTGACTCATTGCGCTTAACCCACAACCCCGGCTGAACATCAGCAGCCCTATAGGGAGGCGTCCCCGTCTGTGTTGGTCTATTGGCTCTTAAAGGCGCGCGCGGAACGCTACGGGCAGTACTCGCGGGTCTGTTTCTGATCGGGCGGCGAGCTACACTTACTCGCCGTCCGCAGACCCGTGCTTACGGTGGCCGGCGATCGTCTCTATATCTATAGAACACCTAATGGCACAATTTCGTCATCTACACTAATTATTCAATGACTGCATCGGTAGTTAACGCAGTGGCTATCAGAAGCCCCATCCTTCCCCTTCCCCATCCTTCCCTAATCTTGGGGAGTGGGTCTGAAACTCCAATAAAAACTACAATAAAGGCAGCACACTCGTTACCTCAGTGCAGCGGGTGTCTATGGGCGGCACCGATTGCTTACCATACCACCAGGTTACTCGTTCGACTGTTTACTTCCCTATCAGATAATAAAAAATAAGATCATAAAAAAAAACTTACTCTACCCTCATAGTTCACATCTTGCGTATAATTATATGAATTATATAACTTCATGAAACCAGTGTTCGGCTCTAACGGCCAGGTGCTCTGAAATGCAAACAAATTATTTAGTCTTTGTAAATGTATGTTGAGCTGTCGTGATGGCCTAGGTGTTAAGGCGCCCGCATCGCACGCGTATTAAAGTACTTAATGTATACCGGGATTTTAGAAACATCTCCATTAATGCGATAGCTCGACTAAAATAGGCCAATCAAGTATAATTTATAGCCTATAGAACTTAGGAATATCGTAGCTATCTATCAGTGAAAGAATTTTGGAAATCGAACCAGCGGTTCTAGGGATTACCACCTACATACAAACTTACAAAATATACCTCGGTATAAAATCAGGTAGTACCTACAGATAAGTTCAAGTTATAAAAAAACTTACCTTGAATGTACAGATGCTAGCAAATATTAATTCAGTTCTGGAAGAAAACTCATGATACCTCAAATCACCATATTTGTTCACCTAAAACCAATTTTTAAAAAGTTTGAACATCATCTTTATTGTTATATATAAATAAAAAAAAAATACTTATACATACTGCTCTGTCAAGAAAGTACCGGGAAAAAGTCAATAATACACAAAAACGTTTGTTATTCATCTAAATTTATTTTATCACCTTCAAAGTATGCTCCTTCGGAAACGATACACTTACGCCAACGAATAATCCAATCATCGAAACTTTTTTTAAACGCTGTTTCCGGAATTGAGTTCAGTGCTCGCCGCGAATTCTCCTTTATGTCTTCTAACGATTGAAAACGGGTGCCACGAAGGGGTAATTTGAGTGTGGGAAAAAGAAAGAAGTCGGCTGGAGCCATATCTGGTGAATATGGTGGCTGCTCGATGGTGTTTGTTGAGTGTTTGGACAAAAAATCGTTTACAATGATGGCCTTGTGCGAAGGCGCATTATCGTGATGCAAAATCCAAGAATTTTCTTTCCACATTTCTGGCCTTTTTCGTCGAATTTGTTCTCTTAAACGCCGCATAACGCTCAAATAATATTCTTTATTTACCGTTTGACCGTCGGGTCATAGGGCGATAGTCAAAGAAAACAGTCAACATGACTTTTGATCGACTTTGACGTGGTTTTTTTGGTTTTGGTTCAGTTGGAAGGCGCCATCCCGAAGCTTGTTGTCTAGTTTGCATGTCAAACTCGTAAACCCACGTCTCGTCACCAGTAACAATGGGTTTCATGAATGTTGGGTCGGTATTGACTCGTTCTAGCATGTCCTCAGCGACTTTCATGCGATTTAGTTTTTGAAGAAAATTCAGGTCTTTTGGGACTAGCCGAGCGGCAACACGTTTCATACCCAAATTATTTGTTAAAATGGTACGGATCGACTCGTGAGATACAGAAAGTTCGGCGGCCATCTCTCTCAAACTTGAATGAGGATTTTCAGTCACTATTTCCTTCACTTTTGCGATGTTAACTTCAGTTGCAGACGTTGATGGCCTACCAGAACGAGGCAAATCTTCCATCACATCTCGACCGCTTTTGAACGCTTTGTACCACTCATAAGCACGTGTTTTTGATAAAGTCGATTCACCGTAAGCCTTCTGTAACATTTTGAGTGCCTCCGAACACGAAATTTCATTGGCGATGCAAAATTTAAGACAAACTCTTTGTTCGATGTTTTTGTCCATTATGAAATTCGCAATACACACTAGATATTATAAAACTAAAAACAGCACTGTTTTTAATATAAATAACAGATGCAACTCAAATTGCGCGCCAAAATGGAAAACAGTTATGCCAATCTAACAACAACAAAAAAATTAAAATTCGAATTTGGAACCATAAAAAAAACATTCATTCCCGATACTTTGTTGACTGAATGTATATATAAAATTGTTACTTCTATAGTGGCCATATACATACTTACATAGATTGTGAAAGCATTCTCATTTTTACTAAAATCAGCTTTTTCAATAACAACATTTTTTGACAATCCCACTGTAGGCTGTGACATGGTCAATGAATAAAATATCCTTTGTTTAATTTTACATCCATCTACATTTTTTAATCTTTCAGCTATCTAGAAACAAAAATAGTGCTTATTTTTTTACAACAGTTATATTTTTTTTAGGCTAGTTGGTTAGGAAATATCTAAAAAACTCAACTTTATAAAAAGTGATCCTGTGTAAAAATCTATTGGTTAACCTATGGTGAGGGCCATAGAATACCCAATAGGCTGAGCAGAGCAGGCTACTACTTAGGGGCCCAAGTAGTCCAGGGCCTCATTGGGCAAATTTTTTTATGACTATATTTTTTTTATTTTTTAGAAAATTGTAAAAGTATTATTAACATGCTTCCTTAAATTAGGAACACACTGAACAACACTTTGTGAGATCCACAATTTTTTTTTCGGGTCTGGGTGGTTCGTATGTTTGTCGATGCACCCACAACACAGGAGAAATTTCCTGTGGGAAGATTTTTTTATGGTGTAATATTTAGTAGTTAGTTTATTTGCAAATTAAACATCATTTAAGCACATAAACCTGTTCTTTCAGGATAACTACATTAAATATCAATACCTAATCAATATCTTTGAATAAGTGGTCAAGTTACCTGCATGTATTTTTCCACAGCTGGAAGATTCTCTTGGAACATAGAGAGAAGCAAGTTGTAGCCGAGTGGTGATGCGACCCACCGCCACGGCGCCTGTCACCAGCCAACTTGTGGTAAACAAACATGCACATCTTAATTTACGGTGCAATAAATAATATTGTTACTTATGGTAACTGTGATTTTATGGTTATTTGAGCAATATTGATAGGTATATTCCCTCGAAGCCCAAGTTTCGTGACTCTTATATAAATTCTACTTTGATTAACTGGCAGATAAGTATCATTTATTCTTATTACAAATTAATAATTAACTACTTATATAATTTTGTTCTCCTGAACATAATGATAAAAGTTACCTACAGATAGATTACGTAATATCTGTAATATCTAATTATAAAAAGTATAAGTGTACAAACCTTTTTCAATTTCATCTTTGTGTTTACAAATAACTTCTTGTGTGTTGTTTATTTATAGTGCCGGCTTAGAGCACTGTCCTTTTAACTCATAGTATGTATTGTTATAAATTTATTGATAAATACTGAGTTCTGTCGCTATTATTGTTACCTATTTACTTTAATACACGAATTGAAGAAGTCACAACTATATAGTCACAAGAGTTATTTCGTTTGATTCAATTAGCCAGCTAGACAAGGTGATGGAGACTGACATAAGTTCATGACAGCTTCTGTCAATTTTGAATAGGTACCAATATCAAACACCATGGAGGAAATAATAGTCTAGAATCTTAGACAATAAAAAAGTATATTTAATTACTGCGTGTCTAAAATCGGCACAGTTACTTGTAAATTAAAGGGCGAATTCTATATACTTATTTTATTTTTTGGTACCTATGACATTTTTTTTAATTCTGTATACCTAATTTATGCACGTTGCTTCTCAACGTACTTAAACCTTCTAAAGAACAAAAAGAAATTACACCTCACAGAAGAGTAAAACAGTTATTACTGTTCTGTGTTTCACCTCCGCTATTAGATAAATAATCTTAGTTTTATTTTATCAACCCAAACCAGAACAGACAGACCCAAGTGTAGGTAATTTTCATGAAATTGCTTCTCTTGCCTAGGGTTCATACGAAAGGGAGTGTCACGCTTAGGTACTGAAAAAAATTACTAAAATCCCACGTTTGCATTCCATTAGACGGCAAACGAGTAGACAGATCACCGGACGGAGGAAAACAACGGCTGAGTTACGAGTGCGTTGCCGACCTTTTAGAGGGTGGGGATAAGGATTTCGGGGATTGGAAGTGTCAACCACGGAAGTAGGTGTGTTTGATTGTATCTATGTAACATACACCATATACCAAAATAACAGGCTTGTTATTTTGGTGTATGGTATTTCTTTTGCATAAATAATTACAAACTCTGTGAAAACACAGTAAGAAGAAAAATATAAGTTACTGAATAGAAGCGGTTGTGTTCAAAACATTTTAATCACGGGGCTACCATTGTAGAAATTCTTGCATCAAAGATGGTTCATCTTCTTCACAAAACGTTAAATAAAACATTAACACACAAATACGTTATTTATAAGGTAGGAAAATGAAACAAAACATTTAGTTTTTCAATTATTTATATTGAAATTATCACCTTCATAATACCAGCACTGAAGGGTGTCCACGTTTGACGTACAACACAATTACAATATAACCACTGACAGTATTAACTAAAAATACAACATAATCAAGTATGAGCCGGTCTGGCTTATTTGGACTCGCCTGAAGGCACTTGAGGTCAAATATTTGCATGGAGTTTATAAACTGGCAAGTCGTGTAAAGAAAAATCAGTAAACCAAAAATTACAGATTAAAAATTATCGATAACTAAACCAAAACAAATGCATTTACATAATTACAGAAATGTTTCATGGTTAAATGTAATTAATTATTAAGATTATAAAAAATAATTTATAATATCTTTCGTATTGCATTCAGATTGATAACAATATTCTGACTCCATAAACAAATGCACCACGCACACAGACTAAAAAGCTACACAAACACATGTTCCCGACAACCAATAAAGTTGTACATTCAGAATCACGTCAGACCGGCTGAAGGCTTCGAAATTATTGCTCAACATTAAGTTATTTGCTTATTATGAAAATTAATTTCTCTTTTCATACAAAAAATAATTTTATAAACACCACTTACGCAATGCTGCGTTCAGACTGCGATAGTTTACTTCCCTTAGATACATCAGTTTTACTCGTCATTTGATTTTGTAGCATTTGACGCGGGAAACGTATTCAACTCGAGATGTATCAACATCAAAAAATTTGATGGCCGCCTTAAATTAAAAATATAGACGAATTTTTATTGCATTTTTATTAATGTTGTACAATCTAAAGTCAAGTATGCTTCCGCTATATTCTTTACTATGTTATGCCGTTCTATGAATGTAACATGTATAAAGCAGTATAATAAATAACATACATTTTACTGTTTCTATTGATCACCTTTCTACCAGATATTACTAATTTTTTCGTGTAAAAATCTCTGATAAGGAAGATATTGGATGTGTCTACTATCAGCGCTCTAACTAAAAATCATATTTTATATATTTACATTTATATCAATATTATAATGAGTAGGTACTAATGTCCTGTTTTTTTATTTGACACAATATAGGGTTGGCAAAAATTTTGAACGAACGGATACAATAATAATTTTTGTATGTTTCTTTGTACATGTCAAAATAAGTTTTGCACAACCCTCATACACACCACAAAAAGTACAAAAGTCCTTCATTAAGTCTATATACTATTCAATTCATACTATTCTCTCAACACTATCCATACATCGTCTCTATTTTTAAATATTAATCATTTCTATCTTTATAAATGCACTTCTTGTTAAAATTTAATTATCTACTCTAAACAAGAAAAGGCCGAGTTAGAAAGAAACAAAAAGGCTGAAGACAAATTATTTATAGTTAGAAGTAAATCATAGTCGTGAAGAATAAAGAAAGTACCTATTGAAATAAATTTCGTATAATAAAAATAGAAAATTGACAAGATACGGCTTGGTTATAATGTATGTATAAAATATTCATAGAGAACTTTCGCGGCTCAGTATTTATGCACAAACGGTGCCAAGGCAGTAACATAAAGATTGTATTAACAAAAATCTATACAGATACAGAATACTCAAGAATACTGAAAGAACGATGGCGTTGCTTATCTCACGATGGACTTACGATATATTTCTTTGGTGTTTGTGTCATATTTATGAATTATCCCATTGCTATTGGACGCTATACGAGTGGCGTGACTAAACCTAATTACAACTTGCGATTTGTGCGAATATCGCTTAACATTAACGATATATCATCACTCCAGAACACACTGACATTTACACAATTTATACAGCACGCAATCCCCGCACAGATCACAAAACTAATTACAATAATTAACTAATATTTTCCAATACTAACTTGCCTTCGTACTATATTTACAAAATCGTTTCTATTTACACAAATGGAATTACTGAGATCATTTCTTACGATAATAAAAAAATGAAAATTACGAGGTCAGCCGTATTTATAATTATTAAATTAACAAAATAATACTTTAGAATAGACTGGTTTGGTACACGGCGGGTACACGAAACTATGTGTAACTCGCATGAGGTAATATACATCACGGTAATCATTTTTACCGTGATGGTAAAATTATTTCGAGCTTAAATTACCGCGGAACGAAACGACACATGTCCTCGTTATGTAAGCAGCGTTGACACACTATTAGGTACTTGACAAGTCACGGGCATTTGCAGTTTTAAAAAAAAGTTTAGTTTTTTTTTTACATCTTACGCTAAATTAATATTTAATTATACAAAACTGTCTTTAACAAATTATGCTTCGTGGCAAGGCTAAAAGATGTCTTCATGATTCACGTAACTTTATAAATTATCCCATGGCAGCTTATTGCACGAATCTCAACATAACGAAAAAAAAAACAAATCCTTCAAGAAAGAAAACAATGATTGCACTAATTCAACAATATTGCCGCATACCATGAGGATTGAAATTGTTACAACTTCTACTTTATTAAAGACCGGACAAAACTTATGTGCACTCTGATTCAATGAGGCACGGTAATAGCTGTGTGCTGTGCTGTTAGCCATTACGAAAAAAAGAAAAAGAAAATAGATAAGTTGTCTCAGTTTTTTTTGTTGACACTTGACAGTTGGCGAATGGCGCCAAAATAGATGAAAGATGAAGTTTTAGACAGTGACGTTAATATTAAAACGAAATGGAATTGTTATAGAAATGCGGTCTCTAAAAACAGTAGTAGTCTCGAAAATAATTTAAAAAATATAAATCTTGGAATTTTGAACTAAATTTTCTCGCATGCGTATCGTAACAAAATGCCTTTTTCATAATGGAATGCCGTATCTAGCAAACGTTGCACACTCGGTGGGTTTTGTATTGAACGAGTAACAAACATTAACTATTGAAGTCAGTTCATCCGAACCTCTCCTTGACGAGGAACATGAGTTTCTTCTTTCCTTTGTATTTGAGCTTGATCTCTTGGAGGAGTGCCGCGAACTGGTGGGGGCCGTCCGGTGCTAGCGCGAATGTGTCGCGAGCTTTACCTGTAGCCAAGAATAGAGGTAGGTAGGTAAGTAAGATTTTGCATTATAATTTATTTAGTTTACTACTCAATACTTATATTACTAATGGATATAATATTAGGTAATCTATTTGCGAATGGTTTCTATACTTTTTGCGACGAAAATGTTTGGTAAAAAAACAGAACAATAAATCTGCTTAGAACATAGCAATACGTACCGAGAAATTCGACAAAGTCGGCGTAATGTCGCGGCGAGATGTGTGCGAGTCGCGCATGCGTGGTAGAAGCGTACGCGCGCAACGCCGCCTCGAGCAGCGGGCGCAGCGGCGTGGGCGGGCGAGGTGGCGCGCCGCGCGACCGCGAGCAACCCGCCGCAGCTACGCAGCAACGACGCAACACGTCCGACTGTACACAACAAAGATTATTTCATCGTGGCTCAAATAGGTGTAATTCTCGTAATAATCATGTGTCAAGAACAAGCGCTGAATATGAGAAGTTGCGACCGTAAACTAAAATTAGATAGTCTGAATTATTAATCACTGGAAAAGAAAGGATTTTAGTGGACGTCTAAAAGAGATGAAGGGTAGTAAAAGTCTTTATCGGTCGTGACAGACTTTTTGGCCACGGAATTTGTCTTGTCATATTTATTATAAGGATACTTACGAGTACAGGCGCGCACTGCACGTTCTTCACAAGCAGCGGTAACATAGCCTGTAGCTCGGCGCGGCCCAACGAATGCGCCAGCGCAACCGCCCAGTGGATGTCCGCGATCGCAGGGTGGCTGTCCTGTAGCGGAACAAACGAAAATGAACCTTAATGTTTACGCCTTGCTGATTAAATTAGAATAATAAATTGGTAGATAGGTACTGAATAACAAGTTGTTAGCAACATCTTCATAATGCGGACTACAGTTTTTCTTTTCACCCAGATCGTGCTATTGTAGCTAGAGCCCACGTTTGATCCATACGACCGTGTAAAAAATTCTCCGATAAGTGTAAATTTACAATTGTTTTGTTACGTAGGAAGCCTATCGCTATACTAGCGGCCCTGGCGGTAAACTCATTTGCGGTAGTCCTCATTGGACTGCAGACGAGTTATATTTATAGTATTTAAATTTTACCTGGTTATAATGTAAATGGAGGTTTCGCATGGCTAGTGTAGCTAGGCGCATGGCCCTGGCAGGCTGGCCGCGTTGCTCCATATATCTGGCGACGGCGAACAGCTGACTGGAGGCGAGCGCGCCGCGCGCCGCCGCCCCGCCCACTGCTGCGCACGCGGCTTCGAATGCGCCGGCCGACCCTTCGCACACTGATAGCGCGCTGAGAGCACAACCTGGTGGATCCTGGAGGAAATATAGCCTTTAGTATTTTATGTAAGTATTTTTGTGTTTATGTATATTTATTATAGAGTAGGTTTAGGTACATATGCTTGCTACTTCATCTAGTTTTTTTATACTTAATTTTATGTGTAGGTAAACTGCTGTTTTATGGCCGAAGTGCAAAAATTGTTTCATAAAATTAAATATTTGAGGTAGGAAGTTAGTAGTAGGTCTTGAAAGAATATTTTCCTTTTGTTTTCTATGCCAATGTTCACTTGTATATCTTCGGCTCGAATTACTGAAACGCCAGTTTCACCAGCGAGTAATCCTTAGTAATAAAAATACATGTCTGAAAAATTCACCTTGTTCAGAGAAGTCTTTGAAAGTTCAATAATGTTTACCTTAGCAGCACACTGTAGAGCTAGTGTTCTTGCGCAAGCACTGAGTTTCTCTTGCTGCTCGAAGCTGAGGCCTAGTCGCAGTGCGGTGGCGTGGGACATCGCCGCCGCAGCCACGGGACCTGTTGCTTCCGTCGGCGTAAACAGCTCGTACCTGTTGGGAGTTATTTTGAGAATTAGTCGCTGTGTTTAGACCCACTGGGTGGCCCGGAGGGTAAGGCTACATCTTATCCATGGAGGTTCGTAACCTGGCAAGTACCAAAGTGACTTTTTCCGAGTTATATGTACTTTCTATGATTATTTAGACACCACTGACACACAGTGAAGAAAAACACCGTACTTCGCCAATCATCCTTTTCCGTGTGGGAAGAAAGAAGCCTGTGCTCAGCAGTGGGCACTTATAGACTTGTGATGATGCATTCAGACCCAAGTGTGACTTCTGAGAAAGAGCTCTTTTCACTCACTGTTTAAAACAAAACACAGCTGGTCGAATTGAATTGAAAGATATAGTTCATCCGATAAGACAATTTTTGTGTATCTAGTTTCGTGTTAGAGACTTTGTAACTTGAGGCAAAATCATCCAATGACTTCTCTCGTCCAGGGTAAGCCGAGAGGGAATTAAATATAATATGAATCCCGACTCGAATAATTAAGAAGAATATTGTTGAGGAAATGAAAACTGACCAGTTCTGCATGATGGAGAGGAGCGCGTCTAGCCCAAGTTCCGTGGCGCAGGTGACGAGCCAGCGAACCATCTCTCGTCTTCGCCAGTTCACTGAGGATAGCGTCATCCGTAATACCTGAAAAACAAGGTTTAGATTAGTAGTTAATGAGATTATGAGAAGAATTGTTGGCCATTCTATTTGTTGTAAACAATATGCATTTTAATGTATTATGAAAAGCCCTTGGCGATCCTATACCTACGATCTCAACGACATCTGTTAAGTTTGATCACGTGTTAACTTTGACTTCGCCTTGTCTCATTTAGTTAGACACTAGACAGTAAGTAGTATAAACAGGGGTCGGCGAAATCACTGCATAGTATAAAACAAAGTTGCTTTATCTGTCTCTATATATCCTTAAATCTTTAAAACTCCATAACATATTTTGATGTGGTTTCTATAACAGATAGAGTGATTGAAAATAATACGTTAAAGGTATGTATAATACCCGTGAGAAGGCGAGGTGGGTCGCTAGTTGTTCATAAAATATATTCCGTATTTGTGATTTGTGAATTAAATCTTTTTAGATTGTAAGTTAAATCAATATCAAGGACGCTCTTTTAACAATTTTGAAATGATTGCTACATAAACATTTTCAAAGACATGTAAGTATCAAACATTTCAAGTTGATGTACCTGTAAGCCGAGTTCGAATGCAGCGGCGAGTAGGTCCCGGTGGTGGTGGGGCGCGGCGGGCGGCGCGGCGTGTCGCAGCGCGTCCTGCGCCAGCCGGAACAGCTGCGCCGCCGACCGCACGTGGCGCTGCGCCGCGCCCAGCGCTGCACGCAACCGACCCGGGTTGCCGCGAGCTGCGCCTGTACCGTACCAACATTTCAGTTATATACTTCATATAAGAACAGCCAGGGTTGCGGGGCAAGGGCAATAAGGTACCGCGGCCTCGGCTTGGAGCAGGAGAAGGAACGGGGTTTTTAATCCATTTTATACTGGGACGGGAGAAGTCATTTGGTAACTATCCCCTCCCCAAAAAATGATTTTTTTCTGTTGTGCTAGACTAGTACTGTTAGGCTCCTTTTCCAAATCGACGGAATAACAAGGCTATAGTAAAAACAGTAATAAATAAGAAAAAATCTTACCTAGTAATGCACTGGCAAGGGCTGCTTGTTGTTGCTCAGCGTGCTGCAGGGTATGCCACGCTCCAGCAGCGCCACCTGGTGCCCCTGCCGAGGTACTGCCATCTAACGCGTAAGCTTCTTCCACCATGGGCAGGCGCATGGCTCGCAGTCCTACGCGGTAGGCCAGGTCGGGGTGCGCGGGGAGGAGAGCTAGGAAGAGGAAGCGCGCGAATGTATGCGCAGGCGCAGCTCGAGGGTGAACTCTAGCGCCTAAGCACGAAGCAGGCCCTCCCGCTAGTAACGCAGCGGCCACTCGCGCGCATACCCCCGCCGCCGCCTCCCCCTCCACTCTCTGCAGCTGCGCAATAAGCCTCTCCTCCTGTTTACAGTGCCTCTCCTGCGCGTATAACCCCTGAGGTAGCATTCTTTGTACTCCCAATCCCAGTAACGCTGCTTCTAGTGCTAAAGCTAGGTATGTTTCTTCAGGGTTCTTGCTGCCAGCTACTGGGACGTGTTGATACCTGCACAAGACACACAGACACATGAATATTTATTTATGGAGTTTCTTGCTCGCTCTTCTCGATTCGAATCTGCTATTTGAAACGAGCATCTACCTTCACTGACGAACAGAATGACAGACTCACAACCGGTTTCCAAAAGGCCGATCAATGTTAAAATCTCTTGTCAAGTCATCTGATTGGTTGACTGAATTATCGACAACCAATCAGATGACTTGACAAGAGATTTAACAGGAGATTGACTGAATTTTAGCGTTGACAAGCCTTTCAGAAACCGGGTGTTACTATTCTATTTTAACTTTTGATTCTAATAATAAAAATATGGAAGAAATCTTCCATAAATATATGATAAAAATTTAGGCACAATTTTTTTTTCTTACCTTGGTGGCAGGCCAGTGTTAGGTTCCTCGTCAAGATAAGCAGTGTGTAATCTAGGCGAGGCGCGTTGATCGTCAGGAGCTAGGCAGGCGTCGGCTAGGCACTCGTAGACACACCAAATCGCTTCAAGTGTCCATCCGGTCCAACATCTGCTGTCTGTACACGACAAAAGATGGTGTTTATAATTATTCATAAATACATGAAATGTTTTATGAGATAATCATATATGGTCTTAATCAAATCAGTGGCTTCCCAAACACTTAAGTTTAATTTGAGGTAAGATTTACGTTGGGAAAGGGTAACTAGATTTAAAAACGTAATTGTTAAGCATTACTCCATTGTCTAATAAACGAAAAACTTACTTTTAGATTGTAAATACAAGCAATGAAGGTTCAATGCAGATACTATTCAAACGGTTCCCTCAAAAAAAGGTAAGTGGTTTGACCGGTAAATGAGAACACAACATACCTCTGCCAATACACCGCTGGGTGTGTGACAGTGCGCAGGTGGCGCCACTGGAGAGACAGGAGCCGAAGTCCATGTGTGCGCACACCTGCGCGAGCCGCACGCGCTCCGTGCACGCGCCGGCGCACGCGTCCGACCCCGCGCACGACGCGCCCCCCGCGCTGCCCGCCCCGCTCCCACCACCCGACCCTCCCGACGACGAAGCTTCGCCCCCTCCCGCTTCTTGCCATCGCTGCTGAGACACCTCCTGTAAAACAATTTTAGATTTAGTTACGATCTAAGTGGTTCTTGTAGGGAAATCGTATTTTGAATGATATCGTTCCTATGTTTGTTTAATAAAATTATAGTGGTCCATTATTTAATAATACCAAAAGTGTGTCATAAACTTTCAATGGATTTTCAACCATATTCTTTTCTTATTACAGATCAAATATTTTGCTGGTGGAAGCTCGATTATGATGATGCACTCACTGTATTATGTGACATTACCTGTCGATGTCTCATGGCTCTGGCGGCGCTGACGGCCAGCCTCAACGCAGCGGGGGCGCGACCGTGCGCTCGCAACGCTTCGATACGGGCGCCTACCACTGGTAAGTGCTCTGAAAGTAATTTAATTATATTAGTTTAAAAGTTGATGATATTTGTAAATATGTCAGTAATAATTATCTGACACGATGTATCACAGTGTCATCATCTACTGTTTTTAGTTTGTTGCTCTGTAATTTTGAAAGAAGCATTTTTTTAAATTCGTTTTACGTTTCGTCTTTGCATGAGGTCGTTTTTGAATGAGATTACCGGAGGCCCAATCCTTTCCCTCCCAATTTCCTAACACCCAAAAAGTCGGGAACGCACTCGTAACTCCTCCGTTGATGCTAGTATCCATGGGTGGCTGATTTCTTTCCATCAGGTAATCGTTCTCGTTTGCAAACCTATTACGTAAAAACTAAATCTTTCTAATACACCACCTTTCGTCTCACTCACCGTGCCACAGAGGCTGTCCATCCTCGTTGAACTTGGGGTAAGGCTGCAACGTAGTGGTGGTGGAACTGCCAGGTTTCTCAGGTTTGTCAGGGTCGATGTACTCGTCGCTACCTAGGATATTTTTCAGGTGATCGTTCTCCCAGGATATGTCTACCGCATCCAGCGCCCTACAAAGATATTTAAGATTGAAGCAAGGGAAAAAAAGGAGCGGGGGATCTTGGTTCTTGAAATAAGGTCCCAAATATAAATCTATACTAATATTATAAAGAGATACAATTTGTATGTTTGTATGTAGGGGGTAATCTTTGGAAACGCTGGTTAGATTGCCAAAATTCTTTCACTGATGCTACAATGTTCTTGAGTGCTATAAGCTATAAAACATTACGCTACGATTAAATGGAGCCGAGTGCTACTGCTAATCTCGCGCTAGTTGTAAAATAAGATGAGAGCATACCGCGGCCCCGAATCGGAGCAGGAGAAGGAACGAGGTAGTTGTTAGTCAATAAGAGTCTGGTAGTCTCTCTCGCTCCAACCAGGGAAGTGTGGTAGAGCCAAGCTTCGGCACGAAGCCTTGAGAGCCGTGTGAGTGAGGCCCTTGCGGATATAAGGATCGGGATCCCTTCCCGATCCTTATATCCGCAACCCCTATCCCCAAACGGCCGGCAACGCACTCGTATCTCCTTTGGTGTTGCGGGTGTCCATGGGCGGCGCCGATTGCTTACCATCAGGTAATCCGTCTGATCGTTTGCCGACTTATACCATAAAAAAAAGAATTGAACTGACAGAAGACATACTTATGAAAAACAGTCCTTGGCGTCAGCTGCGGTGCGGATCTTTGGTTGTTTAGTCTTAGTCTCTTACTTGCTCTCCTGTATTCGCGTTCATAACTGCAAATAACACAATCGTTTTATCAGTCAATGAACAATAGTTTGATGGCATTTTTCAGCTGATGTGAGGCTTTAAAGGCTAAAATATCTCCTTTGAGCAAATCTGGTGTAACAATATCGAAAGCAATTTGCTTCAAAAAAAGCTAGGTTAGAAAAAGACTTCACTACGTGCACGGGATCAACTCTTTTGCAGGATTTCTTATTCCAGTAAGCTATATGGGTCTGCTCAAAACGATACGTGACTTGGTTAGCAACTTACTTATTAGGCCTAGATTCTTCGTCTGAACTTTCTGAATGGGAATGCATTTCTCTTCTCTGTCTCTCTCTATGTCTTTCTCTGAAAAAGTTTAAGGTTTGATTTAATATTAATCAGTGTTTTTTTTAAATGGCTACTAAACATGAAGACTCGAGCATGGTCTTTCGAGTTTTAAAAAAATATATAGTTAAGTACCTAGGTCTAACATTTTTAGTATGAAATCAAAGGGTTTGTTCTTGATATGGTACAAGATATATAGTATTTAATACAAGATAGGTGAAAAGTGGGTGATACACATTTCCACGCAAGTCCGAAATTCTTTTTATTAAATATTGCTTACCTGTCTCTCTCCTCTCTTTCGCGCAGTCTCTCTCTGTCCCTCTCCTCTCGGTCGCGATGCCTCTCTCTGTCTCTGTCTCTGTGGTCTCTGTCACGATCTCTCTCGTTTCTTTCCCTTTCTCTTGCGTACTGTGGAAGACAGATAGATATAGCCATTAGCGCTACGATTAGATACTAGTTTTTAAAATAATAACTCAAGTTCTTAGACAAAGGCTGTATTGGGTGTTTTTATTTTTAAAATACGAACGTTTCCCAACGATTTGTAATAAAAATATGACAACAGTGTTCCTGTAACAGATTTTAAACGTGGACGAAAGTAGGCGTGACGTAAAAAGCACTACCGTTAGGAATAACTTGTTTTTTTTTATAGCAAAATTAATAATCTTACCAAAGGAAAAGACCGATAATCTGGATCTTCAGTGGGACAGACTTCGACGGCAGACCATTTTTCCAACAGATGTCTCCACTGTATTCTATGGTGTTTGTTACTGCCTGGGTCCAGAACTATGCTGACCCATAATGCTCCTAGTTGTTCCCATAACTGTCTACATTTTTCTGTCATGGGGGTGTTCTGGTTTCTCCATAGGAGTAACCTTGGGTCTGATAGGAACTGTTCTGTCATTAGCATCAGCATCCTAGGACCGTTGGAGTCTTGGGCCCGGAGCATTTCTCTTACCTAAAAAAGTAGATATATTTTGTTTAGATTATTATGATAAAGACTACATCTAGTGTCATGACAATTTCCTCAGGCATAGTAGGTAGGTATTTTTAGTCTAATGACCTCATTTTTGTTTGGTAAGTTAAAATACTATTAAAACCATATAAAAGGAACAGAATTACAGATAAGAATATGAAGGTAATAGTTTTAAGTTTATCTCCGGACTTATCATAATGAAAAACATAAAGTTGTACATGTTTTTGGGAATAGGGAATTTTATTTAGTTATCTGTTGAAATCAATATTTTAGTAACTTACCTTAGAAAATAATGAGTTGAGTTGTTTATTTGCATTGTAGTATGTTCCCTGCAATAAATATGCTCGCACTTGTTCGCAAACCTGGAACAAAAGTATGCATAAATAAATAAATATAAATAAAAAGCCGTTTATTCCATATTTCTTACAATGCAGTAAAAATGTTTTAAAATTTCTGAAATATGGACACCTCCACCATCTCCACTTTAATAGGAGAGCGTGCCTCAAGCATCGTTGAGATTAGTTTTTGGCCAAAATGTTATTATATTATGTAGAGTTTAAGTCCGATCAAATAGTGCTCTTGCGCATAATTGAGGTTTGTCGTTGATGTTTATTTATTTACAGTATTAAGTATACAAATACTTAGTTGAGGTTTAATTTAAAATACCAATACATAATTTCACTTTTGCATAAGACTCAATATTATAGTCAAGAATATTATATAGCTATACGATATTTTACCCAAAAATCCTATTATCCTACTAATATTATATACATATGTGCAAGTTTATGAGAATGTATGGATGTATGTTTGTTATTCTTTCACGCAAAAACGGCTGGGCTGATTTTGGTTGAAATTTTGTTCCTACATAGATAAGTTAGATGAACACATAGGCTGCTTTTTATCAAACATAGGCCAGGCCAAAGCTAGTATATCATATAAGAAACAACTGAAACTTAAGAAGCAGATTTTAAGTCTTCTTTTTCGGTTACCTGTTGCTCATCTAAGTGCCAAGCATGGTGGGCATCAGGCGGCGGTCCCGCCGTGGGATCTGGTGCTCCACAGATCCTGTTGATGGCGGACCTGGCCTGCAGGACCTCGTCAGCTAACCGCTGCGCTGTCGGCAGGACCTCCGTGTGATGCTCTGCTATTAAGTACTGCACGAACTTCTGCAGCTGTTGTCTGTCCATCTGCAGTAGGGTTTCTGAAAAACCAAACGGAATTTCCTTTATCATTTTCGTTTTTTAAAGGAACTTGTAACTAAAGTTAGTGAGTGTCGATGTGCCAAGGAATCAAATTGGATAGAAGTATTCATTTTGGATTTTTTGATGATAATTGTAGTCTCCACTAGTAGTATTGACTACTTCAGTGAATTAATATAAAATGACACCGTTTATTCGTTATTTATAATAGCTATTCAGAAGTTAGTATCTCGTGGTTTAATACTCTAACACCCGGTTTCCGAAAGACCGATCAATGTTAAAATCAATTTAATCTCTTGTCAAGTCATCTGATTGGTTGACTGAATTATCAACAACCAATCAGATGGCTTGACAAGAGATTTGACACCCAGTTAGTTGATTTTAACATTGATCGGGCTTTCGGAAACCGAAAAATGGAGGTTCTAGTTTATAGCCCTACCATGGTCTCGGGTAGATCGTCATTTACTTAAGTAGCGAGGCTCTGACAAGAAGCAAGTTGAATATAACACATTTTTTATCTACGAGAGTCTGACACTCGCCTTGGATCATTTATGATTTTTCACACACAACAGAAAGTTCTTGTTTTTTTTAGTACACTCAATATATTTGTTGCTTTACCATAAGTACATATAAAGGTAGTAACAATTTGTGTGAGATCAATTATGGACCCTGTATGGCGCAGCAAAATAAGGCAACAGGAGAGAGGAAGCAGTTTCAATATCTTATACTAGCTATTCTCGCGCGGTTTCACCCGCTGCTCGGCTCCATTTAACCGTAGCGTGATGTTTTATAGCCTATAGCATGCAGGAACATTGTAGCTATCTATCAGTGAAAGATTTTGGCAATCCGACCAGCGGTTCCAAAGATTACCCCCTACATACAAACTTAAAAGTATAGATAATCTATCTAGTAATAGTTAGTATATTGTTCTTAATCTCACCTGATATAGGCACCCTCAGCCTGACGGAATCTGCGTTCCTGATGCGGTAGAGCGCAAGCGCCACCACATGCTGACACCAGAAGATGTCGCGCGCTTCGCAGCTGCACGTCACCCCGGTTATCTTGCATCTGTAGCATAAGTTTTGTTAAAGAAACGAAAGGAAGACTCTTCATTCCTATAAGAAAATTTTGTTTTTATTACTCTATTGATAAGCATGGAAAGGAAGCTTGTTTGCAAGTTCGTCTTTTAAAATTTTCTTAAAGATTTAGAAGTAGATAATAATTAGTTCGGCACGAATGGGTTGGCTCGACGCACGGCCTAACTGAAAACCAGCGTAAAGCGTTGTGTTTCATTATGTAAGTGATGTCATCGGTTGTCCAATCCTTCCACTCCCCCCATGCCTTCCTAATCCCAAAATCTCCAAACTCCTAATTTCCAAAAGGCCGGCTACGCACTCGCAACTCTTTTGGTGTTGTGGGCGGAGCCGATTGCTAACCATTCAGGTATTTCGTCTTCTCGATTACCGACCTATCACAAAAAAAGGCAAATGGACTTCTGTATTGACCTATTGATTAGTAGCTACCTACATTAGATATCTGCTCCATCTTTAATCAGCATTACGACTTCCACCTATAGTTATCTCAGTACCTATTCTCGAGATTGCTTATCCATGACATATATCCACGAGTCCCACAACTCGCTAGCCAACAAGCGAACATATTATCATAAAAATACCCGACAATCGCCATTATTAGATGTGACAAAGTTTCCTACACAATAGCCATTATGCGGGTACATCGGCGTTTGGGTAAAAAGTGCCCTTTTGGATAAACAATACAATAGTTGAGCCTTTGTGACCCTTTCTATTTAAACTTCTTTGTTTTCTTGTAAGGTTGAAGGAACTATTTATTTCGTTTGAACTGTGATTGATTTTTCGAAAAGGAGTTTTTTTTGTACTGTCTTCATTGTTTTTGTCAGTGCTCTCATTTGGTCTGGTCTGGTTCTTTTAAAGTAAAATCTGCTGTCTATTGATAATAATTAAGGAAGATATTAAATGTATAGAACAATCAATAACATAGAGTACTTTTTATCGTAACAACCCTAAGTTGTGGGTGGAATGCTGCTGAGTTCGTGATGCAATTAATATTTATGGTACAGCCAAAAAGAATCAGATTTTCGATATCATCTTTGTGGTAGTCTAAATGTGAACACGAATATTTTTACCAGTGTTCTCTTAACTATAAATATTTTCTTATTTCACATCGGCCTTTCCTTTTCTTAAGTAGGTACTCTTTCAACCTTTCCTACAGTACTTTAAGCTCACCATGACCTTTCTCTGATTGTGGTAACCCTTGATCGAGTATACCATTCTCCTGTAAGAATATCATAAATCTGAGTTTAATTACAAGGTAGGTAATGTCGTGCTTACCTGTCGAACGAGACAGTGACCCTGTATAGCCGTTCCGGCTCCGAGCATGGCGGTACCGCGGCAGGCGCGCGCACCACTCCGCTCAAATGGAAACCTGTAGACAACAGAACAATATGGTCAGTAGATGAACAATTACTGAAGATAAACAAGAAAAATACTTCAGGCGAGTTAAGTACACAAGTATATGACTGTATACCAGTTTCCGAAGTGTTTAGAATCATAGGAAAAGAATCTCGTACGCAAAAATACCTTAGAATCAATCAGCCTCACCATAAAATATAATGCAGCAACTTCCCTACCACTTTAAAGAGCTAAACATATTGGAAAGTGTATTTGCATCAACTTTAACGACTCCAAAACTGTTAATATTTTGTAAATAGCCCATTAGAGCGGCAACAGTTTACTAAATAACTGACCGCCATTAATATTTTAACGGCTTTGCTGTTAAATTTGAACGTAACGAACTTTAAGTGTTCATATCCTGTGGATATTTTTGAAATAAACCTGTACTGGTACTATGATAAACACATTGAATTTAATTTCATGGTGACCTGAATAAGTTTTGCTTTAAAAGGACGAGATAAAGTGAAACAGGATGTGTGAAAAGGATTAAACATCCTATTTATTTAGAGGACGAAAACCTGACTTTCTTCTTTCTTTAATCCACATTTATTTACAGGGTTTTTTCTTAATAGAAAATGACACCCCGATTATTGAGTACAAAAAATAACAAAAATAGACATTCATAAAAGACTTAGATTTAAGTTAACCTACCCGCAACCTAGTACCCGTAATAATAATATTAATAAGAATTCTGGCTTCATCCGACAATGGCGAAGCCAGAATGCTGTTATAGTAGCCTACATTACAATTTTTGACGTCAAAAGCGTGACGTCTTTGAGCCCCAATACGGCTGCACTCGGCAAGGATATGATACACGTCTTCTACCACCCCACAAACAGCACAATTGGGTGAGTCTACTTTACGCATCATAAAACCAAAGCTGTTAAGCGGCACATGACCGGATCGAAGCCTCAAAGCCATCACGACTTTTTGTCTACTCATGCTGCCCGCGTTGAACCAAAGCATACGAGGAAGTGAGGGCTGAATAGTTTTGTACCAGATGCCTTTGGTAAGAGACCTTTTGTCGAAATATTCTGACCAACTCTGAAAGCACTTGTCTCGAACAGAGGGTAAAAGTTCGGTGTGCCATGGTAAACAATTAAAAATACACCCATCGGACGCAGCATCATTCGCCAAACGATCAACAGTCTCATTACCCTCCAGTCCAACGTGAGAAGGTATCCATTGAAGGACAAGAGTTTTATTACTAGCTACAATTCTGCCAATGGATTTCAAAATAGAGTACGCAAGTGGAAGCCCTCTGAAAGGTGTAGTGCATTTAATAAGATGGAGAAGAGCACTTTTTGAATCGGTAAATACAACAAAACGATCACCGTTTAAAGATTCTATACTTAGTCGGGTCATAAGTTCTGTCACAAACTTTTGATGTAATAACTTATACGCCTTTTGACAATTATTTAAAAATTATATATGAAATGAAAGGTCATTAAATGTACAATATAATTTTATTTACATTATTCGAAATGCCCTCCCCTCATTTTGGACACATGCCCTTAATCTACGCGGCCAGTCATCGATCGCTGCACGCACCACATTCATATCTATGTCTGCCGCTGCTTTAACCAGAGATGCTCGGAGAGACTCCAAATTCGGGTGAGGTTTAGCACAGACTTTTTCCTCCAAATATTGCCATATCTTGTAGTCCAGTGGGTTTAAATCTGGACTAGAAGAGGGCCAGTCTTCATGCCGGATGAAGTCAATTCCACGAGCGATCAACCAGTCTTGCGTACTTCGTGCCTTATGAGCCGGTGCAGAGTCCTGTTGGAATATCCAATGCCTGTTCCTGAACATTGTCTGAGAAAGAGGTTCCACTATGTTTGTTAGGACAGTATTTTGATAAACTTCGGCACTAGTTCTCACACCTTTTTCACAGAAAAACACCTCAGTTACGCCTGAATATGAGACTCCAAGCCAAACCATGAATGAGGAAGGGTAATGCCCACGCTGGACCCTCGCAATACGCGCGCTTGCTTCTTCACTGCTGTGGGCATACACCTTATCATTTTGTTTGTTAAAACTTTCTTCAATAGTAAAAATTTTTTCATCCGAAAAAAGAATTTCGCGGTATTTTTTTCCCGCGTACCGTCGTAGCAAAGCGCGGGATCTGTCTAGCCTAATTTTTTTTAAACGCTCGTTCAAAAAATGTCCTGTCTTTTTACGATAAGCTCGTAGTCCCAGGTCTTCATTTAGTACTCTTTTAACAGTGGTTCTGCTTAGCCCCATCTGCAGAGCTAGGATTTTTTGTTTACGTACGGGATTTCGTTCGATTCGCGCCTTCACTGCTTTGATGACCTTATGTGTCCGAACTGTGCGAGGTCGGCCGCTTCTCTTACGATCTTCGAAGCTTGACTCTTCGGTGTATCGTTTGATAGTACGATAAACAAACCGTAACGTTATTTTCAAATTTTGAAGAATATTGAAAATGTCTTTTGGCGCGTAACCACAGCGGTGCAACGCGATAACCGCGATTCTGTCTTCTTTATTCGACCACTCCATATTTAAAAATGAATAAAAAATAATTTCTTTTTTATTTTCTACAAGCGCGAAAGTTCTATTTTTAAAATAAGTCGAAGAATTTCTGGCCAGTAATCGAAAATTAAAAATATAAGGTTTTGACAGAACTTATGACCCGACTAAGTATAAGCCAAAGCTTCTGCAATAGCTATCAATTCTAAATGCATAATTGATAATCTAGCCATAATTTTGAGTTGGACTGAACCACCTGTTTGTGGGTCATAGAAGGCTGCGCCGTAGTTGTTTTCATATCTTGAACCATCCGTGTAAATAGGGTAGAAGCCGTAATATGACAAATTAAGAGATTTGATACAAAGTGAAATAAGTTGATGAGTATTATAACAACGCTTTGGCTTATCAACAGAATTCAAAACCGGTTTAACGATATTTGATAAGTCCATATTGCTGACCCAAGTATCCATAGCAAACATGTGAACCGTCTTGCTACAGTAAATTAGTTCTCCGTTTAAAACATCGTGTGTCAAAACAAGAAGGGGTTTTTTCTTGTTTCTCCAATATGTGTTATTGCATAGATGATGAAGCTTGTTCAGTATGTTAAGTAGGGGATAGTTATAACAATTAGATTTTAAATAAAATTTACTAGCTAGATATTGGCGGCGAATAAATAGAGGGGGTAATGACAACTCGGACTCCATCACGTGTATCGGCGTACTTTTGATAAACCCGCCTATCAAACGTAGACAAATGTTTTGTAATCTATCTAATTTTGACAAGTGGGTATCAGCACTATTACCGAGTAAGAAGCTAGAAAACCTGACGTTAATCAAGAATAGCACCTATGCAGGTGACGCTATAAAATGGAGTAAAAAAGAAAGAAAATGAAGTTTAACTTCATTTTACATGTCACATCAAGAATACGTCGTCTAGTCCATTCAAACTTTAAAATTGACAATTAGAGTCGTGTACACGACGTTTTTAATAGCACCACGACCGAATTATATAATACTCTGATTTCCAAACTAATTGAACGTTCTCACGAACGCGGAAGAAAGAATTTGATTCAAGTGCATTCGATCACAATGTAGTGGCAGTGGCACCCTAGTTATTGAACTGAATAGATTCGGTACGAAATTGTTCGACCCGAGTAATCATGGCATCGACTTGTAAAGCGAATCGATTACGATTCGTCAGGCTTTGAAATTCGAACTCCTTTGCTTTTGTGCAACTTTTTTCTCATCCAAGTTATTTTTCTTTTTTTAGACGTAATGATGGAGGTCTTTTAATTCTTAATTTTGAAATGCGCGTTATTACCGTTGGTGATTTTTAAATTAAGGTTTAAAATTAATGTGAAATGTACACCGGTTTATTGTTTTTTCTCTTTGTTTTCCCCTGTAAGATTTGTTTATAAAATAAGTAACTCATAGTTGGAAGGTACCTAAACGTTTTAGTGTAAGTGTAATGCCTACTTATATTTTCAACTAAGAACCTACTTTTATATTTACCAATTTCAATGCTTGAGTAGTTATCTACCTACTTTTTCTTCTTTCTTTAAAGTTTCTTGCAAAACAGCTGATGTAACTAATATTCGCTTACAGAAATATTTCATTCAACCGTATTTACGTCACATTTCGCAACAATACGCATGCCCAATGAGAACACAGCAATAATTTGGACTCAATTTATTTATATCTAAAAATGTAATTGAAAACGACCGGTTTCAGTAGAAGGTACAGTCAATCGTGCGTGGAAATAACATTTTGAGTGATAGTCTTTATATCGTTGCAGTAAAGGCCATTTTAATAGTTCAGGTGTTTCTTTGACGTGCGTCTGATCGTACGAAGCCAATTATTGATTATCAGCACCGAGAACGAATTGACTATTTTTTTATTTGAAAAACACAATCAATTATCCAAGTATTCGGTGCGATAAATTGCAACGGACCAATGCGAAATCGATCGCTTCGACAAAATGGCAATTTTTTTCGTCGTCGATACAGAAAAAAGTATTTGAAAGCGTTTTGTGTGCGAACAATGGTAAAACCGCAGAATTATTTCGATGCGTTAGGGTTTATTTTCGTTTGATTTTTAAAGTGAATTAATGCTGATATCTTGAGCCTTAAAGTTGTAGATAGAAGTACTTAGTTCTTTGAAGGACTGAATGCTTTTTGTTGAACGAAAATTGTTGTAAAAAAATGTTAGCACAGCTGCGTTAGCTTGGTTTTTATTGCGCGGCAATTTATTGCTTGCAAGCTTATTCCGCGTCGCCGACATCATTCAGGATTATATCTGACAGAAGTAGAGTAATGGCTTGCCTACCATATCTTTGCTTTTTTCAGCACACGATGCCTTATATACCAACATTTTTTCAATTTCTGATATCATCAGTAGACCTTTTGAATTACGAAGGATCATGTCAAAACTTTAGGTAGGTACGTGTTAAGAAAAAAAGGATTAAACGATACCTTATTAATACTTA